AATAGAACCAGTCATTCAGGTAGCACACTATTCTTCCTGTCCAGAACCCTGACAAGATAGGGAAAGAGGTACAAAGTGTGCCCTGAGGAACTCACAAGATAGACTTCACCTGCGACTGGGTGTTTGTGAGTTCAGGGCTGACCCAGGCAGACCCTGCACTTAAAGGAGAAATGGGCTGGATGGGAGGGCCGGAGTCCTTGATTCTTGGGAAGTTCCTAAGAGCAAGATAAAGGTCACAGTGGGCTGGTGAGGTGGCTCAGCCACTAAGGGCTCTTGCTGCAAAGCCTGATGGCTCCTTGCCACATTCCTGATGGCCCCTGCCATCTGTGTGTCCCCAGTCCCTGCAGAGCTTTTTCTGAGGGAGCTGACTGAAAGGGAAACACTTCTACATGGGCTCTTGCTCCTGGGAAGCAGGGCAAAGACCTGCTGACGGTTACACACAATAGAATAAAGCATCCTTCGGGTTCTGTTTTCCAGTTCCCACCAAACACAGTATTTTTACAGTGTGATACATCCTCACATTGAATCAACTGCTTCCCTGTCTGATTTCTCTCTGGCAGACTGCTCCATTCTCGCCTGAGCAAGGACTTTTTAAAAACCACTCCTATGTTGTTCTTTTCTCTGTTAACATTTATTCAACTTGTATCCCCAAGAGTTTAATTTGTCAAATATTTGCAATAGATTCTTTTGTTCAGGGGGCTGAGCTGCATCCAGAGGGAATTAAGAGGCCAATTAGAGGAGCTCTTGTCTGCCGGAAGCTTAGAGTCTACTTGTTTGCCTAAGATATGCACATCTGTGGGAACTTGGAAGGCAAAAAGATTGGGTGGAAGGTTTTCTTGTAGTGGTTGAGTTTAAAATGGGAACTGTGGGCAGCCAGTAGTTCCTCTGATAAGTGTGAGAGCGCCTTCCAGCATGAACTGAGCCTGCAAATCACTTTAGGCACAATAGTGAGTAATGTAACTGGAGCAACAGAGTGGTGGGAGAAAAATCTGGAAGAATGCACAAGGGCTCTTAGAGCCTCCAGCTAGTATGTGTCTGCAAAGTTTCCTCATACCTACTTTAGAAGCATCACACCCAAGACAAAGGTCTGATAACACTGCATTAGTGTCTGGTTCCTACGTTCCTACTCGTATTACCCCAATTGACAGCATTAACTAAAATATAGTGGGGTGGGGCAGGGTGGGGGTGGGCGAGGAGTGGGGTTCCTGGTAAAGGGACTATGCCATCAAATAAGTAGGCTGTGGATTCTTAGAGGTGTATCCCTCCCCCAGTCTACTCTATAGAAAAGTTAGACAAATAGGTCTGGTAACCCGGGAACATATTCTACCCACAGTCACGAAGTGTCACCCTCTTGTCACATTCACTTGTTAGCCCTTACTTCTCTCTGAGTATCTGAATTCTAATTTGTCAGCTGCCTGGCTAGGCTAACTATGGCAGAATTCTCAGGGCAGGACTTTATGGACTGGTACTGTGAGTTTTCATTAGGAATTGATCATAAAGGAGAATATACCTGCAACAAGCTGGCACTGGAAGGGTCACTGTTAGTTTGAGGCTAGCCTGGAACTCTGTCTCAAACACTCAAACAGACAACATGTAAGAATACAAATGTATTCTTTCAGCAGACACATCTTGTTCCTTCAAGGGTCTGAGAACACCTTCAGTGCAGTATATGACCCAACACAGACACCTGTTGCTATGACAACAAGTGACTTCAGGCCCAGAGAGATGATAAATATTTCCAGGTTATCTCTTTCACCTTTCCATTTAAGAGTCTACTTGTGGGTCTATGGCCACACCACCCTGGACACACCCAATCCTATCTGAATTAGTAAATTAAGCAGAGTCAGTCTTGGTTAATACTTGGATGGGAGACCACCTGAGAATACCAGGTGCTGTGTAGCCTTTTTTGTTTTGTTTTGGCTTTGGTTTTTAGAGACAGAGTTTCTCTGTGTAGCTCTGGCTGTCCTGGAACTCTCTCTATAGACCAGGCTGGCTTCAAACTCAGAGATCCACCTATCTCTGCCTCTCAAGTGCTGGAATTAAAAGTGTGTGCTGTAGTCTTAAAAAAAAAAAAAAAGATGGTGGTAAGATTCTCAGCCTTCATACCCCATGAAGTGCTGTAACCTTGAGCCTTTAGTTATCTTTTGCATTGACTCTAAATTGAGTTTTCTTGTTTTCCATCCCCCACTTAAGAAAGTGGGCAAAGGAAGGGAGGAGTAGCGAAAAGGAAGTAAGAACTGTGCTCACCACCAACAAGGTGGTTTTGCAACTTTCTGGGGAAGAACCATGATGTTTGTTGTTGGGGAGGGGAAAGGGTGGAGCCAGGGAGGATGGGGACTGCAGGTCTAGGGAGGGGTAATGAGTGAGGTGGAGTTAGAGACCAACAAAGACAGATGTGGCAGAAGGAAAAGGAAACACCTGCCATGTATAGGCAAGGAAGAGAACAAAACTAGACCCAGCTAAACTGGACATGGTGGCACACGCCTTTAATCCCAGCACTCTGGAAGGAGGCAGGCAGATCTCTGTGAGTTCAGATCTCTGAGTTTGAGACCAGCTTAATCTATGTAGCAAGTTCTGGAACAACCAGGGCTACATAGTGACACCATCCTCAAAAAGTTAAAAAAAAAAAAAGCCAGTCAATAGAAAGGTCAGGGTATGAGTTACTATGTGGCTGCAGAAGCCTTAATCTTGGTCACCACAGAGAGAGAGCGTGTGATGTGAGAGGCATGGACCGACTGACTCTTCTTTCCACAGACTGCAGACTCAGGTCAGAGTGTCCACACAGAGCTTTCTGCACAGGTCTAGGCACACAGCTTTGTAATTCAAATTTCTTCAAAAAGAGATCCCAGTCAACCTATTTAATTTCATTCCCCGCCACTCCCCAGAACACCCTCCCAGAAGGCTGCATGAAGTTGCACACCCAGATTTGCTGGCTGTTGTTGGTCAGGAACCCTTCCCACTCTGTCTTTATACTTTATCAGTCTAGTAAAACCCCACATCCAGGCCCAGCCATGCCCTACCCCTGCATCGGGTTAATCTCCTTCCTACTAAAGTGACTACATGGCCTCTTGCTGGATTCTGAGCAATAGAAAAAGGAGAATAAGTATCCGAGGAGTGGTGATTTAGAAGGAAACAGATGATGGATGCAAAAAAATAAATAATAATGGAAAATGATTCAAGTAGCAAAGTGTCAAGCACTTAGGAGTGAGTGATGAACTTGATTAACAGGATAAAGCAGGTAAAGATAAGTGTGAGAAAGGTTTGAACTGGTGTTTATTTATTTATTTAGATTTGTTTTATACTTGTACAGCAGACAAGGTAGAGAAGTCATTAGGATATTTCAGAAAGGGATTGAAGTCTATAACAATTAATAGTGAGGCTTATTCAGGAACCTTAAAACAAATAAAAAGCAATAAAACAGTTGTGTAGGAAAGCCTGCTGAGAGGAATGTAGGAGCTGAAGCTTCCAGAAGGGTCAGAGCAGTAGGGACTGTCTCCACACTAGAGCTACCAGTGGTGCCCAGTAGACACATCATGAGCGTCAAACCAAAGGGGAGCTGATGAATGAAGAATTCTGTTGGAGGAACTGAAGTGGCATCGTCAAGACTTCTTGCAGCAGGCTAGAAAAGGAAAAAAGAAAAAAAACAGCTAATGCCCAGCCTCAGGCTGTGCCAGTGAGACCAGAAAGAACAGGATGTTTTCTGGAGGTGGCACGGCGGGGGTGGGTGAGGAGGAAGAAGCTGAAAGCAACACCTGGGATCCTACTGTGGGCCTAGGGAATTGATGGTGCTCCTTCCAAGACGGGGCTTTCATCTGTCTAGCTATCTAGTTGGTGTGTGCGCCACATCACACATGTGCAGGTCAGAGGACAGCGTTTGGGGGTCAGCTCTCTTCTTCACCATGTGGGTCACCCTCAGACCTGAGCGCTGCCCCAGCCAGCCCCTCGGCCTTTCTCACTTCTCTGCAGGTGACGGGCCCTCTGAGACCAAGGGTCTTTCCCGTTTCCCGTGAGCTCTGAAACTGGAGTGATGGCTGTTGCTTTCGTTTCTTAGTTGATGAAAGATAGACATGGGTACCATTCATTTCCAGCTGGGCTTGAAGTATATTGTATCAGAGTTTCTTAAGGCTTTCCACAGGGTCTTCATGAGAAGAGGTCCTTGCTTGTCTCTCTAGCCTCATGCACAAAGAGGAATCCGTGACAATGGCTAAAAGAGGGAGTCTTAATTTAAAAAAAATCTTCAAGGCTCATGCTTTATCTTTAAAGGCCAGGCATATTTTCTGAGTAATCTTGTTTTGGTGCAATGTCCTCTTCTATTCCCCTTTTAAAATTGGTTTAAGAGCTGGGTGTGACAGCAGCACAGGCCTTAATCCCAGCACTCGGGAGGCAGAGGCAGGTGGAGCTCTGAGTTTAAGGCCAGCCTGGTGTACAGAGTGAGTTCCAGGACTGCCAGAGACAGAGAAAGCCTGTCTCAAAAAGCAAGCAAGCAGCCGGGCGATGGTGGTGCACGCCTTTAATCCCAGCACTCGGGAGGCAGAGGCAGGCGGATCTCTGTGAGTTCGAGGCTGGGCTGGACCGATAGCCTCCAAAACAATACAGAGAAACCCTGTCTCATAAAAACCAAAAAAAAAAAAAAAAGCAAGCAAAGGCTGGGATGCAACTCAGTGGGAGAGTGTGTGTTTAGGTTGTGTGAGGCTTTGGGTGCAACCCAGCACCAAACCAAACATTCAAAACACGTTGCTCAAATAATGAGATTCCAGAAAGATAAAGTGTGTGTGTGTGTGTGTGTGTGTAGAGACAGACTATAAATGAGAATGAACAGATAGATTCCCCCACCCCCACCCCCTAATTTGAGAAAAGCTGCAGAGCCTTGTTTTTCTTAGCAGTGTGCCACATTCCTGATTCTGTTGAGCTGAGAAGGGACTGGACCTTTAATTACACCCAAGACCAACAGATAAGAGACTTGACTGTAACCATACGGGCCTTTCTGTCTTTCATCCCAGGTTCTGCAGAAGTTGGGGAAAACTGTAGAAACCAAAGATGAACGATTTGAACAAAGTGCCAGCAACTTCTACCAACAACAGGTAACCTGGAGGGTGGAGAAGGGACATCTGGAGGGGCCAAGTGCCTAAAGGTTCAGCTGCTGCTTATCCTTTTCTCTGAGAAGGGATGGGACTTGCCCTTCCTGTGGCTGTTGCCCTGCTAGTCCACGAGGGCTGTTAGCTCTTCTTTCTCTGCATATTACAGCATTTGCGTCAGGAAGACCCTGGCAGCCAGGCATGCTCGCTCGCTCCGGCTTGCCTCAGCAGAGACTGCTGAGGTTCTTCATAACACAAAAGTTATTCACTTAAATGAACATCTATCTCATGCCAGCGCAGTTCTGACACTATTGATTATCAGGTCAAATGTCACAGGCCACCAGACACCAGCAGCCATTTACAGCCCCCTCTCCCGTTTATTTCCCTGTAAAACATATATCCATGACTAGATCAGAAAGTATATTCAGAAAAAATAAAATAGAACAAGAATGGTCACTCAAGTTTACAATCTCAACAGTGGGAAGACTGAAGCAGGAAGGTCACAGTTCATACAAACTGTCCTTTGATCTCCATGTTTTCCTTGGCTCTGGCCTTCCCACATGTGTACACACACACACACACACACACACACACACACACACACACACACTTGTTGTGATATACGACTTAATTAAGTGTGTAGTTTCTAAAATGATTATTTTAAAGTTGTTTCTTCCCATGGTTGGATTATAACAAACTCTTCTCAGTTATTTGACTCTGGTTGGCCTGGAAACTATTTTGTATCTGAGGCTGTGCTGGGAATGGAACCTGGTCACTTACAACTTATGTTTTGCTGGTTGTTTTGTTGTTGTGTTGTTTCATTTTGTTTTTTGAGACAGGGTCTCTATTCCATAGCCCAGGCTGTCCTGGAACTCAATTGTAGACCAGGCTGGCCTCAAACTCCAGAGATCTGCCTATCTTTGCCTCCCAAGTGCCAGGATTAAAGGCACAGCCACCATACCCAGCTTTTTGTTGGCTGTTGAATATGTTCTGTGGTCTGTGTTTTCTAACTGTATAATAGGTGTAGAAGCTTGACTAGACTTTGGTTTCCATTTTTGTTTGGTGGCAGTAATATTTATAGGTGTCATTAAATTCTACCATCAGGAATCACATCATGTCTGCTTGTCTCCTTCCAGCTGGGGTATGAATAGCTATGAGTCAATTGGTAAAGGAATCAGCTCTTTATTTTCAACATGTAAAACTTATTCTCTGACACTCCCACACATGAATATACTGTATTTTGATCATTTCATCCCCATCCATCTGCACTCCATATCAGCTGTCACTTGCAGCTGTCCAGATCCTCTAACGCCCCAACACTTGCCTGGGTTCTGGAGTGATCTCCATTGTGTTGCTTTGATGAAGTATCTCATGAAGCTCGTGCTGCCTTGAATTCTGTGTACAGCTGAGGATAGTCTTGAACTTGTGATCCTCTTGCTTCCACCTCCCAGCTTCTGGGATTATATGTGTGAACCACCACAGTCTGTTAACCTGCTGCTAGGGTCAAACCCTGCTGTGTGCACACGAGGCATACACACTCCATCACATGCCCTGAGTAAGTATTGTTTCTGTGAGGCTCTCCTCGCCTCTGCCCGGCCTCTCTTCACAGCACAGGAAGAGGTGTTTTTCCTCAGGAAGCACAGCAGTCTTTTCTTTGTGGTACCCGGAGCACTTGCTCAAGGTTTGGTTGTGCTGTCTCTTGGCACAACCAGGACCTTCAACCCTCAGTCCCCGAGTCTGTTGGGACCCAGTTCTGCATAGCTGACTGCTCTGGCCAAGCTTCCACAGAGAGTGAGGGATTCATTTACTGAGAGTAGGGACTGTTTGTATAGAGGGTGCAAAGAACTAACTCAGGCTCTCTACGGCAACACCAAGAAATTGGCAAAGTTTCCGAGGGAGAAGTGATGAGATCAGCAGATCTGGAGATAGAAGTGGCTTAACCCTGCATTTATAGACGAGGGAAGTGAAGCCAGGGGTGTGGAGTAACCCGATAGTTGAGAGCAGCACACCAGACAACCAGCCAAGTGAGAGTCTGGCCTCAGGAAAACGGGGGCTAGGTGACCTAGCCTAGACATTTCGGGGAGGGTGGCCAGGCCACCTCCACCACCATTCCCGCTCCCCTACTTTCTCTCTTCAAGAGAAAGAGCAGGTGTAAAGGAAGAACGGTACGTGGTGTTGGAGAGATGACTCAGTGGTGAAGAGTGTGTGCCGCCCTCATGGAACACCCGGGTTCCCATCACTCATGCCGTGTCAGGCCGCTCACAGCAGCCCATGACCAGGCCTGCCACCCCCAGGCAAGTTCCTGGGGAGGACAGAGAGGGCACTGCAGTAACAGGAAACTGTGAGCTGCCTGCACTGGCAGCTGTGAACCCAACACGTCCTCTGTAAGAACAGTGCAGGCTCTTAACCTAACCACTGAGCCATCTGATCAGCCCAGTTGGACAGTTCTTATCATTCAGATTGTTTTGAAATCAAGTTTTCATGATGAAGTACAAAGAAGTCCATATTGCTTTATTTCAAACAGAATGTGAAATCTTCATTAAATTTTTAGAAGTGTTTTGTTTGTTTTTTGAGGCAAGGTTTCTCTGTGTAACAGCCCTGACTGTCCTGGAACTCACTCTATAGTCAGACTGGCCTCAAAATCACAGAGAACACCTGTCTCTGCCTCCCGAGTGCAGAGGTTGGCGTGCACTACCACCACCTGGCAGATTTTTATTTTTATTTATGTGTATGTTTGTGTCTATGAGCATGCACATGCATGTTCAGGTTTTCAGGAGAATGTGTTGGATCCTTGGAGTCAGAGTTACAAGTGGGTAGTGGGAATTGAATTCTGGCTCTCTGTAAGAGCAGCAACTGATCTTAAATGTTGAGCTATCTCTAGCCCTTTTATTAATTTTTATAACCTCAAAAACCCTCCTAAAGCCCTTAAGCTGGCAGGACAGCTCTTTGGTAAAGGCACTTGCTGCCAAGTTTGATGATGTAAATTCAGTCTCTAGAGCCCACATGACATTGGGAACCAACCTCTGCCATTGTCCTCTGACCTCCATAAGTTATTAGGTAGAATTTTCTTTTTTTTTTCTTTATCTTTAGCCTTTCTAGTAGTGAACAAGTTCCCAGGGAGTATTTCCTGGTCTACTGCATAACATCTTTGAGGTTTCAAATGCTCTGTTCCCTGAGCTGGTTCCTTCTGATCCACAGGTTGACCTGCAGCATACCTTTGAAGTGGGCCACACCTTAGTTCTCTCCCACGCTCCTGAAGTCAGGCTTCAGATGTCAGTCATCTGGCCTTTCACTCCCTCTCCACCCCGATCCTAGAAACTGGAGTTTCCCACACAGGAGAGAAGAGAGTGAGGAGAGGGCAATATCCAGAACCATGTTAGAAAGCAAATCTGGATGTAGTCCACACATCTAAAATCTCAGCACTTTTGGTTTGGTTTGGTATTGATTTGGTTTTCCGAGACAGGGTTTCTCTGTCCTAGAACTCACTCTGTAGACCAGGCTGTCCTCGAACCCACAGAAATCCACCTGCCTCTGCCTCCCACGTGCTGGGATTAAAGGCGTGCACCACCAACTCCCGGCTTAATCCCAACACTCTTAAGGTGAAATGGGGGGTTGGACATAGGAGAATCAGCCAGACGCCAGCCTGAGTATGTAGTGGAGCAAAAACAGTAAGAGAGACCGCACCTCGACAAAGTGGAAGGTGAGAACCAACCCCCAAAGTTATTCTCTGATCTCCACACATGAGACATGCACGCCCACACTCACACACACTTCACATATATACTCACATACATAACAATAAATAATTTTTTAAATTTTCTGAGGCTGGAGAAATGGCTCAGCAGTTAAGAGCACTTGCTGCTCTTAGAGAGGACGAGAGGACTGGGTTTGGATCCCAGTACCCAGTTGCAACCATCTAAAACACCAGTACCAAGGAATCCAACACCATCTTCTGGACATAGGCAGTACACCTACACATTGGCAACCAGGACACTAATATGAATACAAAAGGTTTTAAATGTTTCCTATACAGATACAGAAGGGCAGCCATCTATTCAAGATCTATTTAATATGAAGAAGCACTATCTGGGGCAGGGGTTCCAAGTTTCTGTTTCCTGAAGGTACTTAAGAAGCAGAGAATAGGGCTGGAGAGATGGCTCAGTGGTTAAGAGCATCTACCATTCTTCTAGAAGACCTGAGTTCAGTTCCCAACATCTGCATCTGATGGCTCACAACTTCCTGTAACTCTAGCTCCAGTTAGACCTGACTCCTCTAGTCTCTTTGGGCACCCCAGTTTATACTCACAGAGCCACAGATAGACTGTTAAAAAAGACTAAAAAATGATTCATTTAAAAGAAGAAGCAGCAGAAAACCTCTACCATTTAGGAAGCTGAGGCAGGAGCATAGTCACAAGTTCAAGGCAGCCTGGACTAAGGAAAGATTTTGTCATTAAACAATGACAAAGCAGAGGCTAGAAACAGATGTCAGAACTGCAGGCTATTTATTCATCAGGCTGAGATCTAATTCTGACTCCCTACTCTGGCTCCCCTTCTTTTTAAGAAAGAGACAGAGATGAGAGGGGGAGAAAAGAAAGGGGGAAGGGAGGGAGGGAGAGAGAGAGAGAAACAGAGAGAGACAGAGAGAAAGAGAGAGAGACAGAGAAAGAGAGACAGAGAGAGAGAAAGAGAGAGAGACAGAGAAAGAGAGAAAGAGAGAGAGGGAGAGAGGGAGAGAGAGAAGGAGAGACAGAGAGAGAGAGACAGAGAGAGAGACAGAGAGAGAGATAGAGAGACAGAGAGAGAGAGACAGAGACAGAAACAGAGAGAGAAAGAGAGAGACAGAGAGAGAGAGAGAAAGAGAGACAGAGAGAGAGAAAGAGAGAGACAGAGAGAGAGAGAAAGAGAGAGAGACAGAGAAAGAGAGAGAGGGAGAGAGACAGAGACAGAGAGAGAGACAGAGAGAGATAAAGAGAGAGACAGAGAGAGAGACAGAGAGAGAGAGAGACAGACAGAAACAGAGAGAGAGTTCAGACACAAGAGAAAGGCAGATGCAGGTCTAGACATAATGGAAGTGGCAGATGGACTCCTTGGAGTAGGAGCAGGTGACTGGGGGAGGGCGGGGGGGAGGGCAAATGAAGGAAGCTGCCTGGGAGGCAGGAAATGTCTGTGTGAAGGTTCAGAGAGGAAAGGGCCTGTTGTACCGATGGCAGGGAGGATCACACAGACAGCCACATACGGGGACCCTCATCCCAGGACTTGGGTATAGGCTCTGGTGCACTGGAAGAGAGAAAAAGCAGATGGCAAAGATAAGCAGTAGGAGCTCCCACTATCCCAGCTCATACATTGACCCCAGAAAGACGACCTGCAGCTTGTTGGCAGAGTGACAGCAGCACTGGCAACTGGGAATTCTTGCAGAATTCCAGACATGAGCTCTGTCTTTACTGTACTTTCCAAGGCCGACCTCTGGAGCACCTTCCAAAAAGATCTTGTTAGTCACCAAAGCTGCTCTTTGCTTCCAGGCAGAAGGCCACAAGCTGTACAAGGACCTGAAGAACTTCCTTAGTGCAGTCAAAGGTGGGTATCCAGCCTGGGAGGATGCAGGAGCTGGGCACGCTGAGGTGGGCAGAGCAGCCCAACCCAGGGTTCTCAGTGCTCAGCTGGCCTGGACTCCGTGGGTCTCTGAGTGACTTCCTATCCCAGACCCACTCAGCTTCTCTTGCTGCAAACCCATCTTTCTGACTTGTCACTATGTGATGACATCGTCTGCTTTTTAAGACACTTTGTGATAGGACTGAGTTCTCTCCTTTCAGTGATGCATGAAAGTTCAAAGAGAGTGTCAGAGACCCTGCAGGAGGTTTACAGCAGTGACTGGGATGGACACGAGGAGCTGAAGTCCATCGCGGCGGTAAGGGCAGCTCGGGCATGACCCTGCCTTGGGATGCGTTCCCATCTCCCCTCAGCTGAGCTTCTCTGTCCCGGAAAACAGGGAAACGGGCTGGTTCAGTCTCTGCTGCAGAGCCTCCATCTCTAAGCCACAGGATGGCAGCTGGCTCTACCTTGTCCCTTGTCACAGAAACGTCCCCTCCTTGAAGACAGGTTGTTTATGAAAAACAACTGCATGCAGTTCCCTCTCCCCATGCACGCTAAGCTTGGGGTCAGGGTCCTGTTTCCTGTTCTTTACCCCCACCCCCAAATGCAGTTCCTTAGGTGGAGCCCCCCCTCTTCTTGAGAATCTGCCAGGTATTCTAACTATGGTGCTACAGAAGAGTTCTGTGCCGGGAGAGTCTGGGTGCGTCTCTGGTGGACGGTTGGAGAAGTAGGGCACTCACCACCTCTGCCTGAATCCCGCAGAACAATGATCTTCTTTGGGAAGACTACGAAGAGAAACTGGCCGACCAGGCTTTGAGGACCATGGAAAACTATGTGGCCCAGTTCAGTGAGGTGAAGGTAACTCAGTCTGTTGAGTGGGGCAGGGTTAGAGACAGTCCACACTAGTTAGAAGACACACCAGGTTTACATTATAAGAAGCACTTGAGCCCATGGTGAGGGTTAGGCAAGAGGTCAGGATGACAGCAGTGCTGGGAGGTTGTTTACACTTGGATGTCAGTGACTTACACTTAGGGCTCAACTGATAAGTGAACCAGATCCAACGAGGTCAAGGAATCCGGCTCTCTTTTTTAACCTTAAGATTTATTTTTAAGCCGGGCGTTGGTGGCGCACGCCTTTAATCCCAGCACTTGGGAGGCAGAGGCAGGCGGATCTCTGTGAGTTCGAGGCCAGCCTGGTCTACAAGAGCTAGTTCCAGGACAGCCTCCAAAGCCACAGAAGAAACCCTGTCTCAAAAAACCAAAAAAAAAAAAAAAAGATTTATTTTTATGACATTCAGTTATGTGTGTGTGTTTGAGTGGGGCATGTGCACATGGGTACAGTGCCCTGGAGGTGAAAGATATTGGATCCCTGAAGCTAGAGGTACAGGTGGTTGTGAGCACCTGATGTGGGTGCTGGAAACTGAGCTTCGTCCTCTGGAAGAGCAGAATGACCTCCTAACTGCTGAACCATCTCTCCAGCCACAAATCATCCATTTCTTTTATTTTATTTAAACGGAGTGTTGCTATATAGTCCGGGATGACCTGAAGCTTGCCATCCTCCTGTCTCAGCCTTCTGAGTTCTCAGATTACAGGTGTGTGTCACTATGCCTGGCTAGGCATCTCTTTTAGATGTTAGAAACAGCTAATGAAGCTAAAGATGTCCATAGTATAGAAAAAACTTAGAAGCATCTTAATATTATCTTCAAATACTTGAAAATCTGTCAGATGCAAAGAATCCAGTCTATTCCAAAGTGTTCTATAAAGCAGAATTAAAATTTAATATTACTTAATTACTTAAAAATATATGTTGGGAAGTGGTGGCACATGCCTTTAATCCCAGCACTTGGGAAGCAGAGACAGGCAGATCTCTGTGAGTTTGAAGCCAGCCTGGTCTACAAAGCGAGTTCCATGACAGCCAGGGCTGTTAAACAGAGAGCCCTGTCTTGAAAACCAAGAGGCAAACAAAACAACAACAAAAACCCACCAAACTACAACTAAACTTTAAAAAAAATTTTTTTTGGTTTTTCGAGACAGGGTTTCTCTGTGGCTTTGGAGGCTGTCCTGGAACTAGCTCTTGTAGACCAGGCTGGCCTCGAACTCACAGAGATCCGCCTGCCTCTGCCTCCCAAGTGCTGGGATTAAAGGCGTGCGCCACCAACGCCCAGCTAAAATATTTTTTATTAATTTTCTTTATATGTATGTGTGTCTGTGAGTGCCCACAAAAGCCAGAGGATGGCGTTGGAGCCTCTGGTGCTGAATTGCAGGTGCTTGTTAGCCACCTGATACGGGTGCTGGGAGCCAAACTTGGTTCCTCTGGGGACCGTTTTTGCTCTTAACTTCTGAGCCATCTCTTCAGTTGCTCTAAAATAATTTATTACATTCATTTATTTGCTGCGTGCATGCGTGCGTGCGTGTGTGCGTGCGTGTGTGCGTGTGCGTGTGTGTGTGTGTGTGTGTGCGCGCGCGCGCATAACAGCACAACAGGGTAGGTCAGAGGACAGCCTTGGGAGTCAGCTCTCTCATCTACATTATCTCAGAGATGGGACTCAGGCTGTCAAAGTTGGAGGCCAGTACCTGTAGGTAGTGACACATCTCTGTGGCTTCAGAAATAGGATTTTTTTTTATTTATTCTACTAAGTTTATTAATCATCTATTCTGCTGGCACTGTCTGCTTGTAAGAGGAAGCTGACATAGGCTTCCAAATTGATGTTAATGATTAAGCTTTTAAGCTTAAGCTTTTTGAAAAAGATGAAATACACTCTGAGATAGTTTCCTGTTCTGTGTCCAAGCAGAAGCTGAATTACATCACTGGTTTTCTTGTTTATTTGAGACAGAGTCTTACTTTGTAGCTGTCTTAGTTAGGATTACTGTAGTTATGATGAACATCATGACCAAAAGCAACTTGGGAAGGAAAGGGTTTATCTGGCTTATACTTTCACATCATAGTTCATCATCCAAAGAATTCAGGACAAGAACTCAAGCAGGGTGGGAGCTGATACAAAAGCCATAGAGGGTGCTGCTTCCTGGCTTGCTCCTCGTGGCTGCTCAGCCTGCTTTCTTATAAAACCCAGGACCACCAGCCCAAGGATGGCACCACCCACAATAGGCTGGGTCCTCCTCTATGAATCACTAATTAAGAAAATGCCTTACAGCCAGATCTTATATGGAGACATTTTCTCAGTTGAGGTTCCTCATTTCAGATAACTCTAGCTTGTGTCAAGTTGACTAAAAGTAACCAGCAGAATAGTCCAGGCTGGCCTTGAACTCACAGAGATGTACCTGCGTCTGCTTCCTAGGTGCTGAAATTAAAGTTATGCACCACCACAACTAGCTTCCTCCTTTTTTAAAGATTCATTTACTTATTTTGTGACGTTGGTGCAGGTACCTGAACACTAGAAAAGGTGTCAGCTATCCTAGGACTAGATTAGAGGTGGTTGTGAGCAATCTGATGTGGGTGCAGGTAATTGAACCCAGGTCCCCTGAAGTGCAGCCAGTGAGTACTCTAGGCAGCTGAGCCATCTCCCTAGACCCTTGAGTTGCTTCTTGTCTTGGACATCGCAGAGGCACTTCATGCAACCCCATCCTGAAACAGGGGTGAGGAAGCTATAGAAGATGATCACAGATCTCTCCCAGTTCTGACATTTGAGCTGGGCAGGGCGGGGTCTGTTCCCCCAGCACAGTTTATAGTTTCAATGAGACTGCATAAACTCTTACTGCTTATAACAATTTATGATTTCTGGGTAGACCTCTGAGAAGTGCTTTATGCTCAGCATCTGGTCTTTAAAGAAATGTTAGTGTAGGGTTGATGAGGCTATCAAGGTTCAAAAAGAGATGTCCCCTGCCTAGGCCACAAGACTAGTAAGTGGTACAGAGAGAACTAAAACCCAGAGTCCTGACTTTCAGTTTAGTGGGTTTCTCACGGTTGTTTCTCCTGGAAGCTGGACCAGTTTATAACAGGCTTGTAGGAAATTTTAAATCTTAATACATATTTCTTAGATGGACGGTGGTGCCGCATGCCTTTAGACTCAGCACTTGGGAGGCAGAGACAATCAGATCTCTGTGAAATTGAGGCCAGCTAGGTCTACAAAGTGAGTTCCAGGACAGGCTCCAAAGCTACACAGAGAAACCCTGTTTCAAAAGACAAACAAAACAAAATTCATTTAAAATTAAAAACAAAACAAAAAATCTTAATACAGATTTCTCTACCTGAGAAGCCCTGTTTTTCTGACATCATGAGGGACCCCAGTTACACAATTCAGTGATAAAGTCCAAGAATCCAGTGTCTTTGCTTGGTACTCTATTACATATTCTGGTCACTGGAAAGTGAGTTACATCTATACCCTTTCTCATCACCCTGGACTAGGAGAGAATTGCCAAGCGGGGCCGGAAACTGGTAGACTATGATAGTGCCCGACACCACCTGGAGGCCGTGCAGAATGCTAAGAAGAAAGATGAGGCTAAGACTGCCAAGGTAAAAGCCAAACAAAAAAACAAAAAAACCTGCCACCACTGGAGGAATGCAGGACAAGTGCAGGAATGACAGATTCCTGTGTCCTGAAAAATACTTTTTCTTTTGCCATATTACCATGAGGGCAGTCAGAGCCCTAAGGCTGAGGAGGACTCAGGTCTGGGCAGGGAGAGGGGAGGTGGTGAGGATGACAAAGGCAGCCTCTACCTCTCGTTCTATCACCCAGGCAGAAGAAGAGTTCAGCAAAGCCCAGGGTGTGTTTGAAGATCTGAACCAGGAGCTGCTGGAGGAGCTGCCCGTTCTCTATAATAGGTAATGATGCTTTCAGGACGGGCCACTGCTCAGGCCAGTGGAGCACAGAGTCACCAGTAGTCCACGTATGGCACCTCATGAGAAGAGCCCTGTGTAAGAATGGGACGTGGATGTGGCCTCAGCCCTGCCACTAATTGGCTGTGAGATTAAGCAAGCATCCTTATCTCTCTAGACTTGTGACACAGATAGCCATCCTTGCCCCACCAGCTTTTCTGGGTTTGAGGACAAGGTATTTGTTGGGTAGGAGAGATCTTGTCTAGTAAAGTGCTTTGTCATCCACATTTCAGTTCACAATTGTGTACTGTTTTAAACCACCATTCGATTCACACAGACCCTAGGAAGGTGATCCCCACTAACAAAAGTACCATGCTTCATGGTAGACAAAAGGTTTTAGATTTGAAGTTTCCATAGTGGAAAAGAAATGGGCTGAAACTTCACTTGTGTCTTATTTTTATTGCACCAAGTACACTTCCATAAGATTGCAGCCTTTCTTAAGTCAGGGCCTAGTTATGTATCCCAGGCTGGCCTTAGACTTTTGATCCTCCTGTCTGGACTTCCCAAAGGCCAGGATTACATACATGGCCACCATGCTAAGATGTTAACATGCCGTTTTTTATTGACTGCATTTATGTGAATTCAAGACAGGATTTCCCTATATAACAGCCCTGGCTCTCCTGGAACTCACTTTTTAGACCCAGGCTGACCTCAAACTCACAGAGATCCACCTGTCTCTGCCTCCCAAATGCTGGGGTTAAAGGTGTGTGCCATCATAACCCACAGGACTCCAAATTTAAACAGAGTAGAAACAGTTTCTTTCTGGGTGTTATAGGGAGCCCACCAGAGAGGACCACTCAGTTTAGCCAGTTGAAAGCCTTTATTCCAGTCCAGCCAGATAACTTCTATGTCAGCCTGTGCTAACATTGTCTCCCCTCACTTTTCTGACTCCTGGCCCATCTACCATGAGTCACATTCCAGATCATCTAGGAGACCAGATGCCTTTCTCTGGTGAACCTTGGTGGTGGTTATCTGGGCGCCCTGCTGCTCTTACCCATGCTTGTTTGTTTCCCTGTAGCCGAATTGGCTGTTATGTGACCGTCTTCCAAAACATCTCTAACTTGAGAGATGTATTCTACAAAGAGATGAGCAAGGTGAGAGACGCCTCAGTGGGATTCTTAGTGGCATCCGTAGTGGGCCTTACTTACAAAGTGTACAGTGTCTTTAGACAGTTGTGCTGGGAACATAGAGTTGACTTTTATCACCTGATGAAGTGATTGTGCTGAATGCTATTAAAATGCACATCTGTGCACACTATCAGAGTGTCTTCTCCAGCTCCCTTAACTGACTGAACCCGAGTTCCAGCATGAGTCATTGACCTGAGAGCAAAGTGGTGAAGCCCCAGGTGCTGCTACAGAGTGGGGAGAGTGGTGTTCAAACACAGGCCATTTTTTCAGTAGATGCACTAGGGGACCAGTGGCCATGACTGGCAGCCATGAACACGACCTTGTGAGGTCTTTTCTCTGTGAAATTACAGGGTTCCCTACTGTTTCATGTTATATTCACAGATAGTCACAGGTTCCTTCCCAGAGTTCACTGCTAACTTAGGACTTGCTTAGTTAATGTTAACATGAGCATTTATTCCTTGCATCACCTGAGACAAGTGACAACCTCAAGTCAAACCCTGCCTTGAGAAAGCTGCCCTCGGGGCACAGTGGACCAAGGAGAAAGGGAGTAGGGCGGGGTCAGATGGAGAGCCGAGGGTGGTGGTACAAGGACCAGGTTTTGATTGGGAAGCTGACTGGGGAGGGAATGACCATGGACTCCCATTTGTCAGTATCCCTGCTTTCTTCCTGGTTCTAGCTGAACCACAGTCTCTATGAAGTGATGAGCAAACTGGAGAAGCAGCATTCCAACAAAGTCTTTGTGGTGAAGGGAATGTCGAGGTGAGCCGATGAGAACCTGTCACACCACAGGCCCTGCCTTTTGGTTCTTGGTCATTGCTGTTTACCCTGTGCCCCCATGGAAATTATTTTTCTTTTCATCAAATATCTCAGGTATAATTAAAAATGAAAAAAAAATCATATACCTACCACCAAACTTAGGCAACCAGCTGTTGTAACCAGACACAGTGGCACACTCCTATCTTGAGTTTGGTCCTAGTCTCACAGGGTAGAAAGAGAGAACCAATTTCCACAAGTTGTCCTCTGACCTCTACATGTACCTCTGTGGTGTCTCTTAGTTCCGACTGCAGTGCAACCTCTTTTGTGTCCCTGGTGCTCTTTGACATATTCTTTGTGGTTCCAGATTGCTTGCTTTCTTGAATGGTCATTGGTCCTGCAGGAGAGCTCAGGGTTCCTGCTCTGTGACACCCCTGTTGATCCTTTTCCTGCTTTTCAACTATTTAACCCTCTCTGAAGAAGTGATTTTCGTCAGGTTTTTGTTGGTGTATTCTGGATTCCAATCCTGTAATTACACGCATTGTAAATTAAATATCTTCCTATCTGTCTTGACTTCTTCTGTCACTTGTGTATGCTATGCTATATCTTTTCCATTCATGAGTTCTTCATACTGGTAAATGTCCCTTGGCATATGATTGTTCCCACTGAAGTATGTAGGTTGCATTTAGCTCCTTCTGTGACAAGGTTTAATACTGGGTGTTATAGATCCAATGACATAGGAGACCTGGCCTTCCCTAGTGAGTTTTACAAGATGGTGGTGGTACAGAGGCCTGTCTCCATAGGCAGTGCTGACTGGGTCTCATTACCAGTGGGAATTCAGCCTGCATGAAGATCCTGGCAAAAGGCTTCAAGATGGCAGTGAGCCTGGCCTTGTGACCAGGGGAAGAGTGAGGCTCATGTTTAGGGAGGATTATAGATTTCAAAAACAATTACTAATGGGTCAATGTAGGTACCTTTGTCGACATATTTCCCTTTGTTACAAAATCTCCATTTCTCTCTTCTCCAGCACTGAAAGCCAGAGTTCTCTGTCCATTCTCCCCAACTTTGTTGTCAACTCCATTGATGTCCCAGGACGCTGAAGAGATGTCAGCTCTTTTCTTGTTTTGAGCCTTCTAAACTTACTGACACTAGGAAAAGACTTAGGTCACTCGAGCACCCCCATCAGAACAAGTACCGAGTGTCTCTCCACCGGCCCTCAAGCCCAGGACACAGCAGGGTAGAGCAGGTCAAACTACATGTTCTCAGGGTCCAGTCTATTTTTCTTTTCGCACTTGTATAAAACTGAGATTGTGGTGTAGATGAAATTTTGTGGTACCTTTTACTTCATTTTTCACGAGCTTCACTGACAATTGTGCCCCCTTTCCAACACTGCCTTAACCTGCTGTTTTCAGCGTGGGTGGTAATTACTGTGGCCATTTAGGTGGCAGCTGTCCCGTGACCCTTCCAAATCTGAATGTCCTTCCTTCCACAGCAGCAGCAGGCGCTCCTTAGTCATCTCTCCCCCAGTTCGAACCTTGACAGCCTCTGGCCCTGTGACCTCACCTACCAGCCCCTCAGCTGTCTTTGTGACCAGTGAGAGTGAGTCTGTCTCCGCAACCAGAGAAGCGCTGACCTCTGACACAGCAGATGGAGAGGATAGCAGTGACAGCAAGGAGTCCTTACAAGATGAGGGAGTGGAGGAAGGCCAGTCAGAAACAAGTTCTTCAGAGGAAGAAGAACCTCTACCGGCCTGGGACGGCCCCACCCAGGCCCCACCCTCGCCTGCACCCCAGGAGGAAGCTGCCCTTTGCTCCCCAGCTCGATCCCTGGGCAGAGGTCAGACCCCAGGGGAGCAGCCTTCCCCACCAGAAGTTGTCCTCCGCACCCGCACCTCGAGTGAAGGAGCGGAGCAGACCAAAAAAGGAGCCTCTATCCAGAGGGCGTCGGCACCCCCAAGTCGGCCTCCACCACCCAAAGCCCCTCCCAGCCCCAGGCTTGCCTCAGGCAGTGGGCCCAGTAGTTCTCCAGCCTTTGGAGAGGGTTCACCTCGCAGCCCCAGGGCCTCCTTCGAAGCCTCTTCCAATCCAGACGCACCCGAGAAGCCCCTGAGAACCCCAGAGGCCTCAGAAAAGGAAAGCCCTGGCAGCCCAGGCCCAGAAGAGCTATGCACCTCCTCCACTGTGAGCATCTCCCAGGCAAGTGAGGCTCTGGTTGGGCCTTTTTCTATTTGATTTGGTTTGACTTTTTAATTTTTTTAATTTTAGTTTTTGGAGACAGGATCTCTATGTAGTTCTGGTGCCCTGGAATTTGCTCTTTAGACCAGGATGGCCCTGAACTCACAGAGATCTGCCTGCCTCTCCTCCTGAGTGCTGGGATTGAACACTTGCACCACTGAGCCCAATATTAATAAAACTATTTTAATGTTGGCTTAAGCATGAGGTTTAAGAAAGAGGGTCACTCAGACAGACAGTTAAGAATGCCCCAGAACACAGGTGTGGGCTTCTTAGAGAGAGCTGCTTTTTGTTTGTTTTGTTTTTTATAATTTTTATTTATTTTATTTTATGTGCATTGGTGTTTTGTCTGCATGTATGTCTGTGTGAAGCTGTCAGATCTTGGAATCACAGGCAGTTGTAAGCTAGGAATTGAACCCGGTCCTCTGGAAGAGCAACCAGTGCTCTTGACTGCTGAGCCACCTCTCAGTCCTGAGTGTCTGTTAAAGATTTATTTATTTATTACATGTACAATGTTCTGCCTACATGCCAGAAGAGGGCACCAGATTGAATTGTAGATTGTTGTGAGCCACCATGTGGTTGCTGGGAATTGAACTCAGGATCTCTGGAAGAGCAGTCAGTGCTCCTAACCTCTGAGCCATCTCTCCAGCCCAAGTGTTTGTTTCCTTAAGACAGAGACTCACTACATAGGCCTGGCACTCTGGGGCTAGAACTCTGGAGCTCACTATGTAGAACAGGCAGGCTTCGAATGCCCAAGGTCCCTGCCTCTGTTTCCCGGGACACCACTGTGTCCACTACTGCGCTGAGCTTCTGTTTGGTCTTTGTTCCTTTGCTGTGGTCAGAATGCTCCATAGCCAAGAAAAGTCAGGATTTCAGGGTCTTCAGGTTTCTCCCTGACGGGCTGGGAGTACAGGTCAGTCTGTAGAGTGTCCGAGTACTTGTCTGGTGTGCACAAGTACTAGATGGATCCTCAGTCCAAAGGCACAACAAAAACCACCCAGCAACACCCTTGGGCACTTTTTCTTAAAATCTGAAATTGTTTTGAAATTTTTTTGTCTGTTTTGTTTTGTTTGAGGCATGGTCTTGCTTGGTCTAGAGGTCTAGAACTCACTTTGTAGACCAGACTAACCTCAAACTCATAGGAAATTTACCTGCATCTCCTCCTGAGTCCTGGAGTTATAAACCACCATGACCAGTTCTCTCTCCTCACATTCATTCATTCATTCATTTGTCTATCTATCTGTCTGTCTGTCTTTTTAGTTAGTTAATTAGATTTTTCTAGACAGGGTTTTTCTGTGGCTTTGGAGGCTGTCCTGGAACTTGCTTTTGTAGACCAGGCTGGTCTTGAACTCACAGAGATCCACCTGCCTCTGCCTCCATCTCCCGAGTGCTGGGATAAAAGGTGTGTGCCACCAACACCCGGCTCTCCCCACCTTTTTAAAAAAATATTTATTTCTTCATTGTGCCTGTAAATGTGTGTTGGCACACATGCATCATAGCTTAGATGTGTGTGCACCTGTGAATGTGTGTTGGTACACGGGCATCATGGCTTGGATGTGGAGACCAGAGAACCACTCTCGGGAATCTGTAGAATCCTTCTATTATTGGCTTCTGAGGATTGAACCGAGACATCAGGTTTGGCAGCAAGTGTCTCTACTCAGTAAGTAATCTTGCAGCCTCCCCCTCACCTTTGACATTGGGTCTCACATAGCCTGGCCTCAAACTTGCTACACAGCTCAGGGTGACCTTGAGCTCCGTCCTCCTGCCTGATCTTACCAGTATTGGGATTAAAGGATGTGTCACCATCCCCATTATTTTTCAATAGGGGCAGGAGACAGTCGACAGTTTATAATTCTTGCCTATAGTAAATAAGCCAAATAAGAGGGCAGCAGAATTTCAGGACATAGCTTCTTTGATGACAAGGACCTAAAAGAAGGAATGTATAGGACTCATAAAGAAAAGATGAGGAAACAGAGTCTCACTACGTAGCTCTGATTGGCTTGAAACTCACTGCAGAGACCAGGCTAGCCCTGAGTTTGCAGCAGTCTTCTTGCCTCTGCCTTCCAAGTCCTGTGACTACAGGCATGTGCTACCATACCTATAGGGATGGCCTTTGAAATGTGAGAGGACAGGTACGAAAAAGGCGGTCATGGAAGAACAAAGAGTTCTATTAGGGTTATGGAAATCAAGTTATGTTATATTAAAGTTACTGGGTTTTTTCTATTTATTTAAAAAATTTAGCCGGGCAGTGGTGGCGCACGCCTTTAATACCAGCACTCGGGAGGCAGAGGCAGGCGGATCTCTGTGAGTTCGAGGCCGGGCTGGACCGATAGCCTCCAAAACAATACAGAGAAACCCTGTCTCTTAAAAGCCAAAAAAAATTATTTTATATATATTATATATGTACAATATTGTATATGTATATTTAAAGAGAAAGAGTGTGTGTATTTGTGTGTGTTTTTTGCTTGCATGTAGGTCTGTGTACTGTTGTGTATGTGCCTGGTACCAGAGAGGGCAGTGGATGCCCTGGAACTGAAGTAACAGTTGTGAGCTGCCGTGTGGGTGCTGAGAGTCTAACCTAGGTCCTCTGGAAGAGCAGCCAATGCTATCTCTCCAGGCCCATATTCAAATCATATGAGAAACGTATCATAATGAAGGGAGAAATAACTGGGCTGACTCGATGGTAGGTAGAAGTACTTGCTGTGAAAGTTTGAATTTAATCCCTGGGACCCATTGTGGAGAGAGAAAATTGACTTCCTAAAATCATCCCAACATGACATCTGTGTGTTCTTCACACACACACACACACACACACACACACACACACACACACACACACACACACAGAACTGTAATAAATAATTGAGAAGTGCGGGATGGAACTGGGCCTGTTGGCACATGCCTGGATCCCAGTGACAGTACCTGAAATACCAGGCAGAGTGATTCAGAGTTCAAGGCCAAATTGTTACATAAAACAAGATCCTGCCTCAAAAAGGCCAAGCAAACAAGCAATGAGGATGAGAAAAAGAATTAAGAAAAACTGTTGGGGAAAGGGAGGTGCATAAAGCCTGTCAGGAAAACAGCATAGGGTAGACTCCCTTGAAAAAAATAATTTTTTCCTTGATGTTGAGCAGTGTAGATGGTCTGTGGTCAGGTGCATTGTAGAGAGGGTCACATGACATGACCGACCAGACAGCACTAGGATTCACTCACCAGGCAAGCCCATACTATGTTCCAGGCACTTTTCTGGAAGATGGTTAAGACAGTGGACAGTGCTTTGATGTCTAGCTAAGTTAGATGCTTGCCTGACATACATAAACCCCAGGTTTGATACCTAGCACTCCATTAACCAGGCATGGTGGCACAGGCCTATGATCCCAGCACTACAGAGGCAAAGGCAGTAGGATGAGAAGTTCAAGGTCACCCTCAGCTGTATGGTGGGTTTGGAACCACGCTGGACTACGTGAGACCCTGTCTCAACAAATCAGATGTGGGCTGTGACCCAGCTCCAGGGCAGGGAGAGGTGAGGCATGTGGGAAGATCCCGGGACCTTCCAGACAAACCTAAAAGCTGTGAGACCTGGGTCTGGAAAGAGTGTAGGCAGAATATTCTATCCCATCTGCCAGCTCCAATAACCACACAGAAACTTAGTAATTAATTATAAATACTTGCCCGATAGCTTAGACTTGTTACTAACTAGTTCTTACAACTTAAACTAACCCATATTTTTTATCTACACTCTAGATACCTTTTTCTTTTTTAAAATGGGAACAAGCTTCTATATTTAATTATCTATTTATTTATTATGTATACAGTATTCTGCCTGCAGGCCAGAAGAGGGAACCAGAGTTGTGGGGCTCTGTCATCCGGGGTGGGCAGTTGTGGGGCTCTGTCACCTGAGGTAGGCAGTTGTAGGGCTCTGTCATCTGGAGTGAGCAGTTGTGGGGTTGTCACCTGGGGCAGATGATTGTGAGGCTGTGTCATCTGGGGTGGGCAGTTGTGGGGCTCTGTCATCTGAGGTGGGCAGTTGTAGGGCTCTGTCACCTGGGGTGGGCAGTTGTGGGGCTCTGTCATCTGAGGTGGGCAGTTGTGGGGTTGTCATCTGGGGTGGGCAGTTGTGGGGCTCTGTCACCTGAGGTGGGCAGTTGTGGGGTTGTCATCTGAGGTGGGCAGTTGTGGGGTTCTGTCATCTGAGGTGGGCAGTTGTGGGGCTCTGTCATCTGAGGTGGGCAGTTGTGGGGCTCTGTCATCTGAGGTGGGCAGTTGTGGGGCTCTGTCATCTGAGGTGGGCAGTTGTGGGGCTCTGTCATCTGAGGTGGGCAGTTGTGGGGCTCTGTCACCTGGGGTGGGCAGTTGTGGGGCTCTGTCACCTGGGGTGGGCAGTTGTGGGGTTGTCATCTGAGGTGGGCAGTTGTGGGGCTCTGTCATCTGAGGTGGGCAGTTGTGGGGCTCTGTCACCTGGGGTGGGCAGTTGTGGGGTTGTCACCTGGGGTGGGCAGTTGTGGGGTTCTGTCATCTGAGGTGGGCAGTTGTGGGGTTCTGTCATCTGGGGTGGGCAGTTGTGGGGTTCTGTCACCTGAGGTGGGCAGTTGTGGGGTTGTCACCTGAGGTGGGCAGTTGTGGGGTTCTGTCATCTGAGGTGGGCAGTTGTGGGGTTGTCACCTGAGGTGGGCAGTTGTGGGGTTCTGTCATCTGAGGTGGGCAGTTGTGGGGTTCTGTCATCTGGGGTGGGCAGTTGTGGGGTTCTGTCATCTGGGGTGGGCAGTTGTGAGGCATCTTTTACTTTGAGCTGCAGGTTTTTTCAGAACCTGGTGAAGTGAGGACAAAGAAGAGGGCATGGGTGAGGACAGAGTGAGACAAGGAAGAGGACATAAATTCCTCTCGGCTGACTCTGCAGAGGCACTGTCATCCGTCACCAGCATGACCATGCCTCCAGCCTGGGCCATAGGAAGCACTGAAGGCCCCAACAGGGCAAGATGGAAAGTGGTTCCCTGGCAGTGTGCAGGGTAATGGAGTCAGGACGCCAGACGGTTTTAAATAGCAGGGTCAGAACAGGATTGGAGCGGTGAAGTATGGCATGTCTCACTTTTCTGCTTTGAAGATCAGCACTCAGAGGTGAGCGTGTATACAGGGCAGTGGCAGAAAACTACCTAAGCATATGGAGGTTCTGGGCTTGATCCCCTGCACATGAAAAGAAGAAAGATCCAGAGCTATTATCGTTAGTATTATTGTTGAGATAGTGTCTCATGTAGTCCAGGCAGCCTTTTAAAACAATTTTTAAGGTTATCTATGTGAAGGGTGTTTTGCCTACATGTGTATCTGTGCACCACATGTAGGTCTGGTGTTCATGGAGGCCAGAGGCTATCAGATCCTCTGGAGCTAGTTACAGAAGATTGTGAGCTGCCATGTGGCTAGTGACTTTGTCTGTTTTTTAAAGGAGGTTTTTGGGGGGTCTTTTTTGTTTTGTTTTTATTATGTATACAGTGTTCTGCCTGCATGTATACCTGCATGCCAGAAGAGGGCGCCAGATCTCATTATAGATGGTTGTGAGCCACCATGTGATTGCTGGAAGAGTAACCAGGGCTCTTAACCTCTAAGCCATCTCTCCAGCCCTCAAATGAGGGTTTTATAGCGTATGTATTACTCAGAACTTACTCATGTTAGGCAAGTATCACCGAGTGACCTATGTCCCCATTCAAAGGAAAAGCAGTTTTAATGTTAAAATGCTATGGTCATCCTGACATGTTCTCTGATGGTGCTGTCTATGACTTGGCTTCCTAACTTTCCCAAAACTAAAGAAACCATTATGGGAGCTGGAAAGATGGTAAGTGCTTGCCATTCAAGTCCAAGGAGTTTGGATCCCAGCCCCTGAGTTTAGATCCCAGCACCCACATGAAGCTGGAGCTGGTGACATGGGAAATGGAGACAGGAAAAGCCCTGGTGCTTGATGGCCACCCAGTCTAGCCAAGTTAGTGAGCTCCAAGTTCAGAGACCCTGCCTCGGGGAATTTGGCAAAGGGCCAGCAAGATTGCTTAGCAGGTAAAGAGCCTGCCACGGAGGCTAATGACCTAGATACCTAGGGTCACAGGGAGGATAGAGAGAACCCAGTCCCAAATGTTGTCCTCTGATCTCTGCATGCTATGGTGTGTACATACATGCACAAAAAACTCCCACTAAAATGTAATTTTAAAAAATAAGAAAAAAACGTTAGAGAGTGACAAAGGAGACACCCAGCATCGACCTCTGGCCTCCACATGCACATGCATACACTTGTCAGGTGTGTCTGATCGTGAAAACAAAATCTAGATTCAAAGATCTGACTTTCTGGCCAGCAAGTCGTGATACCCTTCAAACCTTTATTTATTTTGTTTAATCTGTAAAAGAACACAGAAGAAATCCTACCCTAGTGCTTCAGGCTCAGGGAGATGTTATCAGATGTTTGTGTTGTTTATGACCCTTGGAAAGTATAAGGCACAGAAGACCTTCCATGGGAGACTGGGGAAGCTCAGCCATCTCTCACTGACAGAACTGTTGCCTTTGTAGGATCAAGGCCCTGAACCTCACCTCTGTTCGGATCCAGGAGGAAACACCATCACAGTGCCCGAGTCTCAGGAAGAGGTACAGAGGTCTGGGGATGTAGCTCGGTCAGTGGAGTGCTTGCCCAGCATACATGAAGCCCTGGTCTCACTCCTTGGTGCCACATACACTGAGCACGGTGGCACACACCTGTAATCTCAGTCCTTGGGAGGGGGCGGCAGAAGGACCAGAAGTTGAAGGTTACACCTGGCCAACTCTATAGCTAGTTTGAGTGCTGGGATTACAAGCAGCCCATGACACCTGCCCAGAGTCCATGGAGGTTCTGCCCAGCCTGCTTAAGCTTGCTTTAAAAAGTGATGTCATCAAGAATATACAAAAACATACTTACAGTTGCTCACAGATACAGAGTAGCACAGTAACTCAGAATGTGAGCCAGAATGGTGGCATGAAATGGAGTCGTGAATTGTTTAACTCCCCTAAGAAGCACCCAAGCAGCTCTTCCAGTAGATGGTGCCTACTCCTTAGGAGAACAGCTGCTGCCAGAGTGGTGGGCAGGGCCCTCTGTGCATCTGACTGCAGAGGCAGTGGCACTGTGCCCAGAGCCTGCAGCTCCTCTCTGGGGAATCCCAGCAGCCAGCACTACAGTGCCACTCTCTGCAGAGGTCCTTGGCACAGCATGAAATGTAATTCAAGAGAAAGAAGTAGAGTTTTTACACCCCCCCCCAGTAGGTCAGCATCTAATACAACCATGTCTACCTCCCAGGTATTTACAAGTGAAAATGCAGAACTCTGAAGAGAAACTGCCACAGCACTTAATCCCATCTACCCAGAGAAGCTTCTCTAAGAGGTCAAGGATACAAGCCACACCCATGCCACATTCTCAGGCAGTTCGAATACTTAGTCTCGGAGACCTGTCATTGTTGGAGTCTGAGAAACAACCTTAGGGAAAAGGGTGTCACACTCAGGGAACATGTTACTCAAGGTTTGAGCATTAATAAAGCCAGGGCTGTAATAATGCTAACACAAAAGCATCTGTGGGCATGTCCACACACTCTCAGAGGACATATGTCCAACTATCCACTCACTTGGCAGAAACTCAAAGCTGAAAGATTTTCAGATTACTAAATAAAGTGTGATTTTGACTAAGTGTGCAATCTTGCCCCGAGCACTGTTTTCCACTTAGACTGAGTAATGATTTCTACCCCAGGTTCAGAAGGCCTAAGTCATACACTTGCATATGCTTGTCTAAGTGCCCCTCTGTCCTGGTGAATTCCTACATGAGCAAATACTGTGGGAAGGGCTCTCCTTCAGTGTGTCATCTGTGCAGGTCAGTGCTCTGTGAATCAGGACCTGAGCCAAATGGAGGCAGCTACGAAGCACAGAACAGGAAGCACGGCCATAGTCCTAGTCTGAGCCCTGTCATTTGTCTTCAGTGCAAACTTCTGTGAAAACACGGTGACTCTGAAATCCTTCCTGTCATCTGTCAACCTCTTTGCTCGTCTTTTTTTCCCCTCCCCTTTGATCTTTTGAAACGGGGTTTCATGTAGCCCAGGTTAGCTCTGAACCACCTCCACATGCTAAGATTCCTCGTGTGTACTGTCATGCCCAGCCTACATCTGTCGCACGGACAGGTCACCAGCCACTGTCACTCCTAAGCATGCAGTGAGAACCTACTCTGCTAAGTAGAGTGACCGAGCCAGAGAAGCACGATGAGGGACAGGTACCAGCGAAATAGGATGAGGGAAGAAAGAGCTAGAGCGGGCAGTTCACAGAGCTGAAAGAGCAACCCGCTGCCAGGAAGACAAGAGGGCTAGGGGTGTCTGCTGCCCCGGCCTGAGCTGCAGCTTCCACCTACCCGGTACCACGTCCTTTCCAGATCCACCAGTACAGTGGAGAAAGAGCCTGTCCTGCAACAGGGAAATGGGAACCATGGCTGCTGGTGCTAGGGCAGGGGACATGACATCGTGGTGTCTTTGATGACAAAAGGAAGGAAAGTGGTGAGCCTGGGGTGCGGCAGGCCCTTTACAGATGGCAGCAATTGCAAACCACCATAAGTTTTACTATTATGGTGTTTAATGGGTATGTGCATGGGTGGAGGCTGATCCAACTGTACAGGACTATTGTGGATTGTGTATTAGACATCAATTATGTTCTGGGCTATAAATACTAATTCTAAGAGGCCCACAGTCCCCAAACAAGACACAGAACTTGAGGTACGTCCAGGAGTGATTTTTTTCCCATTTTATGTCTATGTATAGTGTATAATCTACCAAAGGGAGAGGCTGGTAACTGAATTATTTTTTCATCAAGCAGGAAAATGCTTCCTTAATCAGAGCTTCCCACACCCTTTGATACACAGAGAGGGCTGGACACAGAGACGTGCCTGTCTTTCACTGCCAGGCACCCTGCAGGGTTGGTGGGCACCCTTCCTTGCCTTGTGATGAACCTGTGCACGCACACAGTGGCCATAAGGATGTGCAAACAAGCACACACCACGGTGAGTCCAGGGGAGTCACACCACGTCTGGCCACGCTTTCCTGGACCTAAACCCTTAGGAATCAGCTTTTTGAAACCAAGCCCTATTATTTCTGTTTAAAAATCATGTCCTCCATAGGCTCTCTTTCCTCAGAACAGTAGTCTGGGTGTGGGGAGAGTGTGCATGCTTAGAGAAGCGGGGGAGGGAGAGAGGAGATTCTCAAATGACCCCACTGACTGCTTTCGCTAGCTTCCCTAGAAAACATTCTCTCTGTGGCATCCTCAGAATCACTACTTCAGTTTAACTAGGAGTCATCGCAGGTTAGACAAGAGGCTGAGAATGCAGGCTTCTCCTGTGTCCCATCTCTGGGACAGCAGATGCACTTCAGTTGGTAGCATGCTTGTCTAGCATTCGTGAAGGCGTGTATTTGATCCCCAGTACCACATAAACCAGACATGGAGGCGCGCACTTCAGACCAGTCCTCAGCAGGTGAAGGTAAGAAGATCAGAAATTCAAGTCACCCTTTCAGGCTGCACAGAAGGATTTGAGGCCGCTGTGGGAAACATGAGGCCCTGTCTTTAAAAGGGAGGAAGAAGCACCTGGTAAATCCAGCTCAAGCCTCCCGTCCCAGCTTTTGCTTCTTGCTTTGCTTTTGGCTTGCTTGTTTTCAGGCTGTCTCCTCCCCAGACAATGGGAAGGCTTTCAGGGAGTGGGCCATAGCCATGTTGTAGGACTTCCAGTCTGTCGGGAGGAAGAAGTCTGCAGCTGCTACAACAGAGGCACAGCTGGAGTTGTGACCATGGCACTTTATCAGCATGTGACCCTACTACTGTCTCCAAGGAGGCAGGGGAAAAGGCCCACATGCTCAGCTAGGGTGGACGGTCTCAGCTGGGAACCACACTGTTTATCCAGACATTGTCCAGGAGAAGGGCAGGGACACAGAAGACTACTACCCCAGTAGCAGCACCTGAAAGCCAATAAAATGAGGTGAAGATAAATATCGCTTGTCTCCTGCCCTGAGATCCCTAGAGGTCTGCTGACAAAAGGCTGGTTGCTCCAGTTTCTGCAGCTTCCATTTCACCCTTGGAGAACACTGGAGGTTCACATGAGGTTCCACCTCGTCTGTCCTCGTGCCTCTCCACAGAGAAGTGACTTCAGATGCCCCCAGTCCCTGACAGACGGGCTAAGAGTATAGAGGACTAGAGCTGGGCGTGATGTGCCAGCCTGTAATCCCAGTGCTGCCACAGCTGAGGCAGAAGAACAGAATCTGAGGCCAGCCTGTGCTGCAGAGAATCTACAGACTTGACAGTTGGATGGACAGGTTATATCAAAAAATGTAATACACAAGTGCTTACCAAATTCCTCAATTTATGCCAAGTCCAGTGCTCAGCATACTGAATCGGGTGTGTGCGACCACTGCCCGGTTTAGCCTTATGCTTCTTAATGTATTTAAATGCCTATGGAAAAGTCATGTATCAGTAAACCTTTGAAAAATATCTATTATGTCCCACACAGAGAAACCCTGTCTTGTAAAACAAAACAGCAAAGAAAGAAAAATATTATTTGTGTGTGAGCATAATGCGTGTGTGTGCATGCAGTCACAGCATGCATGTGGGGATTAGAGGACAACTTTGTGGAGTTGGTTGTCATGGAACTCGGCTGTCAAGCTTACAAGACAAGTGCCTCTTCAGATTCAGCGAATAATTTATGTGTGCCTGCATGTGCCGGTGGAAGCCAGAAGAGGGCATCAGATTCCCTGGGACTGGAATTTCCAATGGTTGTGAGCCGCCATCTCCACCTACTCTCTGCCCCAAAGCAAACAGTTTAAGGTTATAATTTAAAGAAAAAAGACATTTATGAGAATCAGGTGTGATTGGTCAGGTCCGACCTCAGTGGGTAGCCCAGATAACACTATTAACACTAGCCAATGTCTACTAAGCACATATATGCCAGGTGAGGCTTTAATCAACTCAACTAGTCCCAGCCCCTCAGGGACACCACGAATCCACACAGCTTTCCCTCAGAAAGAGAATCAGAAGTAACTCGTGTTAGCTTACACAGTGGGGACAACTCCAGAGCCCGTGTTCTATAGAATTACATCCTCTTAGTCACTCAGTTCCTCTAGTTAATTTAGGAGCATTTCCTGCCACTGAAGTGAGTCAAGCCGCTGCCAAAGTTCAGCACAGATGAATATTTAAATTAAGACTCTCGATCTGGGCCAGGACCAGGGTTGTGAAATGGTTTCGCAGGAATTACCTCTTTCAGTCCCCGTTTTAGGGATGTGGAAGCCCGACTACCGAGGTGTTCAGGAATTTGCCCACAGCCACTCAGCTGGCAAACGGCTGCGCTGGGACTTTTAATCCTGCCCAGATCTCAGCCACACCCCTCACCCTCTCCAGGATCCACGGCCTCCCACGAAGGTCGCACGCGGAAGGTGCAGCGGGGCCTGGCTTCTCCCCCTGCTTGGCCCGCACGTCTCGGGCCGCCGGAGGTGCTCCCGCCAAGTTACCCTGCAGTAGCCCGGAACACCCGGGAATCCGCGCGTGGGGGAGGGGGGACCTGCAGCCGCAGGTAACCGCGAGTGACCGCACTCCTGCGGGTCGCACCCCCTGCGGAACCCGGCACGAGGGAGGGCGGCTCCGGCCGGACAGTGGCCTTTCCTCCCGGGGGAACCAACCTGCCGAGGGCGGCCCCGCGCTCCTTCCTGTCCCACCCACCGCGACCCGGGCTCGGCGGCCGCTCGGCGCGGGGTCCCGGGCGCGGCCTGAGCGAGCGAATCGCAGCCGCTCCCACCCCGGCGAGTTCAAAAGGACGCGCGGCGCCCGGCCCTGCCCCGCCGCCCGTCGGACTGGAAAGGTGAGCGTGCGGCCGGCGATCCGGGGAGACCCGGATCGTACTCGGCAGCTGGAACCGGACCCGGGGCGGGGGACACGCGGCTGTGGGGACCCTCGACGGCCGCGGGGGAGCGGACACGGGTCGGTCGGGGTCCCCGGGGAACGGGGCGAACCCTCTGGCCGGCTTCGCGGGGCTCCAGGTAACGCAGGTGGCCTGGTGCCCAGATCGCTTCGGACGGAACCCGGTCGGCTGCAACCCTTGCCTAACTTCCCCAGGCCTGGTAAAAGGGGGCGGCCTGGGGAAAGGGTCGCCAGCGTTTCACGTCCCAGATACACCCGGGCGGGGATCTGCTCTTGGGAAGGGATTTGCTTTTGGAAGTTAATGAGATCCTCGGGGAGAACCAAAAAGCAAGAATGGGGACACATCCAGGGGGAAGGGACTCAGCGCCGCGGGCTCTCCTGGCATCTCCCGCGATTTCTGTTCTTCCCATAGATCTGACCCTGCGAGATACTCTGCCCTCGGCCACGATGACTAGCCTACCGGCTACACCTTCTCCTGGAGGTAAGTGACTGAATAAATGGAGTACGAGAACTGTTCAACAATCCATACTCCACCCGACCCCTAGCCAGTCTCGGAATTCTGCGAGACTGAAAGACCCCCTCTCCCCGGCCTCACACAGGAAAAGGCTCCCGGAGGAAGCAGGGTTGAACTATAGTGTGCCCTTTATTGCTGTTTTATTCTAACATCTGAACTAGGCCAGCTTTGACAGTAACCTGGGTATATTCGGTTGTTTTAAGCCCAAAGGAGCCATTTTTACATTTACTCGTGGGAAAGGCTCTTCTAAAGTTAACTGGGAGAGCTTGGATGTAGCTCATCTGGAAGAGTGCTTTCGAAGCTTGGCTTCAATCCCCTGTAAGGAATGAATCCTGCGGATGGAACCCACTGTGATGGAGGCCTCTGCCTGTCCCTTCTCCCTGCAACTTGGGAGGTAGAGGCAGTAGTGCCAGAAATTCAAGTTATCCTCTGTTACATAGTGAGTTAAAGTCCAGCCTGGGCTGTAGACCATGTCAGAAAGAGGGATGGAGATGATGTTTAAATGCTGGAAGCCTGGTGGTAGTGGCCTGTAGTCCTGGAAAGAGATCCTACCTTATAGTTCACTTCTTGTTCCTCTAGATCTGTGCTAAACAGGGATCTTAGGTGGTGAATTAATTCTTACCTTTCATTTCCTAGTCAGGCTGAGTCTGGCCTGACAGATATTTACATATTGATTGTTTTCACCTTGTGCTAGCCAGGACGTGGGAGGAACAAACCCTTGATTCATATATCCCTTTGCTTTCTTATGTATAGTCAAACCCGTCACTTGGAGTGACACTGCTTTGTTGGTCTGAAGACAAGGAGGGGGACCCCAGAGAAGGGAGGACTCCAGGGAAGGACAGTCTAAGGCAGATTCTCCTGTGTTTAGTCAATCTGAGGCACATGACCGGTCGACCAGATGTCTGGATTGGCGGGCAAGGCTCCTGAGTGGGGAGAAGAGCAATGCAGCAGACTCTTTAGATGGGGCAGGTTCAGCCCTTTTGTGTCTGTTTCACTTAGTGCAATGCCTTCAGGGGTCATCTGTGTTGTAGATTGTGTTAGAATTTACCCCGTTTTAAGTTTTAAGTAATTGTATGTGTGTACATTTTGTTTAGCCACACATAAGTGAATATCTGGTTGCTGTTTCCATCCTGTTGGATATACATCCAGACATGGAGTTGTTGTTATATGGCAATTATATATATTTTTAAAGAGCCACCATACAGTTTTTCATAGTAGCTGTGTTATTTATATCCCCACAAGCAACGCACAAAGGTTCCAATTTCCCCATATCCTCCAAAACTTGTTATTTGGGACAAGTGTGATGCTATTTCAGTGCGTGTGAAGTGGTACCTGGTTGTGACTTTAATTGTTTTCCTAGTAACTAGTGATGTCCAAGCATGTTTACATGCGCTTGGTGACCTGGGTGTGTCTGGAGGAGTGTCTGTTCAGACTGCCTATTTATTTTTTATTTATTTATTTATTTGTTGGGTTTTTCGAGGCAAGGTTTCTCTGTATTGTTTTGGAGCCTGTCCTAAAACTCGCTTGGTAGACCAGGCTGGTCTCGAACTCACAGAGATTCACCTGCCTCTGCCTCCCGAGTACTGGGATTAAAGGCGTGCGCAAACAACTCCCGGCTTGCCCATTTATTTTTTTAAGCCTTTGTTTATTCATGTTGTGCACCTGTGTGCATGTGCTCATGTATGTCGCCCAACCCTCCACAGCTCACACACGCCAGAACACATGTGGAGGACAGAGGACAACTTTATGGAGTCAGTTCTCTCCTTCCACTGTGTGGATTCCAGGGATCGAACTCAGGCTGTCAGGCTTGGTAGCAAGTGCCCTCACCTGCTGCGCTGTCTCACTGGCTCCTTGCCCATTTTAAAATTGGGTGTTGTTGCCGTATTTTTATGTTCTTGATTCAACAAGCGATGTGAGTGGGGAGTGGAATTTTAGGACATACCAGTTTCCTGCTCACTAGGTCTGAGCAAACAAATATCCAGGCACAGGAGTGGAGAGAAGACTGGAGACCAGCAGGATTCCCTGCAGGATGGGATGCAAGGGTCCAGTTCTGGGCACGCCCTCAACCTTCCTGCTGTGTTCCCTTCACATCCCTCCTACTCCATCAGGTTAGGAGATCTTACAGGGATGCTGGACCACACTGCACCACACCATGGGCTCCTCCCACTGTTCAAAACAAAAGTTTAAAATGTGTATTTGTCAACCCTATTGGGATAAGACTATGGTAGCATTAATATAGTAATGTTTGCCTTTAATTTCAGCTCTTGGGAGGCGGAGACAGGAGGATCCCTGTGAGTTCAAGGCCAGCCTGGTCTACCGATCCAGGTCCAGGACAGCTAGGGCTGTTACACAGAGAAACCCTGTCTTGATACCCTACCCCCAAAAAAGTATAATAATGTTTATAATGAGTACTTATGGATGAAGATAATATAATGAATAACTACTTGGTGGATATGACAATCTTAATATTATTTAAAAGCTCATTATCTTGATTTTTAAATGAAATTTAAGTCATTAAAATGAAGTCATTAAAAGACATTTTCATAAGCCCCTGAGATTGTTGTGGAACAAGGTGCTGGGCCATGTGTCAATTAACCCTGTTGCAAGTAGGGCAAAATGGAACCCTGCCTTGGGAGCTCTGCCCACCTCACCAGGGAAAGCCCGTCTCTTGCCACTCAGTGCTTACAGTGGCTTCCTCCCTTTCACTGGATTTCTTTCTTGACACACCAAGCAGGGCTTATTCTTGTTTTATCAAAAGCAAAAATCAAGTTTGAGGAAGTTAAGAATTTTTCAGTGAATAAGAATACTTCCCAGAGGCTGGAGAGATGACTCAGAGATGAAGAGCAGTGACTGCTCTTCCAGAGGTCCTGAGTTCAATTCCCAGCAACCACATGGTGGCTCACAGCTATCTATAACGAGATCTGATGCCCTCTTTTGGCATTTAGGCATATCATACATGGAGGCAGAATACTGTATACACAATAAATAAATAAATCTTTTAAAAAAAAACACTTCCCAGTTTAAAAGAAAGAAAAAAGAAAAGTTCCCATGGTGCAGTTGTTCAGAGCAAGAAGCAAGGCTGTGTGCCAAGTCGGAGCTACTCCCAAGTTGTGTCCTTTCCCTCATGGTCTATTGCTCCTGAGGTCTCCTTCATCCAACCGGCCATCAGAGCACGAGAGAGGCAGGAGAAAAGGACAGAATCCCAGAGTGGGTTCCCATGGCAAGGACTGTGGGAGCCGTTCCTGCCTGGGCAGGTCTAGAGCAAATAAGCAGGTTGGCAGCTTTAGGTGGCAATGGATCTGATACCTCCTTGATAAGAGACTTGGCATACCCTGGAGACAAGAAGGACAAAGAAATCAGCTAGTATCTGGGTCAACAAAAAGAAAGGTGTGTGAGCAGATCTGGGTGGAGCCCCTAAGCTTGTGGCCCTCTGCCCTGGCCACCTGCCTACTATGAAGGGTAGATGGGCAGTAGCATATTTCTTCCTTTGGGAGAACTGACAGGAACTAGGGATCCAAGTTAGGACCTTAGGCATGCAGAACCCCCACTAGCACTGATACACCCACAGCCCAGTGCCCCCTTTTGGTGGCAGGCATTCTGGATTTAGATTACTTTGTTGCTGTTGTCTATGTTTGTATTGTAAAAGTCTTAACTAGCTGGTTGTGATGGAGCTATGTGAAACCAGCACCCAGAGGAGGAACCTGCCCTGGTTTGCAGTAACTATTGATTCAAAAGCAACCAAGGTCAGCAGGGCACCTACCGTCAAACCAAACCTCATGTCAACCTTTGCAGATCCTTGAGCCCACCCCACCCTCCATCCTAAGGGTGAAAGGAACTTCCACCATCTCCCCATTTCCTGCTGAGGCGTCCACTTCCGCCATCTCCCTGTTTCCTGTCTACTTCTGCCATCTCCCTGTTTCCTGCTGAGGCATCCACCTCTGCCATCTTCCTGTTTCCTGTCCACCTCTGCCTTCTCCCTGTTTCCTGTACCATGTCCAGGTTCTCCGCTTTCTGTGGCAGTGCATTAGGTGTTGCTGCATTAGATCCCGTCCCTTAAAGACACGGCTGTAGACACCCTGTCACTTGTGTGCTGTGAATTGTTTGCTCTGTCTGAGTCATCCTGAGTCTGCATGGAGGCCTGCTGGCCCTCCCCCATTCTAAAAGCAAAAGCAGTCAACTCCCTCAGGCTGCAGTAGCAACTCTACTTCTTTATTCCCCTTTTCAGAAAAACTTTGCAAGCATATACTTTGAGCTAGGCCTTTAAACCCAGCACTTGAGAGACAGACAGGCAGATATCTGAGCTTGAGGTCAGCCAGGGCTACATAGAAAAATGCTGTCCCTGTCACACCCACTCAAAAAAAAGTTTACTCATGGGGTGAGAGTGAGGACGGCTCGGTCACCATTCAGTAGTACCCAAGTTCAGATCCCATAGAAAAAGCCAGATACAGCAAGCAAATCAGGCTTGTCGTTCTTGTGCCGGGGAGGTGGTGATGGGATCCCTGGGGCTTGCTAGTCGTTTAGTGTAGCTGAATCCATAAAATCAGGTTTGGTGAGACACCCTGTCTCAGAACATAAGATGAAGAGTAATTATACACCCGACAGCAACCTTTGGTCTCACACACAAATTCACACAGTTTATATTCTGCCTCCAGTTCCTCCTTCCCTTTTTCTTGAACCTGCCCTAAACCACAGCTTTGCATTCAACCAGAACTTGTCTTGTGCAGGTCATTTGTGGGTCCTGTGGTAAATGCACAAAAGTCTAGGTGTTTGATTTGACTGTGTGTATCATGTGTGCACTGACCCGCCCACCTACTGTGTCCTCCCAGCCTTCTATCTTGAGTATGCTAATGACTTTAATTTTTTATAATTTATAATTTTATAATTTATCTTTTATGTACATTGGTGTTTTGCCTGCATGTGTGTCTGTGTGAGGGTGTTGGATCCCCTGAAACAGGAGTTATAGACAATTGTGAGCTGCCAGGTGGGTGCTGGGAATTGAACCTGGGTCCTCTTAACTGCAAAACCATCTATCTTTCCAGCCTGACTTTTAAAAATGTGTATTTCTTACAGTGATGGGGATCAGAATGAAGGCCATGCACATACATGATAGGCTAGTTTTCTACCAATGAGCCATATCCCCAGCCTACCTTTTTTCATTTCTTAATATCTAGTCCAGATTTATTCTTGACATCTTGGATATCTGATATGGAGTCATGTCTCATGCCCACTCCATTCCTCCTGAGATCTTCTCCATCCCAGGTAACAGCATATCTCTCCTGTTACTCAGGCCACAGATGTGTGACTCTAGCCCACCTCAAGTCCTGTCAGGTTTTGCTTCCCAACAGATCTGGTCACTCTGTCACTGGACTGGTGCCAGCCCTAGCCAAGGCCTTTGGGTGACAGAAGGAGGCTCCCATTTGGATGGTCAGTGTGCGCCAGCTTCCACCTTCAACTTCACTGTCAGCCTGCTATCTGAGCCACAGTCCAAGGGATCCCTCGACGTCAATATGTTTGAACTATGTGTTGCCACATATCACAACCCAAAACGCACTTGCTTGAAACAGCAGCAGCCACTTGGGTTTGAAAGAGTTGGGCTGAGCACCTTCTGCATTCACCTGGCACGTGCACAAACCCAGGTTCAGTTGCCAGCCCTGCAAAACAGGTCAAAGCAGGTGACAATGTCTCACAGCTTCAGTGATGGTGTCTCCTGCACTCATGCGTGGAGCTGCAGTGGACCAGAAAGTCCACAGTGCCCTCCCCCAGGCCTGTGAGTTGCTGCTGGCTGTCAGCTGAGCCTGGGAACTTAGTTTCCTACACACACACTCATCCTCCAGTGGACTAGATTGAGCTGTTTCAGGATATCATAGACTTAGAATTTCGAAAGTGTGACGTTTGGAATTCCAAGGTCCTCCACCTCATATATTGTATCATAGTCTGCATTTTTAAAAATGGAGAGTCTTGCTGGGGGTGGTGGTGCACGCCTTTAATCCCAGCACTCAGGAGTCAGAGGCAGGTGGATCTCTGTGAGTTTGAGGACAGCCTGGTCTATAGAGTGAGTTCTAGGACAGGCTCCAAAGCTAGACAGAGAAACTCTGTCTTGAAAAAACAACAAAAAAGGGTTTTTTTTCAAAACATTCATATATATATACATATATATATGTTTTCCCTGCATTTTATGTGTATGCCACATGCATGCAATGCCTGCACAGTCCAGAAGAGGGTGTCAGATCTCCTATGGATTGGAGTTCCAGAAGGTTCCATGTGGGTGCTGGAACTCAAACCTGGGCCCTCTGGAAAAGCAGCCAGTGCTATAACAGCTGCGCTATATCCAGCCCCCATAGTCTGATTTTAGCAAGATCTGTAGGAGAAGATTAATGTTTAACAAGCATGACTATGTAATAAGCCTGTAACAACTTTGAAGTTCACGGATGGCTGGCGTCTGTATTGCAGCCCACGGGCCCATGTGCTGTCACTCCATGGCTTCATCTCTTTCCCTATGGCTCCCTCCAAGTTGCCTCCCAGTGGCCCCTTTAACATGCCGTGTGCACTGCAGCCCGGTGTCCTCCATCATTACAGACAGCCCTACCTTGACTCCGCTGTCTCAGATGCTCGCATGGCTGCCACTCTTACCACCTTCCAGGTCTTTATTCAGGCTGCCTCGTGGAAAGATTCCTGACTATCTTATTAAAACTGTAGCGCCTTCCCGCATCCTATCCACTGTCCTTCCTGCTTGGTTTCCCACACATCTCAAACCATCAACCATTATGGTGTTCCTTTTACTTCTTTTTCTTTTTAAGATTTATTTATCATGTATACAGTGTCCCTCCTGCATGTATCCCTGCATGCCAGAAGAGGGCACCAGAATTCATTACAGATAGCTGTGAGCCACCATGTGGTTGCTGGGAATTGAACTCAGGACCTCTGGAAGAGCAGCCAGTGCTCTTAACCTCTGAGCCATCTCTCCAGCCCCAACATCCACACTTTTCAACATTCCAGACTCTACCTTTAAATGTTCTGATTCTGCCTTGTGAATTTGATTACTTTGGGTCATTAATAATCAATATGAATGCAACCATACAGTATTTGTATTTAAAACAAATAGGGTCCCAGTGTTTAGCCCTGGCTGCTCTGGACTCTGTGTAGACCAGGCTAGCCTCTACCTCTGAGATCCCTCCGCCTCTTGAGTGCTGGGATTAAAGTCTGTGCACTTCCGGGCCTGCCCAGTGTTGGTGCTTTGTGCCTTGCTTGTTTAACTTAGCAGCGTGTCCTCCAGGTTCATCTGTGTTGTACCACACATCAGAATTCCCTTCCTCCTCCCTTTATTTCTGTTTTATGTATGTGTGCCTTCAGAAGCCAGAACCAGAGTTAAAGGCAGTTCTGAGCCACCATGTGAGTGCTGGGAACTAAGTCCTGGTTCCTGGCAAAAGTAACAAATGCTCTTAAGCACAGAGCCTTTCATCCCAGCACCTCCTTCCTTTTTTGAGACGGAACAGAACTCCGGGTCTGCATTTGCTGCATTTTGTTTATCCATTTGCTGATGGACATTGAGATTGCTCTTGGGATTCGGAAGCAGCACTCCCAGTGACATCATTCACTTGTTCCCTTTAAGTGAATACTGAGGAGCTCTTTTTAAATTTAGGAGACTTGTGAAGGTGGTTTAGAGGTGGGTTTTGTTGTTACCGTTATTTGATTTGTTTTTGTTTTATGAAACAGGGTTTTGCTGTATAGCCCAAGCTGGTTTTGAACGCTCAATATTCCTGCCTCCATTGTCTGAGTACTGGGACTTCAATGGATTTATTTTATTTTCATTTTTGGAAATCTTAATTTTGTGTGTGTGTGTATGATGGATGTGTGTGGACACATGTGCCAGGAACACCTGTGGAGGTCAGAGGACAGCTTTGTGGAATCCAGTTCTTTCCTACCTTTTTATGTATGTTCCAGAAATCAAAGTCTGGTCATCAGATTTCTATCACTGTGCAGCATGGAGCACCCACCAAGCATCTCACTGGCTCCTCAGGGGTTTATAGGTTTGGTAAACTTGCCTGTTTTGTTCATTGATCCATGACTAGAACATAGCACAGAGTGCACACTCAGTACTTACTGAATTAACTTTTAAATATCTGTTTATTCTGGAGGCATTTCATTATGTGGTTCTGCTGCCTCCTGGGTTCTGGGATTAAAGACATGCACCACTACTCCTGGCTAGTAGACTGGAATTTAGGCATTGAGACAGACCCTCACTGACCTTGAGCTCATGGCAATCCTCCTGCCTCAGCCTAAATTCTAAGTGTGCCTCACCACTCCTGTTTTTAAGTTTCTCTATCAGCCTGGAATCTGAACGTAAGAAGTCTGTAAGAGCTTCCTCATAGGGTCCCCATCCCGACTCATAGTGTTTGCTATCTCCAGCTCCGCAACTCCAAAGCAGCCTCAATAACCTGACCCCCATCAAGCCTGGCCGGCTTGCAGTGTCTGTGTGTGCAGGAGTCTCTCAAAACCCCGGCATCAGAGACAGATCGATTACAAGTTCTCCAAGTGCCTCCGCTGTCATTCACCCTTTGTATTTGCGCTTCCTGAGCCATTTCCCTTCTCTTCTTCCTGATTTGGAGACAAGGCCTCATTATGTAGCCCACACTGGCCTCAAACTGTCTCACAGTCCTCCCAGTGGCTGGAATTACTGTCCTGTGTGTCACCACGCCCAGCTCAGCTTCTCTTCTCTTGAGCCCCCCCCCCTTCCTCATGTCCTGTGACTCCTGCTCCCTGTTGAAAAAGTCATTCTCTGTTTGGAGACAGAGACAGACCCCATACCTTCAAGTCCACACCTGAGCCCTGCACCCCTTCCCTTGCTTTTGCAAACAACACCTTTGAGACTGTCCTTGTAATCTGCCTGCCTCCCTGAGCTGCTGGAACTTCCTGACTGTTCTCCCCGGCTCTGGCAGCTTCTAACCTGGACATTTCTGTTAGGAAGCTTGAAAGTACATTTATTTTGTAAATGACTCACATTTTGAAATCACACTGGAAATGAAAGGATTACAGGACACTCAGGAATGGGTAGCCAACTCCCTCAAGTTGTCTTCTGACCTCTCATGAATTAAGCTGATTTCTGTGAGTTCAAGGCCAGCCTGGTCCATAGTGAGTTCCAGGACAGCCAGAGCTTTGCAGAGAGACCCCCTGTCTCACCCCACCTAGGCCCCCCACCTCAGGTTGGCCTGGCCTAGGAACTGGAAGGCATCCTTAGTAGCACATCTCTGTCTGCTTTTCTGTCTTGGGACCAAGGGGGATTCCTGAAGCTCTGATTGGCTTCTGTGAAAAAAGAGCCTTCAACACCCTTGACCTGCTTTTGCTCTAGCTATTAGCAGTTGGTGTCACTTCACCTGTGCACAGTGGGGTCCCCTCAGGCCCTAACAGGAATCCTGTTCCCACCTGCTGTTCCTTTGCTCTACTGAGAACGGCCACTTCAGTTCCAATTCTGGTGCTGTCAAATATTGCTTCCTTGGAAGCAACACCATATCAGTCTCTACTGGCACCCTATTCCAAGCCCGTTAAAGTGCAGAGCCTGTCCTAGAAGTAAACAGTGTAGCAGACTAGGCTTTAGGAACACCAACCAGCTCCCAAATAAAGACACAGAGATTTAATATTAGTCATGAATGCTCAGCCTTATCTTAGGCTTGTCCCACTAGCTCTTATAACTTATTTTTTTAAAGATTTATTTATTTATTTATTACATATACAGTGTTCTGTCTACACACCAGAAGAGGGCACCAGATTGACTTGCAGATGGTTGTGAGCCACCATGTGGTTGCTGGGAATTGAACTCAGGACGTCTGGAAGAGCAGCCAGTGCTCTTAACCTCTGAGCCATCTCTCCAGCCCTAGCTCTTATAACTTATTTTAACCTGTTTCTCTTCGTCTACATTTTGCCTTGGGCCCTTTTAACCTTTTTTTTTTTTCATTCTGTGTGTCCTACTCCGTCTTGCTGGCTGGCAGCTACCTGGTTGGCCAGGGGCATCTCCCTCTCTTTCTCCCTGTTCTCTCCTCTTATTGTCTTCCCTCCAGCTTAGATTTCTACTCCTATTTTTTTCTCTCTGCCCACCAGCCCCATCTATCCCTTTGCTGCTATTGACTGTTAAGTTTTTTGTAACACCAATTAGGTGCTGTAGGGCAGGCAAGGTGAAACAGCAACACATCTTTACATAGTTAAGCAAATACAGCGTACACAAATGTAACACACCTTTAAGTAGTTAAAGTAATACTCCCCAATGAAAGGGCTTGGGGCAGGGTATTATATTATTTATAATGTTTATAAAAGTTACGTAGGTCTGATGAGATGGCTTGGTGAGCATTTGTTTTGCATTAGACAGGTCCTCACTAGCATTGGCTGACCTGGAACTCTCAGAGGTCCACTTGCCTCTGCCTCCTAAATGCTGGGATTAAAGGTGAGTGCCACCATGCCTGGCAGTAGCATGCATTTGTTATCTCAACATTCCTGTGTTAAGATGGGAAGTGAAGACAGAATTCCCAGAAGGCCAGCTAACCTGGCATAGGCAACAGAGAGCAAGAGAACCTGTCTCAAACAGAAGAAAGTGAGTGGATACCAGAACTTATCCCCCCGACCTCTACAAGTGCATGTACCAAAATTCACAAATGTGTATACATACAGACAAGTACACCCCACACACAAGATTAAAGTCGGTAGAACATGGGGAAATGTACAGGATACATTGATATTGCATGATATAAATATATGCACGCACACAACATTTGATGCATTCATTATAATGCTATGTCCTTGCATCACTATGTCACAGCCCTATAAACTAGGAACTTTAGCATCTGTTAGCATCCGAAGTGACTGATGCTGGCAGAGGTTAGGAGATATGTTTTACCCACGGACGTACAGCTTGTAAAAGACAGTGGTCACATTTAAAAGTCAATCAGCTCAGGCTCAAAAACCCCTACTCTCTTGTTTTGTGTATGAGACAGAATCTCCCTGTACAGGTCAGGCTAGCCTGGAACTCTGTGTACCATAGGAGGACCTTGAATAATTGTTCTCAACCCCGAGTGCTGAGATTACAGACATGTGTGACCATACCTAGCAAAGACAGAGTCTCACTCTATAGCCTTGGTTGTCCTAGAATTCACTAAGTACACCAGGCTGGCCTTAAACTCACAGAGATCCACCTTCCTCTGTCTTCCAAGTATGGGACTAAAGGCATGCGCTACTACGCCCAGCTCAAGCCTCTGTTTTTAACCATTGTATTAGGCAGAGAGAAATTCATCAAAATGTTGTCTTTTGGAAATGGTTTGTTTTCATCTCTGTTCCAGGATTTTCTGTTTGGAGTTACAGTAGACTGTTTATTTTATGCATATGAATGTTTTGCCTGTGTGTCTGATGGTATACTATGTGTGTGCTTGGTGCCCAGAGGTTGGAAGTTCAGATCCTGAAACTGGAGTTACAGATGATGTTGAGTCACTGTGTGGGTGCTAGGAATAAAATCTAGGTCCCCTGGAAGAGCAGCCAGTGCTCTTAACCATTGAGCCATCTCTCCAAGACTAGCTGAGTTTTTGAACAGGGCAGGTGAAGGGACAGAATGGCAAGGAAAAAGGACTTACCGTCTCCTTCTCCCCCTTCAACTTCCCAGAACTGATGACCACACCAGTTCTTCAGGTCCAGGAGACCCTGTCCCCACAAGCTGAAGAGGCCAGCACAGCACTCATTGCAGGTAACAAAGACCCTGAACCCAGAGTAACAGCTAAGGGTCTCCCCATACAGGAAACAGCACATCAGGGACCAACTCCATTACTGAGCTCCTTCTGGCATTTAGGTCTCACCCGTGCAGAGCTGTGAGTGATGCAGACGTGAGCAGTAAACCGATAGATGGGGAGTGGCCATAGTTTGTGTGGCCATGAGCAGGCCCTGGCCAGTGTGGATGCTCAGCTGGAGTGCGTGGGTCAGAAGAAGGATGCATGTGGTTTGTTGAGTGGGTGAGCAAGAGCGGGCGAACCAGAGAAACTCTCATAGGAAGCTATGTATTTAAAACACCCTTCCTGTTGGCGTTAAGCTATTTATTTCCCTCCTGGTTTCTAGCATGATCATCAGGAACTGGTTTGGGAGTTGAATTTTGTCAGAAATCTAAACACTATGTTGGTAGCAAGATACCAAGAGACTCTGGGTGCCGTGTCCTGAGGAAGCTGGGCTTGAGGGGACCCCACTGGAAGTGATGACCTAATTCAAGTGGCCTAGTGAAGTGCTAAAGCCTGTCTCCCTCTCCCTTCCTAGTCGTTATCACTGTGGTGTTCCTCACCCTGCTCTCCGTGGTGACCTTGATCTTCTTTTACCTGTACAAGAACAAAGGCAGCTACGTCACTTACGAGCCTGCAGAAGGCGAGCCCAGCACTACCCTCCAGATGGAGAGTGACTCAGCCAAGGGCAGAGAGAAGGAAGAGTACTTCATCTAACGATCCCCAGATTGGAGGGGCCAATTCTTGGCTCCAGTCCTAACACACTGACTCTGTAATTAGGGAACATTTGCTGAAGCCAGTGAGTGGCACTGAGTGAGATGGCAAATCCACTCACATCCTAGGACACAGTCCCCAATACCAGCTTCAGCGACTCCAGGGTCCAGGGACACAGAGAAAGCTGCTTATGACACCTGTAGCCCGGCCTTGGTAAGGATAGTGCTCACACCTGGCCAACAACATGGGGCCGTGCCTGAGTTGGAAGAGGGAGATGGTGGAGGGAGGTCACAGGCTGGTCCACTTTGTCCCCTCCCTAGTTGCCTAGTGATAGCCCCAGTGTGACTTCCTAGAGGCTAGATACCACAGGAAGAGAATAGGCTTCTCAATGTTACATCCTTTGATCTGAGTCCTACTATTTCCCCCAACAGCCTCAAACTTGCGTTTTTTATTCAGATTAAATTTATGAAAGTCCGATTTTCATTTACAAGAACTAAATTTTGACTTGTTTTTGCTTAAACTTTTTACAGCATTATCTCTGCTTATGTAACTCTTCTACGTGTGTTGTCTTTCAGTAAGAACTCCTGAGGGATGTTCTGAACTTTCCAGAACTGTCTCAAGGGTTTGTTCCAGGCTAGCACCAACTGTCCCATTAGAAACACATGAGAACTAAGTGAATTTGACCTTAATCCTGGCAAGGGCCACAATTTCTCAGATCCCTGTGTATATACAGAAGGAGCCAGGAAAAAACCTGGCCACCTAAATCTCCCACCAATAAGGCCTTTCTCAAGACATGGTGTTTCTGTGTAACCCTGGCTGTCCTGGAACTCACTCTGTAGACCAGGCTGGCCTGGAACTCAAGAGATTTACCTGCCTCTGCCTCCCAAATGCTGGGATTAATGGTGTGCACCACCACTGCCTGACCAGGCTTTTTTCAACCCAAGTCCCTTGGATACGCTGGAATTAAGCTAGCCTTCATTCTGAGGTATTAACCCCCCCCCCCCCCCCCGACAGGGTTTCTCTATTGTTTTGGAGACTGTCCTGGAACTTGCTCTGTAGACCAGGCTGGCCTTGAACTCACAGAGATCTGCCTGCCTCTGCTTCCTGAGTGCTGGGATTAAAGGCGTGCGCCACCAATGCCCAGTGAAGTATTAAACTCTTGCCGGATATTAGCAGTGTAGATTCCAGAAGCTTCAGTGCAGAGATTGGTTGGCTTTTGTTTCATGGGTTTGAGACGTGGTCTTGCTAGTTATCCCAGGCAGACCTCTTTGGATTGACCAGCTTGTTTTCAGTATTTCTCCACACAGAACTTTGTATACAGATTGCTACGCTAAGATCTTTTCCTTGATGAAAACCTTAGAGGAAGTGAGAACTCACTGTCTAGAGTAGCTTAAAGCTCACAGGGGTCACCTGGCTCTGCCTCCCCACTGCTGGGATTAAAGTTGAGCGCCAACACAGCCAAAATCACTGTTTCTAAGTTCATGTTTTGAATCCCAGAATCACCTCTAGTGGAGCTCATGAGAACAGCCAAACTGAAAACCTAGCCTTGCACATCTACATTTGCTTCACAGACACCATTAAAGAAACAGCAACAGCCAGGCGTTGGTGACACACGCCTTTAATCCCAGCACTCGGGAGGCAGAGGCAGGTGGATCTCTATGAGTTCGAGGCCAGCCTGGTCTACAAAGTGAGTTCCAGGACAGCCTCCAAAGCCACAGAGAAACCCTGCCTCGAAAAACCAAAAAAAAAAAAAAAAAAAAAAAAAGTAACAGCTAGCCCATTTCTGGATGGGATACAAAAGACTTGACACATATGAAGGCATGTGAACACATGCTAAGTAAAGAATGCCTAGAGTGTGGTGTAATGCAACTTCATCACTTTATTCAAATCTTCAAAATAGTCTTTATTCTACATTTTTAGTATAAAAAATCCACAAGTTAAGTGCACCACAGTGTAGAGAGACATACAACGCTGAACTTCCATAACAGTCGATGGTACAGTCAAACATCACATGTACAGAACACAAGATTTAGATGAACTGAAATATCAGATAAAATAAAATAAAATCCAATCTCGGAAAACAAATCAAAATATTAAGGATCCCTGAAATATTAATCCTAATGAGATCTCACTGGACTCAAGTCATTTCATAGTGAGGCATTCACATGACCCTACTAACTAACCCATCACAGGAAACTCCTGGAACCCGAGAGGCTGTACCAGACACTCAGAAAATGAAAACCAGGTTTTGATCTGAAACGCCCCTTAATTTGGCTTTAAAGCCACGCTTTTTATATGCATCTTCTCTGCCCGTCACTTTTAAAGAAACTTTTCTGAGACAGTTTGCAATGAGAACTGTTGTCTAAGTTCAGGTTCTGGCACCACAGCAAGTCTGGGTTCATGGTTACACAGAGACTGTCTGTGAGGTGGGTCCCAAAGGTCCTTCACCTTCTCCTGGATATATATGAAACCCAAAGAAATGGGGTCTGTGCTCGGGGCACAGGGTGGCTTTAGAGGATCCTTAGGAAAGACAAGTTAAAAAATGGCAAGTGGGACAGGTGCAAGGTGAGAAGGGGCTGAGTGACTGGCTTTCTGTCCTGCACCGATTCAATGGAGACTAAAGGGAGGGGATGGAAGACAAGGACAGGGCGGGCTGGTGGGGCAGATGATGGGAAGGAAAAGGCAGACAGCTAATGCGTTTCATTAACAACTACTATAAATCAAAGACTTAAAGGAGATTAAAGACCAATCAGAATAATTTGGCAACTTTAATTCTTAGGAAGATCAAAGTTCCCTCCAAACCTAATTTGATGTTTTCTTACTAAAAGCGAAGACCAGTATGGTACAGTATCACTCCAGAGGAATTAAAGAAGAGCCTCAGGGCTGCTTCACTCACATTCATTTGAAGAATGGATGCCTCCCTACCTCAAAATGCTTTAGGGAGGGACTGCTACCCTTACATGGTTCCTTATTAAATTTGAAAAGTGCCTCAAAGTTTGGACACCAGAAAGACACCCCAAAAACATGTGTCTAAACTGCAACTTCAGGTTAATATGACTAAAGCAGTTACATTGTGAGAAGTGCTGAAGGTGTGTGATGTCTTTCCCGGCACAGGAGTGGCCACGGTTCTTCACCAAATGGTGTAGCCACCATCTGAGCCACCCATGAAGAAGTTTCCCTTGCGCTGAGTTACAAGGACGTTGGCTCCCTGCATGACTGCAAGCTGAGCAGCATTGGGAGGGCATCCAGGAGGTGGTGGCTAGAAGGAAAGGACACGGGTACAGTGGGCACAGGGAAGGAGCACACGGGAAGCAGATGCTTCCGGAAGGTGGCGATGTGCCAACTGGAAACTTTTTTTTTTGCAGGGGGTGGGGTGGGCTGACCTAGAGTCTCACTGTGTAACACTGACTTGCCTGCTTCTTGCTGTATACTTGTAGCCCATGCTGACCCCTGCCTCAGCCTCCCACTGTGGGATTACAGGCGTATGCCATCACACTGAGCAACCAGGAGTCAATTCTGTGATAGCTTGAATTCTAGAGCAAGTTACTGCCTGTGAACCCAGACACAATCAGGAAAGGAGCCTGCCACTCACCAAAGTGTTCCCACCCTAAGATGCAGCTGTGAGCACCAGACCCATCCTTCTCAGGAGAACCACTCCACCCCACATGTGCAAAACAAAGACAGCCCATGGGATCTCTTGTGGGGCTGTGCTTTTGTTCATGAGGAGAGGGAGAACACTCTGTGTGTCTAGGCACATGTTCTACCACTGGGTTTACACCTCAGAAACTCCGATTTGTAGCACAGCACTATAATATTTAAGAGCCAATGATGACACACACCACCCCACTTCACTCTATAATGTGGCTCCTGACAAGATGGCCTTTGCTAAAGCCAGCTGGGCTACAAACCCCATATACTGGAGCTTTCAGCAGGAGGACCTGGCAACTAATATCTACTTACTAGGGATTATACATTCTACTCTTTAATCACTTGGGTACCTAGTCCATTTCACCCTCGTGGCAAGTATTAAGGTGTATAGACTCAATAAGGAGCATTCACTGTGCCTGCGTTAATGAAAAAGGAGCTAGCAGGGTTTTGTTTCTGTTTTGTTTTGTTTTTTTGGTTTTTCGAGATAGGGTTTCTCTGTATAGTCCTGGCTGTCCTAGAACTCACTCTGTAGACCAGGCTGGCCCTGAACTAAGAGATCTACCTGCCTCCTGGGTCTGAATATTAAAGGCATGCACTACTCGGCTAACTAGCAGTATCTTAATAAGGCAAGAAAACAGATGATTAACTCCAAAACCAAAGGATGTGTCTGATGCCCTCATTGGCCACATTTCTGCCCTCATCCCCTTTCTGCCTATGAGGTGGCAGCTGTTGTACCAACCCTGACCACTACTGTCTAGAGATGGTGGGAGAATGAATATTTCAAAAAGCTCAAGTATACAAGGGCTGAGCTTCCAGCTAGGCCATACTCACAGGAATGTTGCCGGCAGCGGCGCCAGCTCCAAATCTGGCACCTGCATCGTATCCTCCTTCCACCAGCACTGCTGAGCCAGGTGGATAGATGGGGCTAACTGGATAGTAAGCCATGGGGATTGTGGAGCCTAAAGGCCCGACAGCCACAGACTGGGCCATAGGCAGATACAGAGAGGCGCCAGGGAATGCAGCTGACATGGTGGGGACTGTGGCAGCTCCTGGATGAACAAAGCTTGGACGATAGAGCTAAAAGAAGCAGAAGGGAAGGCAACATGTTAATACGTCCATTCCTATTTGAAATCTCATTGTGTCTTGTTGAAACCATGTCCTGTGCCTTCAACCCTGTAGTGGAGGATGACCTTAAACTCCTGATTCCCCCCATGCCACCAAGCCCAGTTCACACAGTGCTGGGGATCAAATCCAGGGCTTAGTGCATGCCAAGCAAGCACTCCACCAAATCAGCTACATCCCCAGCCCTTGGTTTGGTTATATAGCCCAAGACAGCACTGAAGGCAGGATCCTCCTGCCTCAGCCTCCCAAGTGCTGGAGCTTCCCACCTGTATCACCATGCATGGCTCCTGAGTCCATTCCTAGTTCTTCATATGTTCGTTGTAGACTGTACACTATGTTACACTCACTGGCACACAGTGGTCTCCTGGGTCATCTGCTGCCACAGCTACTCCTGGCCTCAAGGGACCCAACCTCAGCATGCGTGTCAAATACCATAACCAGATAATACCCCTAACTGTAATGGTAATTACCAACTTGTGTTTACTATCCAGAGAGCACCCTTCTGTTTGTGAAGTCAGAGGTCAAGACTGAACAAGGGGGTCCACGAGTGTTCTCAACTAGTCAAAAGTCTGGTGGACTGCTGTAGTACCTCTGAGTACGCAGGTGGAGCATCAGTGTAGGGCGGAGCCTGAGGAAGATGTAAGGTCTGAGGATATACTGGATTCCCAGGAGGCTGCACAGGGTAGGTAGGCTGTGTTGGATATTGACCTGGAATACACAAAAGGAGGGGGAGGGGTGTGTGCTGTCTATCAAACAGAGAGTGGCAGACCCGAGAGGTGGCTCGGTGGTTAAAAAGTGCTGCTCTTCCTGAGGACCCAGGTTCTGTTCCCAGCACCCACAGCTGACACCCACAGCCTCCTTTCAACTCTAGCTCCTGCCTGTGAGCACTCTCATGCCCACACACACACAGACACAAGCTTAAATAAAACAAATCTGCAGCGTAAACAGAGCCACCAATGGGAGCAGGCGGGAGACTACAGACAGACTACCACACAGGGTCAAATTTCTGGTGAGTCCAGAAAATCGGGGCTGTCTGCATCCTCACGGCTCTGACTGGGCAGAGAAGGCGCCGTTCCCACTGGCATACTGATGGCGGAATCAAGCCTAACTTGGCCATTTTCCCTCCCCAATTAAGGGCAGGTCTGGGGACCGTTCCCGAGGTCCTGGGCTGCTGGCCTCTTAAGGAACCTCCAGTCTGGGCTGGCCCTCCACAGTCTGGGCTGTTGTTACCAGTCCGGACTCTCTGGGACCCATGGATTCTGAGCGTTTTACCTTACAGAGATTTCTACTCAAGGTCGACTTTCTAAAAAGAGCGAGTGAACGGGAGCTAACCGTGGAGAGGGCGGCGGGTGGGGTGTAAGCGCGACCATGTCCTGACCGACACTGGCACGGGGACGGTTAGAAACCCTGGCCCTGGGGAGGAGGGGCGACAAGGCCGGGAAGGGGAGCGGGCACAGGGACCTTGGCGGCCAGGCCGGGGCCGAGCGGCACGGCCGGCACCTCACTGGTTAAGCCCCGCTAAGGCCTGTTGTTCCGAAGCGCGGCGCCCCGCCCCTGCCAGCCCTCCATTGGCCTACCCCGGTCCCTGCGGTAGCTCCCCATTCGCTCCAGCGGGCGCTCATCACGGAAAAGCCCCCCCACCTCACACTCGCACACACAGACAGACACAGACACACACCCCGGAGCCCGCGCCTCCCAACTGCGCCACAGCTTGTGGGGCCGAGGCCGGGAGGGCCGAGCAACTGTGGAGGGGGGGGGCGGCCACCTCAGGGGCCGCTTCGCTCCGGGGCCTCTGAGGAGAGGCGCGGCACAGCCCACCCCGAGCCCGTCGTCGCCGACCCCCGCTCTAGGCCCGCTCGCCCCTGAACCAGCCCGCCTCCCCGACGGTCCCCGCCACTCCCCGGCCTTGCCTTTGCTGTTCATGGTGGCTGCGGGTCCGCTTCCAGTCGGCGTCGCGGACGGTTATTTTTCCCGTCCTCTTCCTGTTCGGAGTCACTTCCGTGTCACGTGACGACCGTCCACTCTGCGTCAGCCGGCGCCCGAGCGCGCTGCCGCCGGAAGCCCCGCCCACTGGCAGGGCCGCCAGTCGTGGCCCCGCCCTCCGTCGCGGGCCCCGCCCTCCCGAGCGCTGTGGGGCCCCGAGGACAGCCGAGCTGGTGGCGGTGCTGTCCTTGCCGCGCAGGACCCAGCTTCCTACCTTTCGAAGTGCCTGGGCGACGAGGCCCGAACCTCAGCCTGTCTCGCGTCCCCGCCCTTCGCAGACCGACGCTGGCTCCTGTGGACGGCCGAGCGCCCGCGAGCTGTCGTCGAAGGAAGGGCTGCGCGCGCAGCCAGCACCTGAGTCCCGGCGCCTCCTACACCGACCTGTAATCCTTTCCCAGCCGACGTTCCGCGTGCCTTTCCTGTCATTTAACTGCCCTGAAGAGTAAAGATGACGTCTTTTGGGACGGTCATTAAGTTTTCCGTTTCCTCATTCCAGAATGTCTGCTGAGCAGTTAAATGCAGTCAGCGATAAAGGCACCGAGCCCGAGCTCGCTGTGTTCTCTCCGTGGTGGTTTAAGGAAGTGGGCGGCTTCTGAGGACTGTGACCTCGGGGAGAGGGGCCCTGTGAATGCTAGAGCCCTGGTAAATCGCTGCCGGTGACTTACCACCCTTAATCCCTGCACTCGGGAGGCACAGGCAGGTGAATCTCAGAGTTTGAGGCCAGCCTGGTCTACAGAGCGAGTTCCAGGACAGCCAAGGCCTGTCTCGACCCCCACCCCCAGCTCCACCCCAGCGCCCCCCAAAAACTCCTGATTCATCAAACACTGGTGAGACCCACACTCAGTAACGCCCTGCTTTTGTCGCCGGTACTATTACAGTTTGTTTGGCATCCTGTAAAAGCAGTTTTATTCTGTTCGCAGAGCAGACCTGCGAAAGCTTTGCTTATTTTAACACCCCTGATTCTCAAATAGCATTGACCCAGGGGAGCTGGAGAGAGGGCTCAGGGGTTAAGAGCATTTACTGCCCTTCCACAGGAAGGTATGTTCGGATCCCACACGTTCCGGCTCTGTGGGGATTCGCACACGCGTGTCATATGTTCACAGAGACACACACACAAGTAAGTATTGGGGAAAAAAAATGACCCAAAGACACAGGTTACAGACTCAGGTCTTTGTCCTGACTCCCAGATTCAGGGTCAGTGTTTCCGTTCTGTTTTCCCATCAACCCGCAGTGCCTCCCCTGACTGGGTTGCACTAAAGGCTGGCTGTTTTGGAATTCTTTTAGGTATTTAAAAAATTCCCTCTATATTATTAATTTGATTCAGATTAAATTAGTATCATAAAGCCAGTGATATTTCCTTGTATATCTGAAAACAAAACAGACATGCACATCATAAAATAATAATAATAGACACAACAAATACAAATTCAGATGCTGCTACAGGGAGGTCCTTCCCAGGGCCAGGGGCTTATGAAGAAGGGGTTAATTTGATATCTGGGCCCTCCTAGGGCGAGCTGCCCTCTGCTGGTCGACCTCTCCTTTGCAAGGTGTCTGGTATTTTGTTTAACATCCTAAAGGTGGGCCCTGGAGATTCCGGAGTGCTGCCAAGTGAGCTGACCCCAGCAACGGGGGCTGCAGCTCGCCCCTTGCTCCACCAGGCGGCGCAAAGGAGCATCTGGCTACTTTCTTGGACACAAGGGAACACCCATGTTCTTTTTGTTTTGTTTTGTTTGTTTTGGTTGGTTTTTCGAGACTTACCCTGTAGACCAGACTGGCTTTGAACCCAGAGATCCGCCGGCCACTGCCTCCCAGGTGCTGGGATTAAAGGTGTGTGTCACCATTGCCTGGTTTCCATGTTCTTACTGGTTTGGAGTTTTTTTTTTTGTTTTTGGTTTGGTTTTGGTTTTGGTTTTTTGAGACAGGGTTTCTCTGTGGCTGGCTTTGGAGGCTGTCCTGGAACTCACTCTGTAGACTAGCCTGGTCTCGAACTCACAGAGATCTGCCTGCCTCTACCTCCCGAGTGTTGGTGTGCACCACCAACACCCAGCCCATGTTCTTACTCTTAAACCAAGGTGTTTGTTCCTTTACCAAATATTCTTTCTTACATTAATGTAGCAAATATTAATTGAATGCCTACTGTGTCAGACCCCGTGGGAGGAACTAGAGAACAGTGAAGACATAAAAAGAATCCCCCGCCCCAGGTAATCCGGCACAAGGATTAGAACTGACCTGTGGGCCCTCTGCTCTGCTAGGGAGGACGTGGATGAGATGCCTGTTCTCATCTACTTGGTCAGAGAAGGTTCCCTGCAGGGGCGGGTGATGCCTAAGATGAAATCTGAGGAGCGCGCAGAGCCACTAAACAAGTGAAGGGGGACACGGGCAATGGAGGACGTCACTGTCACTCACGCTGTGACCTAGAGATAGGAGAGGTTCTCAGGGAGGAGGCCTGAAAATGGGGCAGAAGTAGGCACAGCTTGGCAATGGTAACTGAAGCTAAGGTGGGAACAGGAACCAGACGGCGCAGGACCCAGGTCAGACTGTGAAGACCATGCCTCTGGCTGTCCTAAGGGCCCGAACACCCTCTTCTGGCCTCTAAATGCACATGTGTACATGCAGACAACACACACACATAATACAAAAGTCTTTAAAAAATTAATGGAGGGCTGGAGAGATGGCTTAGAGGTTAAGAGCACTGACTGCTCTTCCAGAAGTCCTGAGTTCAGTCCCCAGCAACCATATGGTGGCTCACAACCATCTGTAATGAGATCTGGCGCCCTCTTCTGGCCTGCAGGGGTACATGCAGACAGAACATTGTATATGGTGGCGCACGCCTTTAATCCCAGCACTTGGAGGCAGAGGCAGGCGGATCTCTGTGAGTTCGAGACCAGCCTGGACTACCAAGCGAGTTCCAGGACAGCCTCCAAAGCCACAGAGAAACCTTGTCTCGAAAAACCAAAAAAAAAAAAAAAAAATTGGAAAGGAATTGTGGATAAGGAGGAATTAGAGGGGAAGGAATTAGGGAGTTGATTTTACCAAAGCACAATTTACCAAGCAATTTAAAATATCAATGACTGGGTACAGTGTGCACATCTTTAATCACAGCACTCAGAAGGCAGACTCTGGATGAAAAGAGAATCAACATGTCCCCCCTTCTATCATCTATATCTACTATCTATCTATCTATCTATCTGTCTGTCTGTCTGTCTGTCTGTCTGTCTGTCTGTCTGTCTTCTTGTGTTGTCTGACTTGTTTCCATGTCTGTGATCTACTTACTTGCTCCAGGCGCTCCAGGACAGGAGGCACTTAGTCTAGGCTGTTCCAGGTGTGGCACTTGCTGGGTATTTTTGTAGAAGAGAATGAGGTAGGATGATGCCTGAGTTTGAGGCTAGCCTGGTCCATTAAGAGGACCAGAACAAACGGGGCTACATAGCGTGATCTTGTCTAGGGGGCAACAATAGTAATATTGAGATGAAGAAGGGGAAGAAACCAAAGATGACTGACAATGAAGTATTTTTTAATTTTGTAAGATATATTTACTATGTATACAGTGTTCTGCCTGCATATATGCCTGCAGGCCAGAAGGCAGCACCAGATCTTATAGCTGGTTGTGAGCCACCATGTGGTTGCTGGGAATTGAATTCAGGACTCTGGAAGAGCAGCCAGTGTTCTTAACCTCTGGGCCATCTCTCCAGCCCCTAATAAACTTTTTTTTTTTTTTTTTTTTGGTTTTTCGAGACAGGGTTTCTCTGTGGCTTTGGAGGCTGTCCTGGAACTCACTTTGTAGACCAGGCTGGTCTCGAACTCACAGAGATCTGCCTGCCTCTGCCTCCCAAGTGCTGGGATTAAAGGTGTGTGCCACCACTGCCTGGCCCTAATGAACTTTTAATGTTCCTTGGAGTAGACAGATCCTGGAAGGGAAATCACAGCATAATTCAGTAAATACTGCTCTAGAGATGCATAAGCACAGCATGAGGGCACTGAAAATGATGACTTGTCCCCAAAAGGTCTGTGTGCTGCAAGCTTGGTCCCTAGTGTCAACCAAAGTATGTGTGTGTGTGGGTGGGGGGAGATGGACACGACTGTTAGATAGCAGGACAAGAGTGAGTTGTTACAAAGTGAGGCCACTGACACGCTTGTCCCCTTCTGAGTGTAGCGGTGGACCCTGAACCAGAAGGAAGCCACCATGCTGTTTGTACCTCACAACCAGAATCACCAGCCAAAAAACTATGTTATAAGTTAGTCTCGCTGGGCAGTGGTGGCACACCGCTTTAATCCTAGCACTTGGGAGGCAGAGGCAGGTGAACCTCTGAGTTTGAGGCCAGCCTGGTTTACAAAGCTACACAGAGATGCCCTGTCTCAAAAAAAAAAAAAAAAGAAAGAAAAAGAAAAAAAAGAAAAGAAAGAAATCCAGTCTCGGGGCATTCAGACAGACTGCACAGTGACTCTTCTGCTGGCCCTCCTACTCTCAATTTAAGTGGACCTTTATTGTGTTGTGTTCATCCTTGTGTGATGGAGGATAAAAGTCTCCTATTTCTCAGACTGATAAGGAAGGGCCAGAGCTTTGGGAAGCATCCAGCAGCTCCTTGAAGGAGTCCTTTCAAAGCTCTGGCTGGCCTTTGTGTAACTAAGGGAACTGCTATTACAAGATATATGGTGAGAAATGGAGCCTGCTCTCCTAGTCTCAGCAAGACATTTAGGAAAGGCTCAGCACCTCCCCCCCATGCTCAATAAATTTAAAGTACCAACATCACTGCCACTGGGTAGCCTAGTGGGTCCTGCCTGGAACAGAGCCTCTGCTCTGTTGGTTTTAGTCAGTGTTTTATGTCTGAATTCTCAGTTCTCTTGTATTAGAATTATTGAAGACGTATTTAAAGTGCAAGTTAAATTGAGTGATCTTGATATATACTGAGATTTGCTGGTTTGGGAGTTTGAGATTTGACTTTATTCTTTGGGGGGTGGTGTGTGTGCTATGTGTGGTGCGGGAGTGTTCTTCGTGTGGTGTATGTGTGGTCTGTGTGAGTCTGGTGTGTGTGTGTTCTGTGATATGTGTGGTGTGGTGTATATATGTGGAGGGTGTGGTCTTTGTGAGTCTGTGTGGTGTGTGTGTGTTCTGTGGTATATGTGTGGTGTATGTGGTGTGTGTGTATGTGTGTGTGTGCTATGTATGTGTATGGTCTGTATGTGTGGTGTGTATGTGTGTGGTGTGGTGTGTATGTATGTGTGTGTATGTGTGTGTGTATTCTGTGGTGTATGTGTGATGTGTGTGTGCCATATGTGTATATGGTCTGTATGTGTGGTGTGTGTGTGTGTGTGTGTGGTGTGGTGTATGTATGGGTGTGTGTGTGTGTGTGTGTGTGTGTGTGTGTGTGTTCCAGAGTTACCTACAGCACCCAGAAGGATAGAACTTGCTTCTCACTCTGCCCAGGAGACTGGAAGGAGTTGAGACTTTTGGAATACACTTCCCCTAGATAATTTCACACTTTTACATGATCACTAGTCCCACAAACCCCCATGTCACATAAACCCCTGTCACACAAACCCCCATGAATAAGTAGAAGTTAAAAATAAAGGTTTTTAAGGACAGGACCTGGCCAAGTGTGTTGGAACATGCCTTTGATTCCAGCAGAGACAGGCGGATCTCTGTGAGTTCAAGGGCAGTCTGGTTTACAGAGTGAGTTCCAGGACAGCCAGGGTTGTTACACAGAGAAAAAGAGAATAGAGCCTGGAGGGATGACCCAGTAGGTAAGGACACTTGTTGCTCTTCCAGAGGATCTGAGTTCTGTTCCCAGCACCCACATCTGGCAGTTACCTATAACTCCAACTCTGGGGGATATGATACTCTCTTGTGGCTTGCTCAGACAACTACATACATAAACACCCACACACAGACACATGCACATAAATAAAAATATGTTTGTTGTAATTTGTTTTGTTTGCAACAGGTCTTGCTATGTATCTGACCTGAATTCAGTATATGGACTGGGCTGGGCACAAATTCATAGAGATCCACCTGCTTCTATCTCTGACTGCTGGGATTAAAGGCATGGCAAAAGAAATCTTAAAGACAAATCTGTGTTCGAGGCCAGCCTGGACTACAGAATGAGCTCCAGGACAACCAAGGCTATAGGGAGAAACACCATCTAGAAAAAGCAATAGAAAAAAAAGAAAGGAGATGGCCTTTTTTCTAGTCATTAGGGAAAGAATCCACACAATCTGGAACTCACCAAGGAGCTCCAGGCTGAGAGCAGCTGCCCAGTCAGTGGCCTAGGGCAGAGAGAGTCAACAGATGACATGCAGGACAGACGTGAGGAAAACCTTGCCACCTACTTCAGTTCTCCCAATACATTAGTAGACCTTCAACATAGAGCGAGTGATATATTCCCAGCACCCCAGACAGGGACCGAGGCAAGAGACCAGGATATGGAGCCCAGCCTGAGCTACACAGTAGGACCCTGTCTCCAAAAGCAACAAATAACCCTAAAGCAAACATAAATAAATAGCCAGATATAAATAAATAAATAAATAAATAAATAAATAAATAAGGAAATGCTGCTCAGCCCTGAATTTCATATATACTTTCTCATTCCAATTTACAAAGCCACCAAGGTTAGATATGCTTCACATTTCACAGATAGGGACTCTGTGACTTGAGGATTCTGATTTCCAGGCTGAAGAATAGAGTGTTTAGAGGACTTGTTTGTTTGTTTTGAGACAAGAGTTTCTCTGTGTAGTCTTGGCTTTCCTGGCACTCCCTCTGTAGACCAGGCTGGTCTCAAACTCAGAGTGACCTGCCTCTGTCTCCCGAGTGCTGAGATTACAGGCAGTTGCCACTACTGCCTGGCCAGAGACTTGTTTAGCATTCACAAAGCCGTGAGTCAATCCCAAGCACTGAGAAAACAAAACAAAACCCTTTTCTAAGCTGGGTGGTGGTGGCGCACACCTTTAGTTCCAGCACTTGGGAGGCAGAAGCAGGTGGATCTCTGAGTTCGAGATCAGCCTGGTCTACAAGAGCTAGTTCCAGGACAGGCTCCAAACTCCAAAGCTACACAGGGAAGCCCTGTCTCAAAAACACAAAACAAACAAACGCACATATAGCTTTTCATACTAGCAAGTGACCATAGTCCAATTAGAACCCAGACTTGTGAGCCTGTCACAATTACAGTGTCTGGGTTGTCCTGTGACAATGGAGGTTAGCAGTCAAGTCAGACCACTTGAATGAGAAAGACACATACAAGGAAGACCAGACACGTTGGCACACAACTGTAATCTCAAAAGCTGGAAGTCTGAGGCAGGAAGAGACCAAGAAGCCAGCCACTCGGCTGGAATGATGGCTCAGTAGTAAGAGCACTGGCAGTTCTTCTGGAGGATCTGGGTTCAGTTCCCAGCACCCACATGGTAGCTCACAGCCATCCTTACTGCCAGTGTTGGAGGACCAGCAGCACCCTCTTCAGTCTCTAAGAGGCAGGCACACGTGCTGTGCGTGTACACACATGCCAGTGTGGGCCAGAAGAGGGCACTGCATCTCCTGGGACTGAAGCTACAGGTGTTGCTGAGCTGCCATGTGGGTGCTAGGAATTGAACCTGGGTCTTCTAGAAGGAAAACAACTGTTCTTAACAGCTGACTTATCTCTAGGCCAGTAAAATAAATGTGGAGGGGCAGCCACTGGCCTGCAGGGGGAACAAAAGAAATAATAATAATAAATTAATTAAATAATAAATAAAATCAGCCAGCACACCTTTAACCCCAACACTCAGGAGGCAGAGGCAGGCGGATCTTTGAGTTCGAGGCCAGCCTGGTCTACAGAGTGAGTTCCAGGACAGCCAGGGGTACACAGAGAAACCCTGTCTCAAAAAACAGTAAATAAATAATAAATAAAATCCAGTTTGTAGGGATAGCAGCTTTTTCTTTCTTTTTTTTCTTTCTTTCTTTTTTCTTTCTTTTTCATTCTGAGGACTTGGGAAGACAAGATTCCAAGCACACAAGGTAAGGAAGAAACAGGACCAGTCTGTTGACTGGTCCTCCTGCTTCTCATTAACCCCATTTTTCTCTCCATCTCAGTCTCCTCATACTGAACACCATATCTACCTCAGGAATGCCCGGTGAGGACTGGACAAAAGGGGTAGTAATATTGATGTGCCTCGTTCTGTTTGTTAACATCCTTACACACACAGCCATGTTACTGCTTTATTAAAAGCTGTTTCCCTATGTAGCCCAGGCTAGCCTGAGTCCCGAGATTACAAACACGTTACCCTGACTGGTTGGTGGCACAGAGGCAGGGGGATCTCTGTGAGTTCGAGGTCAGCCTGCTCTACACAGTGAGTTCCAGGACAACCAGAGCTGTGTACTGAGACCCTGTCTCAAAAACAGAAAGAGAATAGAAGTGACTCCAGGCTTTGTTTTCTTTTGACAGCACTGAGGGTTGAATCTGGAGCCTCCTGAATGTGATGCAAGGGCTCCTACCACTGACGCTGAGCTACCCACCACCACCTCTGCGTCTCAGCAAATCCCTCACACACACCTGTTGTGAAACGGCCTTGAATTTTGGTCTTCCTATCACAAGCCATGGAACAGCTGAGACTACGTGGGATTACAGACCTACACCACCAGACCTGGGTCAGGCCTGGCTTTAGCAAACTCTTCTTTCTTCATTTCATTTATTTATTTTTGTTTCCTAGAGACAGGGTTTCTCTGTGTGCCCTGGCTGGACTGGAACTCTGTAGAGCAGGCTGGCCTCAAACTCACATCTTCAGTAGCAGAGCATAAATAGGGTCAGTTGTCAGTATCAGCTCTACAGTTTTGTTGAAACCGTTTCTTTTGTTGCAGGAAAGGTATCCCACGGTAGGTAAGATGGTGCCCACCTTCCATTCCCTTATCATGAGGTTGAGACAGGATGATGTCTCAAGTTTGAGGCCAGCCTGGTTTACACAGAATGTTTCAGGACAACCTGAGCTATGTAGTAAGACCAAATTTCCTTCGTTGCCCTCCCCCAAAGGAGCACTCTGGCTATCCCTGGAGCACCACACCTGTAAGAACACAGGTTAGCAACGGATGCTGCTGGGTTCTGCCACTTTACTTCCTGTTCAGCTTCTTCCCTCCATTTGCATATCTTCTGCATGTCAGGGAGAATATTTTTCCTCTAATATTTTTAGTGGAAATGTAGAGAGGAAGGACAAAAGCCCACATTTCTTCAACATTTCAACCAACAACCTCATTTTCTTCCAACAGTTGAAGGGAAGTTCTTATGAATAATGGATGATTGCCTGATGAATATGCACACAGTCCATTATGCCTGTGAGGTCTGGTAAATAATTTATGAGCTAAAATGTTCTTCACCTTGCTACTGTACAAAAACTTAAAAAAAAAACCCACAGCGTATTTACCCTTTGAACTGCAAGGAGATCTGTCAGAGTCGGTGACTGCAATACAACTTTACATCACCGCTAAAATTAGCTAGAAAGCACTGTGTATGCATTTCAGAGAGAGTCTAAAATGGAGCTTGCTTTGGCTAGACTCCTTGCTGCATGCACGTTTTCTAAAATTTTGCCTCCTCACCTTAAGGTAGCCACACATCGTCAACGGCACGGATTCCTCCATGGGCCAGGCTCCTCACGGGACTTCCGTATGACCTGTGAGACTCACTCTTCTCCCTTGTATTGTGAAAACTGGCTCAGACTGCCTTGGCCATGACCTGCTGTTCTAGTCTTCACAGCTGAGACTGTCCTGTCGTGTCCCCTCCCCCCTGCGACCGTGACCTGAACCACTGCTGTGTCACCCTTTGGCTCACATCCCCTCAGTGGCAGGAGTGGGTGTCCTTAACCTGGTGGCGAGAATGAGCAGGGCCAAGGTGTCCAAGGGAGGTGTTTGGAATACGTTCGTGGATCCTGGCCCTGTTGTATGATGTGTTTAACACGACTTGAAACTGGGTCAGGTTGTGGAAGGTGGGAACCTGAGGTTTATCTGCAATGATCTGATGGGCTTTCTAGGCACCACGCCAAAGGTGTGCACTGTGCTCTCCACAGCTTGCAGGTTGTGTGCCTGTAGGAGATGAAGAGAAGGCGGGGAAAGGCCTTGTCTGTCTTCTGGGTAAACTATAGACATTTTCAAGGAACAGAGGAGCTGGCATGAGGCTCAGAGGGTAAAGGTGCCTGGTGCTAGGTTCCCTACTGGAAATTGATTCCCCAGAATCTACCCATGTGGTTGAAGGAGAGAACCGACTCCCTTAAGTTGTCCTCTGCCATCCAAAGGAGGACCCTGACACTCTGCTCTCTCTGCACCCCCAGTAAATACAGTAAACAAAAACAGAATAAATTACCTACAAACTATATTACAAAGTTAGTGGGGTAGTGATGTAATTAAAGCGAAAATCCTTTGATAACAATGTGGCATTTGGACTTAAGGATTCTTTTTTTCTTTTTTTCAAGACAGGGTTTCTCTGTATTCTCTTGGAGGCTGTCCTGGAACTCGCTCCGTAGACCAGGCTGGCCTTGAACTCACAGGGATCCGCCTACCTCTGCCTCCCAAGTGCTGGGATTAAAGGCGTGCGCCATCAATGCCCAGCCAGACTTAAGGATTCTTGAAGGAAAAAAAAAATTCAGAACAGTTTGCAAGACCAAAAAAAAAAAGTCCACCAGGTAGTGATGGCACTTTTCTTTAATTCCAGCACTTGGGAGGCAGAGGCAGGTGGATCTCTGTGATTTTGAGGTTAGCCTGCTCTACAAAGTGAGCAGAGACCAGGACAGGTTCCAAAGTTACACAGAGAAACCCTGACTTGAAAACCCAAACCAAAATCAATAAAAAAGGTCCAGTTAATTAGAAAGAAGCCAAGATGTGCGGCCCAGTCTGCCTCCTGTGGACTCTTCCGTCTTCCACCTACCTGTCAAACCTCCGTTTGGGCAATACTTCTGTCACTTCCTATGTTCTAGCTTGCAGTACACAAATGGTTACTTCTCTAGCCCCATTCAGATGTTGAAATCCAAACCCACCCATGGTGGTTTGGAGACAAGACCGTTGGGAGGTGAGTAGACCATTGGTTCTCCCCAGAACATTTCCTAACCCCTGCCACCATGTGAGGTGACTTCTCCCTATGAAGCAGGATCCTGGGTCCTGGGTCCGCCATGATCTTTAACACCCCCCCACCTCTAGAGACCATAGTTGTAATTAATTACCTCAGGAACGTAATTGATTACGCTTTTGAAAAAGGTTTATTTTTATTTACGCATATTTGTATGTGTGCCAAGCATGTGCTTGTACCCACTAGGAAATGGTGTCAGGTTCCCTGGAGCCGGAGTTCCAGGAGGTTGTGAACCACCCTCTGTGGATGCAGACAGGTACTCTTAGCCACTAAGCCATCTCTCCAGCCCCTTCTCCCCTTTGTTTATAGTAGAGTCTTCTCACCGGCCCAGGCTGGGAACTCATATGTAACCCTGGCCTGAGTGCTGGGATTATAGGCACATACTATCCCCACAGCTTGATGTGTAACTGGAGACTGACCCCAAAGCTTTGTTCATTCTAGATAAGCATTGTACCAACTGAGCTACATTCCCAGACTTTCTTTTTCTGAGGTTTGTGTGTATGTTTGTTGTGTGTTCTTGAATGTGTGCATGTTGTATGTGAGTGTGGTGTGTGGTGTGTGCATGTGTGTGTATTGTGTGGTATGTTCCTGAGTGTGTACATATTGCATGTGAGTATGGTGTGTGTGTGTGATGTGCTCTTGAGTGTGTGCATGTTGTATGCGAGTGTGGTATGTGTGGTGTGTGTGTGTGTGGGTGAGAGAGAGAGAGAGACTGTGTGTGTGTGTGTGTGAGAGAGAGAGAGAGAGAGAGAGAGAGAGAGAGAGAGAGAGAGAGAGAGAGAGAGAGAGAGAGAGACTGTCATCCATGCTGGTTCCTAATAATTCACGGGCTCACTCCATTTTCAGTTTTTTCAGTAGCTGCTCCTACAGGTGGGAAGATGCCAGGATCTACCTTTTATAAAACTAAACTTCATTACTTGCCAGGAACTGCCCATGGAAAAGAGCTGGGATTAAAACCCCAAGCTTGCTGGTTCTTGCCCATTTAGCTGCCATCAGCAGTGCCTCCTCACTGGCCCCAGGAAAACAGAGACAGGTCCAGCTCTGCAGCAAACTTCTATGAGCAGAGCCTCAGGTTGCCAGCAAGATCCAGGCAGCCTGGAGTGTGTGTAGCTGCTGATCAAACCACCGGATACCTCCTCTCTCCTCCCATCGGGGTATGCTTCCTTCACCTGGGACTGTCTGGCTAGGACTCTTACTCTCCACTCCTTTTCTCCTAACGCTGCTCCTGCATCATCTACCTCCAGTCACCCCTAGACCACAGAAGCGTGGTGTGGGTGGCGTGAGGGGAAACGAGGTTGCCAAGCTGCTTAACTGTTGGGAATCCGCCTTCTCTAGATTCATAAACCTCCCCTCCTCTCCCCCTCTCTCATTCTTTCTCTTTCCTTTGCTCTTCCTTCTCCTAGTTGTCCATTATTTCCCAAACTTCGTACCCCTGCCCTCCTAATCAGTCTCTAAGCCTTCCCTTCCCTTCAAACCCTCCCCACCATCACGATCACCGAAACAGTGGCGTGTTTTTCTCCATTACACCAAACTTCGTATTTTCACACCTTCTCGAACTTGGCTGTGGGTAGGACCCCACCCCTCCACGAAGGTGGAGCGTTCAGGACCCTGGTCTCCTCTGGGATGTGCCACGAGGGCACCGCTGCTCCCGAGGCCCTGCGCAACTGAGCCTGAGCGTCGTCCGAGTTCCCAATGCTTTCCCAGACTGGAGGATAGACGTGAACTTGAGGGTTGCCGTCGAGAGGGGCAGTTGACTACCGGCAGAGTCACAGTGGTCACTGCCCCAATCCTCGGCTGGAGGGAACGGGGCAGTGTGACCGATCGAGAATCCAGTTCTACAGTGAGAGAGGGCTGAGTCAAGCCGCCCCACAGGCCCTGGGTCCCAGCCCCGGCGGGGCCTGGGGTTCCTCCCCACCCCCTCGCACCGCTCGCCGCTCCCCGGACCCCCTCCCTTTCCTGACCGCCGCCCCCGGCGGCTGGCGCGGGAGGTGCAGCATGCGGCAAAGCGCTTTGCATAAATTATGCTCATGACGCAGCAGCTAAAAAAATCCAAGTAGCAGAAGGAGGGAAAGGGGGGGAGGGAGGAGGGGGCGAGGAGGGGACTGCACCTGGCGGCCCCCGCCCCCGGCGTCCCCGGCCCGCGCGTGGCCCGCAACCCACCGCCGCTCCGCTCTGCCAGCCCCGCCGGGGGGCCCGGGGGGCGGCGGGTCCCGAGTGGCTCCGGGCCGAGCGAGCCGGGCCGAGCCGCTCCGGCTTCTTTGTCTGCGGGCGGCCGCCTTGGCCGCGGCCCCCTGGCCCGGGTTGGAACATGAGTGTCTAGTCGGTGGCCGCTGGGCAGCCGGGGAGCGGGAGGCTGGGCTTCGGGCTCCGGTGAGTAGCGGGGTCCGGGGCGGGGAGGGCTTTGCACGGAGGGGGAGGGGGCCGGGCAGAGGAGGTTTCGGATTTGGTTAATATGCAATGCCCGTAATTAGCATAATTTATATATTTATGATAAAGAGAGAAAAAGGCGCGGGGCCGGGGCGGCGGGCTGCGGCCCGGGAGGCGGGAGCTATGGGAGCGGATGGCCGCGCGCTGCCCACCTGGGGCCGCAGACCCCGGGCCGCGCCCTGGTTCCTCGTCCCCCGCGGACACTCGTGGAGGGGCGACCGCCAGGTGGACGCCTTGCCCTAGAGCCCGGGCGGGGTGTCGGAAAGAGGCGAGCAGAGCCCTGGAGACCCGGACACTTGGGTTCCCCGGAGACCTGTCACCACTCCTTCCGAGAAAGGGCCGGTGGGACTCTGGGGTAGAGACCTCACTGTTGCTGGAAGGATGGGGGAGTGGTGGGAGGGTCACCGTCGATCAGAGCGTGAGCACTTCATAAATATTTAATGATAGTGTTAGTATTAATAATGTCATAGAATGGGCCCCTTGTGTCCTCCCGGGATATTTGCACCAGGCAAGGCCGAGGGATCTCCAGAGTAGCTTCTAACCCACTTTAGCGCTGAGATCGCCCCCTCGGCTGGATGGGAAGCCTAAGACCTTTACAGATAGTCTGCGTCTGCGGCTGGGCAGGAGAAAATAAAAGCTTGTCAAGAAGCCTCGCTAGGCCAAACACAGGAAGCTCCTAGCGGAGAGGGAGAAACTGTAGCCTTTTTGCTCTTTCTAATTCCTTGTTTTTGAAGTCGAAGGTTGATCGATCCCCAGTTCCATGAATATATACCTCCTCCAGTCACTCTGGCAATCCACGCCAGTCAACAATGACTGGCAAAAGGCACTCTGGGTATAGTGGCATGTGCTCCGTTTTGATTGAACTTGGTGTTCAGGATGATGTATCTGTGATCTGGGACCTCTTTACATATGTACAGGAGTACTACATTCATTTCCGTCATTGGTTCTATGAAAATAATCAGCAAGTGCCTCACTGAGACAAAGCCTCACCTGTCCTGGGGTGAGCTAGTGGATCATAAACACAAAAACAAATCAGATAATGCCAGGGAGAGAAAGAAGAAGGGAGGGAGGGAGGGAGGGAGGGAGGGAGGGAGGGAGAGAGAGAGAGAGAGAGAGAGAGAGAGAGAGAGAGAGAGAGAGAGAGAGAGAGAGAGTACGCCAGCACACCGATTTTCTCTTTTCTTCCTTGTGGCACTACCTGGCATCTAAGAAAAGTGAGTCTGAGCCGGGCGTTGGTGGCACACGCCTTTAATCCCAGCACTCGGGAGGCAGAGGCAGGCTGATCTCTGTGAGTTCGAGACCAGCCTGGATTACCAAGCGAGTTCCAGGACAGCCTCCAAAGCCACAGAGAAACCCTGTCTCGAAAAACCAAAAAAAGAAAGAAAGAAAAGTGAGTCTGTGGAGCACTGTAGCCCCAGCAGTGGGGGTGAGAAAGTGGGGGAATCAAAGGTTAACATAGTGAGACTGTCTCAAAAAACCAAAGACAATCAAAAGCCCCAAACCGAACACCAACTTCAATAAACAAAAAACACAAAGGGGGCGCTAGCTAGATGGTTCAGCCTTTACTGCCAAGCCAGCCACTGGATGTTTGATTCCTGAACCTCGCGTGGTAGAAGCAGAGAACTGACTCCAAGTAAGTTGTCTTCACATGCAAGTGCTGTGTGACACGTGTGGGTTGTGGCACTCAGGCTCCAGCATAGATATACAAACAGAGACCAAGAAATAGATGTCAGAAAAGAAGATAGAAGATGAAACAGCAGCAACAACAAAGGAAACAAAGAAACTGGACAGTGGTGACTCATGCCTTTAATTTCAGCACTTGGCAGAGGCAGGCAGATCTCTGAGTTCAAGGCCAGCCTGGTCTATTGAGTTTCAGGACAGCCGGGGATATGATATATATATATATATATATATATATCCTGTCAGTTGGGCGGTGCACACTTTTAGTCCCAGAACTTGGGAGGCAGATCTCTGTGAGTTCAAGACCAGCCTGGTCTACAAGAGCTAGTTCCAGGACAGCCTCCAAATCTACACAGGGAAACTGTGTCTCAAAAAACCAAAACAAAAAAAGCCTTAAAAAAAAAAAAAAGGCTGGAGAGATGGCTCAGAGGTTAAGAGCACTGACTGCTCTTCCAAAGGTCCCAAGTTCAATTCCCAGCAACCACATGGTGACTCACAACCATCTATCTATAATGAGATCTGGTGCCCTCCTCTGGTGTTCAGACATACATGCAATGCAGGCAGAATACCGTATATATAATAAATAAGTAAATTTAAAAAACAAACAAACAGAAAAACAAAACACAAACAAAAAAGGAATGAAACTGTGGAGATATAGCTCATCAGTAGAGAATATTGCATCTGTACAAATATCTCTCTCTCTCTCTCTCTCTCTCTCTCTCTCTCACACACACACCCTAATGATGGTAAGGAGAAAATATGTATCACAAATCAGAAGAAATTTGCCCTAGCATTCACAAGAGCAAATTTAAACCCCAGGAATGAAAATTTAAGAAATAAGAAAAGAAACTTGTTTTCTAAGGGTTTTTTGCTTCAAGAAAAAAAAAAAAGCTGGATGTGGTGACACACACTTTTAATCCCAGCACTGGAGAGGCAGAGACAAGCTAACCTCTGTGAGTTCAAGGCCAATTTGGTCTAAATAGTACGTTCTAGGACAGCCAGGGCTATGAAGAGAGACCTTGGAGAGAGAGAGAGAGAGAAAGAGAGAGAGAGAGAGAGAAGAGAGAGAGAGAAGAGAGAGAGAGAGAGAGAGAGAGAAGAGAGAGAGAGAGATATCTGGCATAAACTCATATTCCCCTTCCAAGACTTAATTACTATGCCATTATAATATTAGTACTTGGGCTGTATGTAACTCTGGTACATACTTCATACTTAGCATGTGTGGGGCCCTGGGTCCAACTTCCTGTCCAATCAGTAAGCAAATAAAAATCATAATAGTAATTGTTTATGTTTCATACTATTATGATTTGAAACATTTTGTATGCATGCTTTATTTCAGTTAAAATAATAGCAATAATAGTACTGGGATGTAATTCAGTTGGGATAGTGCTCGCCTAGAGTACCTGGAACCCTGTGTTCCAGTCCCAACACCCCATTAACTAACTATGTGCACCTGTAACCACAGCACTTGGGACTGGGAGTTAGGAGGAGAATGAGTTCGAGGTCTTCTTCAGTTAGGTAGGGAGTTCCAGGTCAGCCTGGAATACATGCAACCTTGTCTCAACAAATAAAACCAAGCAACAATAGTAACACCCATATAATATCTGCATGCAAGGCCCTGTTGTAAATGCCTTACATAAATATTACCAATTTAAAGTGGGACATAATGACACAAGAGTATAGCCATCATTTGATTCTCCTAGCTACACAGAGAAACCATATCCAAAAACAAACAAACAAAAACAATGTTACCATGGGGGATGTTGGAGAGACGGCCAACAGTTAATAGCACTTGCTGCTCTAACAGAGGACCCATGCCCCATTCCCAGTGACCACATGGCAGCTTCCTACTGCCTGTAAGTCCAGAGTAGGAAAATTCATGGAGAAAGCAGCTAAGTGGTTCCCAGGGACTGGGAGGGGGCAGTGCCAGTGGAGTTTCTACTATGGATGTAAAATTTCCTTTTAGGTCGTTGAAAACGTTCTTGAACTAGAAGTGCTGATGATTGCACAACATCATGAATGTACAAAATTTCACTGAAATATATACTTTAAAATCATTAGAGTGGTGGCCCACACCTTTAATCCCATCCCTCAGGAGTCAGAGACAGGTGACTCTCTGAAGTTCTAGGCTAGCCTAGTCTACTTAGTGAGTTCCAGTCCAGCTAAGGCTACCTAGTGAGACCTTTTCTCAAAATAGTTGGGGATTTGAGTCAGTGATGAGCACTTTCTAGTACATGCCAAGCCTTGAGTTTAATCCCTGGCATCATGGAAAGGGAGATGAATAATTCGATAAAATGGTTAACCTGATGAGTTCTCAGCCATGTATATTTGTATTTGTTGGGGCTCCTGCAACAACGTATCCTAAATCTGGGAGCTTGTTAACAATAGAAGTTCACTGCTCACAAGGAAGGAGGCTGGGAAAGCCAAGGTCACGTCCAGTGCACCTGTTTCTTCATGATGGGAAGACTGTCTTACTGATCTCACCTTCCGGACACTCACACCTCTTTAATCTGTCACCTCAGGGTTTAAGATTCCAACAGATGAACTCAGACCATAGCAGGAATTTTACCTCAGTTTATAAAAGGTTTGTGGGACTTCGGATATAACCCAGTGGTAGAACACTTGACTAGTATGCTCAAGGCCCTGGATTCAGTTCCCAGGATGATAAAACAAAAATTTTGCAGGAGTAAAAAGTAAAGAAAGGAAAAGAAAAGTAAGATAAGGATATAAAACAGTGCTCTGGGTTTCTTCAAGTGTGACATGGTGACAATAACAGCCCCCAGTCTCCAGAGTGGAGATGAGTAATATGTCAGTGTCACATAAAACACTCATCCTACAGTAGGTACCCAAACTAAGTGTCAATTACCTTTTCTCCTACACAAACGTCTAACCTGTTTGCCTACTTTTTAATAATCTAGCCAGACAGCCTATCCTCACTTGGGGTTCACCCACTGTTGCATCCTGCATCTGGCAGGCCATGCCATCTTTGGGAATATATTGCCCCCTGTGTACAGGACAACATGGTCCTTGGGCTGTCACTGCTGAGTCTCTTGAGAGGTAATCACCTGGGGAATCTGCCACCGAACCAGAGGCTCCAAGGGCTGTTGGAGAGGAGGTCTAGGAAGCAGTGTTTTAGGACTAGCTCTGGAGTGTGAGAGCACTGGGTTAAATTCTCTCTACGGTCTCTTCAAGAAGCCTGCCCAGAGAGAGACACACTGATGTTCAGATTCCTCCTCGCACCTTCACCTAAGGCGCTTAGTGTGTCTTAGCTCCAGCTTGGGCTCTCCTGGGTCTGCTTCCATCCACTAGACTGGGGGGACCCCAGGGACAGATGCCCACCCTTTCTTTCCTTTGATTTCCTAAACAGATCTTCTGGGTCTTCCTGGCTGTGGGTTCTCCTGGGATGCTAGATAGAGTCCTTAACGTTTGTAGTGCCTTGCTTTGTTTCCTTCTCTGTGTTCTTGGGAGAGCCTGCCCTCTCTTCTCCCACCATTCTATTTCTGAATTTTCTAGATAGTCTGGAAATTCCAAAGCTGTGCCACACCAGCCTTTGCTTTCCTACTCCTATCTTACCCAGGATGCACTAGGTGTGGGCTGGCACCCACCCCACCCTGCAGTGAGCATGGATCCTGGAGCTGGCTCTGACTCATCTCTGACTGTGAACGAGCAGGTATCTTCTGGGGTGAGAAGTGGGGGTGGTGAGGTCAAGGGAGAAAGACATAATGGGGCCTCTCATTGTCGGTCTCTTATTAAAGTTTACGGTCACTCCACCTGTCCAAAGAGAGTATCAGCAAGGGTTTCTCGGGGGCTGGGTTTGGGATTTTAAGTTGCAACTTGGAAATTAAAATTAAACTGTACTAGGGGCTGGAGAGACAGTTCTGCAGTTAAAAGCATTGGCTGCTCTTATGGAGGACATATGTGAGCTTGATTCCCAGAACCCACATGACTGCTCGCAACCATCTATATATAACTCCAGTTCCAGAGGATCCGATGTCCTCTTCTGGCCTCTGAGGGCACAACATGCATGTGATGTGGACATGCATACATGCAGGCAAAACACCCATACACATAAAAAGATCTCAAAAAATGCTGACATACACAAATACCTATGTGTGTTTGAACAGGTGATTTTGTTTTTCTTTAAGCTTTTATATATTTTCTATGATTTCTGAAATGACTATGCCGTAAAAGAAGACAAATCCGCATTCTTTGTGAAATCCCTCATAGGTCAAAGTTGGGTCTGCCAGAGGCAGCTGCTTTGTTATAGCCTTTCCTCTTGATGGCCCCCATGCCTTTTCTGGCACAGCCTATGACCACAGCCAGTTCTTTCAGGGAATATTGTTGAAGTCATTCCAGGCAAGGATGGCTGACACAAAGCCCTCTTCTGTTATGCATGCATACACGCAGGCATGTGTACATAATAAATAAATCTTAAAAAAAGAACTCTGTGCAAGATGTTTGAGCAGGGACTCATGGAAGGTGCCCTCACCATTTGAGAAAGCCTGCAGTGGAAATGAGGGCCATGAGGCACTTGGAACAATAGGTCAGAGTGAGGCAGGAGAAACTGAATTTTGGTGATTCGTGACCCTTCTTTGGGGAACTTCGCTTGCATGGAACTTCTGGTATCCTGAGTTTAGAAGTTACTCAAGGGTTGGAGAGACGGCTCAGTGGGTAAAGCGTTTGCAGCCTAAGACAGCTCGAGTTAGAGCCCCGGGACCCACGTAAGCAGGTGGTGCTGCTCTGTAACCTCAGCCCTCTTCACAAGAGACCAGAGAAGTCCTGGAGGCTGAAGGGAGTACGCAGCCTGCCAGGAGGAAGAGACCCCACCTCAGCCAGGTGAAAGGAGAGAATCCCTGAAAGGTGTGTGAGCACGGTGGAAAGCATATATGTGTGTGCACTCGTGAACATGCGCACACACGTATGCCATTAATGAAGAAAACAGTCTCGAGTGGCAGAGCACCGTGGAACACTCACTTTCTGTGCTCCCCATGCTACCCCTTTGGGAGCCTCCAGTGGTCTCTAAGGGAAAGTTAAGACAGATTTCTTCTGGGTCCTCATCCTCAGTTATAGAGAGTGCTAATATCTCAGTATCTAAGAGGAAGATCTTGCAAGCTTGAAGACTGAACCATTTCCCACTATCTGAGCTAGGTCCGAGATGGGGAACACACAGAAATACCTCCTAACAGTTTGGCTCAGTGGGACTTTTCTTTCTGTCTCCAAGGTCTGCTTATGTCTGGCAACTCCTTGTTGGGAATCAGGGACAGTGGTCGCCTGGCCCAAATTCTGGCATTTTTAGAGTGCCCATTCTCTGTATAACAGAGCTCTGCACCCTGAGTCCTCCCCCATCCCTCTCTTAGTCATACTCCAGCCCCTAGCACCACCCCTCCCTCTGCTTGCAGGTCATCGTGATGTCAGGCCATGAGACCATCCGGGTGTTGGAAGTTGGGGTGGACGCTCAGCTCCCAGCCGAGGAGGAGAGCAAAGGACCGGAGAGTGTGGCTGCTGATGGCTCCCAGAGTGGAGGCCCTGCAGAAGCTGGTGAACCCGCTGCTGAAGCAGGGCCGCCAGACCCAGATCCTTCTGCAGAAGCAACTGGTATGAGGCTATTGCTCTAATCCACTGCTGCTCTCACATGTCCCTTGTGGGCCCAGGTGGCGTTGCGGTCTTGTCTTCCTGCCCACGTGGTAGCCTCCGATCACAGTCCATAATTCTGGCCAGCTTCCAGGAATATCCACTCTCCTTGCATCTGGAATTGGGTTTCCTTGTAGTCATACCCATGCCGGAACTGAGATGGCTCAGGGTGGATACTGGCATGTTCGGCCTAGAGGGGGTCCTAGGTCCATGCCAAACTGTCAAGCCAAAGCAGAAGAGACTGGCCTCAGGATCCCACCAACTTGCTAGCCCAATCCCATTGGTAGCAGAGCTGGGAGGTCCTAGGAGCCTGAAGACAGAAGAGCATGTTGTCTTCCTCGAACTAAGGATGCAGATTAGGTGATACCTACTGATGGCTGCCTCCCTTGGCTGGGTTTACAGTGACCTCAGGGATGAGGTAGAGTTACTTAGCCTGCAGCAGATGGAGAGCCAAAGTCGTATGGGGACTGAGCTGCCAGCTTTAGCTATGGAATGCCTTCCCCTACTTTCTTCACCAACACCTTGCAGGATAGCTGTTGCATTTTGCAAAGATTCTTGGACCTCCTTGCCACTTCCCCTGAGCACCACGAGCCATCATTGCCAGCCTTCTGCCTTTCTTTTCTTTCTTTTTCCTTTTTATGGTTTTTCGAGACAGGGTTTCTCTGTGGCTTTGGAGGCTGTCCTGGAACTCGCTCAATAGACCAGGCTGGCTTCAAACTCACAGAGATCCACCTGCCTCTGCCTCCCGAATGCTGGGACTAAAGGTGTGTGCCACCACCACCTGGATTTTTTTTTTAAAACCCACTGGTTTAACTATGGTTACTTGCATGAAGATGTGTGAAGACTTAGTCACTGGAATGTGGACAACTTACTAGTGGCTACACCACTGAAGGGACTGCCCCAGTACTTATTTAGTGGCCCATAGTTCCTCAGTAAGGGGAGGGCTGAACCCCTTGCCCATGCATGATGTAGTGGTGATAGGCCTGGTCTTGTGAAGATCTTGTGCAGGTAATCATAGCTGCAGTTAGTCTCTAACGGCATGTCATGCCCAGAAAACATTCATAGAACTCCCTATTCTTTGACTCTTCCATTCCAGCCTCCTCTTCTGAGCTATTCCCTAAGCCTTTGGCGGCTGATACAAATGTCTCAGTTAGGGTTGATACAAATGTCTCAGTTAGGGCTGACTAGCAATCAGTCACTTACTCTCCAAGGTTTGACCAGAGGTGGGTCTCTGAATTAGCCACCACTTACTGCAAAAAGAAGTTTCTCTGTTGGAGAATGAGAGATCACTAATATCATAACTGGATCCCATATCCTGATGTCCTTCTGTTGCTCCTCATCCTTCCCTAGACTGGACATCAGTGTACAGGTTCTTGGCAACCTAGTGACATCATTTACTATTATTCCCTCTTCTGAGGAAAAGAAAAAGAAAAAAGGAAATTCACCCCCCCACACACACACCCCGCCCAACCTAAAAAACTGCTCCAGTATGGAAGCCAGGATGACCCCACCTGCTTCTAAAGGAAAGTGCCTCACAGATGGGGCAGGACAGACAAGAACTCTGTCCCTGCCACCCTGTGGACTCAACAGACCCATATGGAATGAACTCCTTTTCAGAAAAATTCAGGAAGTTTCTTGGGTTTATCCACAGTGCCCTTTTTGCCCATTTGCCTGTTTTCTTGACCCCATTTTTTTTCTGATGTCAGAATTCTCCCCTTACCCAAATGTGCTCTCAGAAATTGACCTTAAATCAACTGCTCATACTGTAGCGCAATTAGAGCAGTGAACATCTTCTCTGATAAAAGGCTTCCTCCAACTCAAGTAGTTTGAACTGGGGCAGTTAGGTGATGGAGGTAAAGCAACTGTCAGTGGAGACTGGGACTTTTCTGTAGCTGCAGTATTCAGAAGGGGACAGTCACTCCCATCAAAACAAGCCCAAGTCATAGGAAACCTAGAGTGAAAAGAATCTAGTGGCTCATGTCACTCTAACTGCGTAGTTCTTGTCACACACTTGTATATTCATTCTTGTGCTGCTGGAGGATAGGCTCTGGAATATGGGACAAACCCCCATGTTCTTTCATGTGTGCTTTTTTATTATTAAGAAATTTTTATATTTGTTTATGTGTATGGGTGTTTTGCCTGCATGTATATACAGGTACCACATGTGTGCCTGGAACTGTCAGAAGTCAGAAGAGGACATCAGATCTGGAACTGGAGTTAACATCATGTGGATGTTGGGAACCGAACCAGGGTCCACTGCAAGTGCAGCCAGTGCTCTTAACAGCTGAGCCTTCTCTCCATCCCTTGGTGTACCCATTTTCTATACTGACATGGTCTCCGACTTTTGCTTCTGACTTGTTCTCCGACTTTTGCTTCTGACTTGGCCACTCTTAACTATTTTTTATTATCATAACAGTACTTCTTTGAATATGTTTATGCAGATCTTTTTTTAAATAGTGTAGTGCACTAAAATTTGTCTGAAGAAAAATTTACTTGTTGAAGTTGAGTGTTGTGTCATATAACCATAGTGCCAGTGCTGAGGAGCCTGAGGCAGGAAGATTGCTATGAGTCTGAGACCAGTTTGGGCTAGTTAGTGAGTTCCAGGAGAGCTTGGGCTGAAGTGTGAGACCTTGTCTTAGGAAAAAAAATCATTTGTTGTCATAGAAGGAAATTATTACATGAAAAATTTTAAAAGGTCACTTGGTAGCAATAATAAGAGAAGGAGGCTAGGCATAGTGGCATACACCTTTAATTTAAGCACTCAGGAAGCATTATATGGTGTTAATAGCAACCTCCAGGATAGCCAGAACTTCTTAGTGAGACCCAGTCTAAAAACAAAGAACAAGGAGGAAGAGGAGAAGGGGGAACACTGGTTTCAAAGTCCTGCTCGCCTGGTAAGCCAGAAACACAGTGAAAAGGGACTGAGCCTGTGGCTTGACGGTGCGGTGCTTCTTTAGCCTGCAAGAGGTTCAGGTTCAATCCCCTCTGCCACATAAAACTGGATGTGGTTATCCACCATTATAATTCCAGCAGCAGGGGCAGTGGAGGTTGGGCAATCAGGAGTCTGAACAAGTAAAAAGAAAAGAACAGTGATAAAGGTAGAGCCAGGTATTTGGCTAGGCCTGTTACCCCTGCCCTTGGGCACAAGGCAGGGCTGAGGCAAGAGGACTCACTGAGGATTCAAGGGTAGCCTGAGTTCAAAACCAGCCTGGACTACAAAGCGAGACCTGGTCTCAAGGGGAAAAGACAAAAGCTAACTAATCTAAACTGGCGGAGAAACAAGTAACCCATTGGTGCTTCTGAGGGGTGTTCAGTCTTTCTGTGAAACAGCTTTTAGAACCCCTGTGCTACTACTTTGTTTGGCTTTAGTTTGGGTTTTTGGGGATAGTGTCTCATAAACTCTAGTACTGGGATTGCAGCCATGCACTATCAATCAAGGTGTGCCACCAAGCCTGGCTTTGTCTTGACAGGTAGTATATAGCTCAAGCTGATCCTCAACTCATTTTGAATTCTCTACTCTCCTGCCTCGGTGTCCTACATAGTAGGATTAGAGGCGGGAATCACACTGCTGGCTGCGGTCCCACTTTGGAACTATACCCTAATAAAATCTGTGTTTCCTTTCTCTGTGGTAGGATTTTATCCCTATCACATTCCCATTTTATATGCCTCTTTAAGTTGATTTATTTATTATTTACACGTGTGCATACACATATATACAAACATGGCGTGCCCACATGTGGAGGCCAGAGAACAACATACAAAGTTGGTTCTCTGCTGCTTCCGTGTGTTTCTGGGGCTGGTACTCAGGTTCGGCTTGTCGGCAAGAACTCTTACCTGCTGAGCCGTGTTGCCAGCCCCATATTCCTGTTTCCTTAGGGTTCATTACATTTTGTCCAGCAAAATGGTTTTCAGTTTTCCTATATTCACGTCATCCTGTCTGCCCTGGTTTTCCCAGACAGCTAATGACCTGACTTCTCTTCCCAGAAGAGAGAATTCTGACACTTGGTTATCTTTTTCTGGTTTGTAAGACCTGGGTCATATGTGTGTCTCTGGTTCTTTCAACTTTCTGGGGTTTATTACTAGGCTGGGAATAGTTATAGGCTTAGGCTAAGCTGATTTCAGAACAAAAACAAAATCCCCCAAACATAGAAAAGCATAGGCCGGGACTTCAAGGCTGGACAGGATCCTAGAGGTTACCTAGCTATGCAGCCCACTCTGCTGGGCACTGTATTCTATTCCAGTGGGGCTTTAAAGTGGGGTTGGGGAGGGGGAGAGAGACTGAGTAACTGATTGATTGGTTGACTGACTGATTGATTGATTGATTGATTGGTTACTGGTGTCTATTATTGACTTTCCAATTCAGGCCTGGGTCTAGAAATATACTTATTTCTAGTAGGGCATATTAAGAAGCCATGCCTCAGGGCTGGAGAGATGGCTCAGAGGTTAAGAGCACAGACTGCTCTTCCAGGGGTTCTGAGTTCAATTCTCAGCAACCACATGGTGGCTCACAACCATCTGTAATGAGATCTGGTGCCCCCTTCTGACCTGCAGGCATACATGCAGACAGAACACTGTATGCATAATAAATAAATCTTAAAAAAAAAAACATACCTCATGGTGGTGGCACGAACTTTTAATCCCAGCACTCAGGAGGTAGGCAGAGCTCTGTGAATTTGAGGTGATCCTGGTTTATAGAGCCAGTTCCAGGACAGCCAGGGCTACACAGAGAAACTCTACCTCAAAAACAAAACAACAAAATAAACAAACAAAAAACCATTGATATGTTCAACATCCATCACTCAATAACTAGATTCCACTTTTTACTATTTACTTGCTTGCTTATTTGGCTATCATCTATTTATCCATCTATCCACCTGTCATCTATCTGTCTATCAAATATCTATCCATCTATCATCTATTTGTCTGTCTATCTATCTATCCATCCATCATCTATCCATCCATCCATCCATCATCTATCTATCTATCTATCTATTTGGCAGTGCTGGAGATTGAACCAAGCAAGCAGTCTACCATCATGCTGTGTCCCCGCCTTAGATTTCTGTTGTTGCTGGCTTGTGTAATTACAGTTTTTATCTCACTGTTGTGTGACTGTGATGAGATTTCCTGGCATGGCACCCCAGTTCCTATATTGTACAAGCCAGAGGCGGTGAACATTCACAGAACATTCTTTTGGAAACTCATAGAAACTACCTTTTTTGACTAAAAACTTTATAGAATAGTGGAGAAAAAGCTGAGCGGCCCAAGGAGCTGCTGTGACACTACAGTGTGACAATGATATGCCCAGTTTTCAGGGATTTTGCACTTACAGGACTTGCCCCTTCCCCAAACGTCTGAAAAGGTGGCCTGGATGGGATAAGGAACAGTTTGGTTGCTGGCTGAGCCCAAGACAATGATTTTTTTTCCCTCTCAGCTCTAGTTCCACCTCAACCCACCCACACCCACCCCACCCCACTCTACCCCACCCTGACATACATTTGCTTCAGGCTCCTGACTGCTATGTGACAGACCACAGTCCTACAGAGCCCGGAAATGATGAGCTGGAAGCCAGCTGAGCAGAGCCCGACATTTCCTTCCACTAGACGTGGGAAGAGAGTTCCTACTCTCCGGGCATGGCCCAGGGCTCTCCAGCCTTCTAGTGATTACTAGCAGCATTTGGGAAGGTGCCCCATGGGTCAGGGAAGGCTACCAGCTGGCTCTAGACTATATGCAGGCAAGATGTTCTACTCCAGTCACCCTTCCACTCACATCAGGCTCACTCTGGTCCTTCTTCCTTTCTATTTCGCCTGAAGTGAAGTCGCTGCCCGGGATCCCTCCGAGTCCTGCCCCAGCCATTGCCACTTTCAGCCAAGCCCCAAGCCAGCCTCAAGCACCACAGACCCTGACGCCGCTGGCCATACAAGCTGCCCCCCAGGTAAGGGCCACATCAGGGAGCCAGACAGAGGGCAGTGGGCAGGAGCAAGCAGCAGGTGGCCATGGGCTGAGGACTGCATGAGGCAGGGCAGGAGAGAGGATGTGGCTTGAGGGAGGGACTCTCCCACTAGGTGTCCCTAGGCTGCCCCTGCCCCACATCAGGCCCATTCCCAGATCAGGAAAGAGGATATGTGTTTGCTGGACAGCTTCCCTGGGTCCAGAGAGGGCTGGGGTTAACTTTTTCCTGGGAGAATTTGTGCTCATCTAATGATGAAATGAGTGAGTACCCTCATCAGCCCCACCCCATCATAAGAGTTAAGGAATTGTACAGTCTTCAGTTGAATTATAAAATCTCCCAACCAATGAAAAGCTGCCCATAGACTCCCACAGGCCAGCATCTGCTGGGTGGCATCTGTTCATGCACTGACCTCCAAGGCTTTTGGTCAGGGTGTCCTCCTCTCAAGCTTCTTGGAGGCCTTTGTGGGCCCTTGACCACTTGATAGCAGCTTCTGGTCCCCTATGCCCTGGTCACAAACTAGTGGGTGCACCAAATGGCGAGCTTTGAAAACACACATACAAGTGACATTACAGACTGAGCAGGTTGTCCACAGGGATTTAGGAATATACATACCTACAGTACTTTAAAATGCATTAGTGTCTGAAGAGAGGGTCAGGAGTTAGCACTGGCTTTCTTCCAAAGGACTTGGGTTCAATTTCTAGCACCGTCTTCTAGCCTTCTTGGATTCCAAGAAGCTTGTGGTGCACAGACACATGCAGGCAAACATCTATCTACACAAGATAAAAACAAATATACAAACAAATAAATAAAAAGAAATATACATATACCCATTTACGAGACATGCATATATGATATATATCAACAATTAATGAAAAAAGAGGCCACATGAAAGAGTAAGGAGGGGCATATTGGAGATTTTGGAGGGAGGAAGAAGGGGGAAATGATGTAATTATATTATAATCTCAAAAAAATAAAAGAAATAATAAAAAGGAACAAACACTGTGCAAGCAAGCGTGTCCGGGGAAGGTTTGAGAGGCAGCAGACCACGGGGTAGAGGACGCCCGTGCACCCTGACCTGCCCTGGAGGCCAGACCGGGCCTTTTCCTGGGCGACTTCTCTGCAGGCAGGATAGTGTGACCCAGACATCCATGGGTTAGGCCTTCAGCTGGGGCTCTTCTTGCTTTCCTCTGGCCTTTGCCCCACTGCCCTCAGAATGCTTGCTTATGCTCAGCTGGGTCCAAGAGACCCCTCGATTGCGCTGTGGATGTTGATTTTTTTTATTGTTTCTTTTCTTTTTGAAATCTCGTTTGCTTTTGCAGGTCTTGACTCAGGAAAACTTAGCCACAGTTCTGACAGGAGTTGTGGTTCCAGCAGGGGCGGTTACTCAACCTCTTCTTATCCCCATCAGTATTGCAGGTCAAGTGTCTGGGCAGCAGGGGCTGGCCGTGTGGACAATTCCTACAGCAGCTGTGGCTGCCCTCCCTGGACTGGCTGCTGCTTCTCCCACGGGGGCAGTCTTCAAGCCACCTTTAGCTGGGCTCCAAGGTAACGGCAACTCTCCCCAGGACTGCACCAGGCCCCCACCACCCTACACCGCCACCCCTGCACATGTACTCACTGCCATGTTGGACTCAGAGCCTGCAGCCCACCCAGGGCAACAACTCTGGATTCTGGATCCAGTGTCATAGGCACCCAGCCACAGAGCCGCTGCACCGCCTCGGGACTCTAGGCCAGAACACCAGGCTGGCCAGCTGCCTGAGACTGCCCCTCCCCCCACCAGCATCCACCCCATGACCAGCAAGAAGGACAGCAAGAAGAGTCGACATCCGGTTCTCGAACCTACATGTCTGCTGACCCAAGGGAGGGGGGATGAGAGATGTTGGCATGTGCCAGCCCTTCAAGAGTCAAGGGAATTGCAGCTGACCCAAGCCCACTGTCCCCAGTGCCCTGTCATTTTGTGCCAGATCCCTTGGGACTGGAGCCGTGCCGGGTCGTGGCTAGACGCTTGAGCACCTCTGTCTCTGCCTTGCTCCGTAGCAGCTGCTGTGCTGAACACCGCCCTCCCGACACCTGTACAAGCTGCTACACCAGTCCAGGCCTCCTCGCCCGCCCAGCCCCGGCCACCAGCTCAGCCCCAGACGCTGTTCCAGACCCAGCCGCTGCTACAGACCACACCTGCCATACTCCCACAGCCCACTGCTGCCACTGTCGCCGCCCCCACCCCAAAGCCAGCGGACACCACCCCGCAGATCACCGTCCAGCCTGCAGGCTTCGCGTTTAGCCCAGGGATCGTAAGCTGCTGCCCTCACCCAGGGCTCCGAGGGATGGACCAAAGCTGGGGCCAAGGGTGGAACTTCCCCCACAGTGGAGGACCAGACCCTTGAATACAACCGCTTCCGGCACATCAGCAAAGATGGGCTTTCCTTACACCCGTCAGCCTGTCCTACCCAGACTAAAGCAACGGCTGGGGAAATGCTCCAAACCGGAACCATTGGACAAGCCTTGGGGGTGGGATCCCAGGAGCACCACAGCTTCATGCTGGCATCTGTCCAGTCCGGCATGGCTCTTGGTTTGGGAGTAGAGATGTCAGGCACGACTTGGAGCACATTTGTCCCTCTAGTCTACCCTTTCAGACTTAGTTGGAAAAAGTAGTGGGAGTCACTGTTCTGTGACTGTGTCCCCCACTTCCCTGCTGTCCCCCGGTACTTGTCCCCAGCCTTGAATGCACGAGGGCCTTCACACTCAGCCCACACTCACCACTCAGTACCCTCAGCCCCCTTCCTCTGTCTGCTCTTTCTTGTCTCCTGGCCTCTGAGCAAGGCTCTGCCTCTACCCACAGATCGGCGCTGCCTCCCTCGGGGGACAGACCCAGATCCTGGGTTCCCTCACTGCTGCTCCAGTCATTACCAACGCCATTCCCAGTATGCCGGGGATCAGCAGTCAGATCCTCACCAATGCTCAGGGACAGGCAAGTGGTCAAAGCCAGGGCTGAGGGGTAGGGGTTGTGGGGCAGCCATGTAACAGAAACTCACACAGCGCATCGGGCTGCTGTTCATAACCTCTGTGGCAGCTCTCTGCTAACATGGAGTCCAGGGGGGGTTATAGTCACCACTCTACCCTGACAATGCTAATTCTAGTATGTACTTTGTGGGAAGGCCTCATGCTAGGTGCCTTTTTCACGTATTGACTCACTTGGTTTTGAGTACAAACCTATCAGGGGATCTTTGGTTTTATGGGAGAGGAGGGTGAAATTCAGAAACACTAAATCCCACGGCTAAAATGTGGCAGAACAACAAAGAGCGTCCAGTTCTCTGATACACAAAAAGACTCTGCCTGCCCCAACATAGCTCCAGGGACAGAGCAAAGAAAGGAACTCCTTGGGTGTGAGTCCTTTACTCTATAAAGGAAGCTGAGGCCAGAATGCTTAAACCATTTCTCTGAATTAGTCTCTGCCTGCAACTATGGGGACTTGAATTGATGGTCCACCCCACCCCCACCCCCGTACTTGGGGCCAATCCTTTATTTTCTCCCAGGTTATTGGAGCACTTCCGTGGGTAGTGAACTCAGCTAGTGTGGCCACACCAGCACCAGCCCAGAGCCTTCAGGTCCAAGCCGTGACTCCCCAACTCTTGTTGAATGCCCAGGGCCAGGTGATCGCAACCCTAGCCAGCAGCCCCCTGCCTCAACCTATGGCTGTCCGGAAGCCAAACACCCCGGAGTCCGCTGCTAAGAGTGAGGTACCAGGGCTGGGGTGTGGGTGGGTATGGGAAGGTGAGAGTGTCTAGCATGGCTACTTCCTTCTGAAACTTCTGGGAGAACAAGGCACCTTTCAAAAGTGCGGAGCTCCCCACCCCCAACAGAAGGCTTATATGATTTCACACATACTCCGCCCAGGGAAAACACACCAGATAGATACCACAGCATGTATCTGTGCCCACAGAGGTCAGAGACGGTGGGAAGAAAAGTGAGCAAAGCAGATTGGGCACTCATCATCCTTTGGGAGAACATCAGCTGTAATAGCCCTGGTGGTGATTTCTGTACCCTCTGCCACACACCAGGCATAGATTTTGAGTGCCTATTATGTTCCCAATGCTAAGGATGAAAAGATGGTTGAGATGCACTTGCTAGCCTTAGGTAGCTCAGCGTTGGAGATGTCAGCTTTTGGAAGACTTCGAGGGAGACATGAATAAGGGGCTGTGGTACCCCACAAATGAAGCCCTGACAGCCTGGGGTCAGGACAGCTCCAGAGAGGAAGGATGAGTTGGACGTGGTGTGTGCTGTGTCTGGGAACTGGAGTAAGCATGGCAGCCAGAGCACAGTTCTCAGATTTGTGCACTGGGGTCCCCTGTAGGGCGTCACAGGGTTGAGTTTCTTTCCCAGTAGCTCTGAAGTGAGACCCAAGGATGTGCTGAGTTCCCAGATGACATTTATGCCCTTGATTGTCTAATACTATATGTTGCTTTCAAGAAGCTTTTAAATAACCCCATCTGGAAGAGAGTGGCTAAGAGAAGTCCTACCTCTGCTGGAAGGTAGCACTTGGGAAGCAGAGGCAGGTGTATCCTTGAGTTCGAGGCCAGCCTGGCTTACAAAGTGAGTTCCAGTACAGCCAGGGCTGCACAGAGAAATCCAGTCTCAAAAAACAAAACAAACAAAAAGAAAAGGAAAAAAAAAGACTTATGTTTGGGAGCTGGAGAGATGACTGAGTGGTTAAGAGCACTGACTGTTCTTCCGGAGGACCTGGGTTCAATTCCCAGTACCCACATGGCAGCTTACAACTGCCTATAACTCCAGTTCCAGGGACTCTGATACCTTCACACAGGCATACATGCAGGCAAGACACCAATGCACAGAAAGGGAAGGAGGGAGGGAGAGAAAGAGGGAGGGAGGAATTAAAAAAAAGAATTCCTATTTCTGTCATATGTGGTGGTGCACATCTGTAATCTTGGCCAGTCTGGGCTATAAAGGGAGTTCAGTTCCAGCCTGGGTTATGGGATACTGCCTCACAAAACAAAACAAACAAACAAACAAACAAGAAAACCTCTCCAGAAGTTTATGAATATTATACCAAGGAGCTGGCACTGGCACTCTGGTGTACAATCACCTTGTGACAGGTAGTTTTGACAGTTGTTATAGAGGACGCTGCTGCTGGGCTTCAAGGGCTGACAGATGTCCATCTTAGAAAAGCCCCTGACCTGGGTGGAGTCAAGGATCGGCTGCTGTGATGCTTGGACTCTGTGACCTGTTGGTAGTAGGCAGTTTATGTTTTTCCTTTTTTCTCAGTGGTGCTGGGGATTGAACCCAGGGTCTTGCTTATGCCAAGTACAGCATCAGTGTGCTGTTCTCTCTGCCCTAGAGAAAGACTAAAGTCAGATCCTGGGGACTAAGGGACAGGTTTGAGAGCTAGCAGGAGGCAAAATCCAAGGAACAGAAAATCTAGGAAAAGGCTGCATTTCCTAAAAGCTTATAGGCTTTTGTTTTGTTTTGTTTTTGTTTTATTTTGAGACATGATCTCTCTGTATAGCTCTGGTCATCTGGCAACTTGTTATGTAAACTAGGCTGGCCTCAAACTCAGAGATCTGACTGCTTCTGCCTCCCAAGTGCTGGGATTAAAGGTGTACACCACACCAAGCTGTTTTTGTTTTAAAGTCATCCCAATAATGCTAATTTCAGATATTTGTAGTTTTTCCTGATCATAAATAAGATCTATAACTTTAGTTAACATTGCAACATTATGTGTCATATAAAAAGTAAAAATCAGACTGGGTCTGATGGATCAGTGGTTCAAGTGCTTGTGCCTATCTGAGGACTGGAGTTCCCATCCCAGACACCAGGGAAATGTTGGGTGAGTATGGTGGCCCATGTGTAATTCCAGCACTTAGAAGGCAGAGGCAGTGGATCCTAGAAGGAGGCTGGTAGACACGCTAGCCAGTCACATCAGTGATTCTGGGCTCGATTGAGAGAGAGTGCTTCAGTGAATAAGGTGGAAACCTCGATGTCAGCCTCAGGCCTCACACTCATGTGGCACACATGTATGCCCCATACACGCAGCCATGTACACACACAAAACAGAGAAAAAATAAGAATCAAGACAGGTGTGGCAGTACATACTAGTAATCCCAACAATTGGGAGATGGAGACAGGAGGATTATAAATTCAAGGGCAGTCTTGGACACAGAAAGAGATCAAACCCATTTATTGTTAATGTTGATAGGCAACTTATAGTTCTGCTTTTTTGTGAGCACAGGTGGAGTGTCTAACTAGGTAAGAATATCATGTCCAGCCGGGCATTGGTGGCGCATGCCTTTAATCCAAGCACTTGGGAGGCAGAGGCAGGCGGATCTCTGTGAGTTCGAGGCCAGCCTGATCTACAGAGCTAGTTCCAGGACAGCCTCCAAAACAATACAGAGAAACCCTGTCTTGAAAAACAAAACAAAACAACAACAACAACAAAAGAATTTCATGTCCATTTCTGTTGTGTTACTGGTCCGCCCAGGGATTGTGACCCCCTGAGTTAGGCGAGGGTCATGGGGCTTGTGTCTCTTCTCACAGATGCAGCCTATCCAGCCGACACCCACGGTACCCCAGCCTGCCGTGGTCATCACGAGCCCAGCCCCAGGAGTCAAGCCATCTGCTTCGGCTCCCATCCCAATCACCTGCTCCGAGACCCCTACTGTCAGTCAATTGGTATCAAGTAAGTGATTCTCAGAAGAGGAATGTGTATCTGGGGTTCCTGGCATGCACCTTCAGACCCAGATGCTCAAGAGGCTGAGACAAGAGAAGTCTCAGAGCCCGGGAGTTGAGGGCCAGCCTAATAAGATCCGGTCTCAAATAAATCCATAAATTTCCTGGTGTCCAAAAGGAAAGGGTAGAGACCCAAAGTGGAAAGAGGGTAACTTTCGATTTTCTTTTACATTATTTGTTTGGGATTGAGAGTAGGGCTTGAGTATCCACCGTGTGCACCTGGGTCCCGGGAACTGAACTCAGGTCCTCAGGCTGAGTGGCAGACGTCTTTACCCACTGAGTCTCTTGTCCTCTACCAAGAGATGGCTTTCTTGTGCCCTTTCCTGTTGAGGTGACTGTGAGCATAATGGAAGTGGAGGCTGCTAAGTCACCTGTCTGGTTACGCTGTGTCATTACCTGGCTCAGTGTGATCTGTCACCTAGTTCTGAGGAACGTAGATGGCCGACAGTTGTGCCTGGTTCCAGAGTAGTGAGCGTGGGAGAGGGTCAGCAGTTAGACCTGGGAGAACTTAAAAATAGACCACCTGGGTAAGCCATTCTAGAGTCCTTTCCTGCAAGTCCTGCTTGTCTGGGGGATACAGTGATGAGAGACTTTTGATAAGTGTCCTCACCCCTTTTACCACGCCAATCTAGACCCCTGGCACAGGTAAGCAGTGTCACTCTGTCATCTTCAAGCACTCATCCCTGGTCCTCCCTCTGTCCTAGAGCCGCACACTCCAAGTCTGGATGAGGATGGGATCAACTTAGAAGAGATCCGGGAGTTTGCCAAGAACTTTAAGATCCGGCGGCTCTCCCTGGGTCTCACACAGACCCAGGTGGGTCAGGCTTTGACTGCCACAGAAGGCCCAGCCTACAGCCAGTCAGCCATCTGCCGGTAAGTGTGACCATCCCAGGATAAAGCCAGGGCCGGCTGCTCAGTGCCATAGCTGGCTCTCGTGGAATCCGGGTATCCCGTCCTTTTCCATGCTTCCCCTCATGCTGCTGCCTCCATCCAGATGAGAAAGACTGTCAGATGGAGGACACGAATCCTTGGAGTAGCCAAAGACTGACCAGGGCCTTCTCAAGTTTAGATAGACTCCAATCCTGAGTGTGTAGATGTCCACCTGAGGGAGGCCAGTGAAGAATCGTAGCAGGAAAGGGTTATCACTCGTAAAGTTGGTCCTCGGCTAGGGGTGTTTCAGTGTGCTCCTGGCTGCCTGTCCTCCCGTGCCTGCCAGGTCAGCTCAGCTTGAAGGCAGCAGACACTATTGTGAGGCTGCTATGGGAGCATAGTGAGAGGAGAGTGGCCTTCGTCTCGGAGGCCATTCAAGATGAGTCCCCAAATGACTGGGAGTTCTAGTCCAGTTAGAGCACACTTGTCATTTACCTGCCTAGCAGAGGCTGTGGGCATTGTCTCCTCCTTGAGGCCTGGGATATGGAAAGTCTGAGGAGTCTGGTCTTTGAGGGGCCAGGAGGGGAGCTTTTCCCTCGTGGGGGATGTGTAGAAGAGATAGCTACACTGTCTCTGTGCGGCCTCCAGGTTTGAGAAGTTGGACATCACACCCAAGAGCGCCCAGAAGCTGAAGCCGGTTCTAGAGAAGTGGTTGAATGAGGCGGAGCTCCGGAACCAGGAAGGCCAGCAGAATCTCATGGAGTTTGTGGGCGGTGAGCCCTCCAAGAAACGCAAGCGACGCACTTCCTTCACGCCGCAGGCCATAGAGGCTCTCAACGCCTACTTTGAGAAGAACCCGCTGCCCACTGGCCAGGAGATCACCGAGATCGCTAAGGAACTCAACTATGACCGTGAGGTGGTGCGAGTCTGGTTCTGCAACCGACGCCAGACGCTCAAAAACACCAGCAAGCTGAATGTCTTTCAGATCCCTTAGGGTTTCCTCTTGGCCCTTGTTCCAGCACTTTCTACTCTTCCCACAGCAGCGAGCTGTCGTCACGGCAGTGACAGTGCCATGTGCAGCTGTGCTTGTCAGAGGTCATGAGACCTCCACCTGTGCATGTGTGTCAATGCCTGCCTCTTCTGTCCACAGATGTCACACCCTGGGGAGGCCCAAGGGGCTGCATGAGAGCCCTAGGCGCTGGGCACATGGAAGGAGGGGATTTGTGGTGTCTTTTCAAAAAGCACTTTGCCAACATGGTTTCTGAAGGGTGAATTCTGGTTGGGAACCAGCAAGGCGCTGTCTTTGGGGCGGGCTGTAGCGACTCTTGGGGACCACTGTGCATTAGCTCTTGTTTTTGGTGGCAATCTCCACCCCTTCCCCCAGCTCCTCTGTGGTTATACCAGTATGACGACTCACCAAGTGGGACTCAAATGCCCTCCTTTACTTTGTACACAGGCACAGTGAATCCCTTAAAGGACCAAGGAGATGTAATTCAGAAAAGTGTGACTCACTGTCTGCCTTCACCTCGAGGGTAGAAGGTCCCCAAAGCTGTGAGGTCAGATGCTGTGAGGTCCCTCCCGGGGTCCTGGGGGTGGTGGGATTGCACTAATGCAGAACCTTTTCCTTTGCAAACCAACAGCAGAGGAAACAACCGCACACTCCCCCACCCTGGAGAGTCTTAGGTCTGTTGCGGGTCTGGAACTTAGTAAAAAAGGTCATCCGTCCAGATTTTAATCTAATCTTCGTCATGACTGTCTCCCAAGAAAAGCACTCTGGAGAGCTGTCAGCTTGGGAGCATTTCCACTGCCAGCCTCCGCTGGCAGCTGCAGGGGGCTCGCACACCGACTTTCTCCCTCTCATGCCCACACTCATCTCGGTCCAGCACTGAGCTCTCTTTAGAGGAGCAAACTGAATGATAAGCCAGACAGCAAGGAGCTGGAGTGGGGAGGAAGACAATATCCAGGAAGATGATGGTCCGGGAAGCCCTCTGGTTGAAGCTGCCTTGCCTCTAGTTTTCTTTGTAAAACTTTTAAGTCTTGGATGTTGGAGTCCTCTCACTCTGTCCGATTGCAGACCAAGTCTGTGTGTGAGCAACCCCTCCCCACTCCCTCTGCAATGCTCCTCTGAGCCAAGAGTGCCCCGGAGCGGGATGGACTTTGCCTCTGTAGGTGATGGCATGCTGGGGGCTGGCATCATATCAAAGCCACTAAGTCAACTTCCAGACACAGGGGGGCTGGCCAGTCCTTTCACTTCAGGATGTTGGCTGGAGATTGTAGCTCAGTGGTTGAGAACTTAGCATGTGCAAGGCTCCAGATTCAGTTTCTAGCACAGAGGGGGAAAATTAATATTTGGTTTCAGGAAGTCAGGAAAGAGTTAAGATGTTTGCCTGAATGACCCCAGACTTGGGTAGACTGTCCCTAATGGGCTACAAGCTGCAGAGGCCAACCATTTCACTACTTTTTGGTTTGGTTTGTTGTTTTGTTTCTTTGTTTTTTAAATAGGATCTCACTTAGCCCAGGCTGACTTCAAACTTGTAGTTGAAAATGACACTGAAATGACACTGAACTCCTGATCCTCCTGTCTCCGCCTCCCAAGTGCTGGGATTATAGTCATGTACCACCGTGCCTGGCTTCTCTTCTCTTAGCCTTACAGAGCCTGCTCTTTAGTCGATGTCCACCCTGTACCTCATGTGATCTACCCTGAGCAAAAACAAGGACACATTACCGTCCCTGCTGGTCACAGTGCAGAGACGCTGGGGCCTAGCTTCCTCTCCTGTACTTTGTTCCCTTTCCTGGTGACTGCTAGACCCTCTTGGGTCCTGCAGGACTTGTGTGGAGGACCTCCTGGTAGCTCTGACAGTGAGATAAGGACAGTTGTGTGCTTAATCAACACACACACACACACACACACACACACACACACACACACACACACACTCTACTGCATTCAAATCAACCAAACATGCTGGAGGAGGTGGGCGGCTTTCCTAACTCTGCTGTCCAGGACAGAATGTCCCCAGAGGAGGAAGCTCCATCTAGATTGTAATGTCAGCCTGCTTCCATGAGCTGGGAAGTCAGGAGGGGTGCTTACATCCTGGAGCTTACAAAGTGACTCACTTGAGAAATTATATGCAGCTTTTCTTGCTGGAAACCTGCACTCGGGAGTACTGGTTTTTTGGGGTTTTTTTTGTTTTGTTTTTTTTTTGTGGGATGGCATGTAATATGAAGTGTGGCCATGCTGTGGGCATGCAAGAGGATACCATCTGTTCTGTGGCATGATAGGAAAAAAAATCACGAACCACTGATCTAAATTAAGCCTGGCTATGCTTTTTCAACCCGCCCTTCATCTAAATCTGTCTTCCCGAGACTGGGCTAGAATAAACCAATTTTCTCCTGTGTAGGAAAGTGGCATTGGTTATTCAGGAGAACAGTACACGAGCTGGGATGCTTACAGGCTAGGTTTCTCAAATAGGGGGGTGCAAGGTGTGCTTAACTGTACCCAAAGTATAGTTCACTTTGGCCCATGAACTCTGCCTCTGCTCCCCTAGTCTGAGCCACTGACCTACAGGGTAGTTGTTATTTTTTGAGTTTGGGCGACATTAGACTGTAAAAAAGAGTTAATTTTATTTTGAGAGCACCTTCCTGGACCTAAGCCATGCCCAATGGCTTTTTTGCCCTGAAAGATAGGAAAATGGGCAGAAATCAGTTAACTGTATGGTTGGTTATTTTTAAGTGGCAGGAAGCTAGGACTGTCTATGACTTGCTGAGTCAGCTGGCCCTTTGACCCTGAGCTAACTGTGGCATTTTATCCAAGCCAAGTCCAGAGAAGAAGTTGGTCACATGAACTGTAAACGCACTTGAGTTTGGAATGAGAAAGCCTGACATGTGTGTGTTCTTGAAAATCCGATCACCTTCCTATGCCCAGGATTCTGTCCCTGCCTCCTAGGGATGTCCCAAGGGTCTCCCAGCATGGGGCACTGCCCCCTGGAAGCTGGGGAGAAGAAGGAAGGGAAAGCACTTGATGTAGTTGTGTGAATAAACAGTATTTTTTCTTTTGTATTGCTCTGCCTACTTTGTTGCTTCCCAAATGTAAGGGGACCGGCGTCACAGGCCAAAGCTGCATCAGAGCCACCTTTGCTGCTGCAGGCTGGCCTAGCGAACCCGCAGAGGGCACAGGTTAGTGCCCGGCTGCCATGTCAGGCAATCCTGCTTGGGCATTCCAAGCCTCGACTCTCCCTCTGGGCTGGGGATGTGCAGGGCTAAGGGGGCATTGCCCTTTTTCTCCTAAACTATCCTTCTGGTACTGAGGCTCCCAGTATCCCCTGCTGAGCCTGCTTTTTTCTTCCCAGTGACAGCTTATGCTGTTGGTGTGTGCACTTCCAGTTTATAGTCTAGTTGCAACAAAATCCCTCATCTTGAGAAACTTTTTTTTCCTCTGCATTGTTTTGGTGGCTGTCGGTCTAGCCCGGCCTCGAACTTTGAGAAACTTTTAATAAGTGGAAGTTCTGCTTACAATTTTGGAACCTGGGTGGGGGGGTCCTACCTGGAAGGAGCCTGGTGTCTGTCTGGTGAGGGCTTCCTCATAGATGGATGTCTTTATATGTGGTAGAGGGAGACATGCTACCTCAGGCATATTTTTAAAGGGCTCTCTACCCTCATGATTTAATCATAACAGTAATAATAACTTGATTTATGCAGCTCTTTATTAAGATGGGGCTGTGTGCTAAGTGGCTCTTTATTTTGTTCTTTCCCAAGCCTGCAAATATTCAGGACAGGCCTGCCTTTGAGTTTAAAGCTAGGAGAGTGGAGATGGCAAGAGGCTTCTCTTGACCCATCCATCCACCTTCTAAGAGTGGTATTCTCCCTCGATGTCCTCACCCCACCTACGTGGTGAGGTAGGTGAACTTTGTAATCTAAATCGGCAAGAACACAAGATTACCCCTTCATTCCACATGATTCTAGAACATTTTCCACTTCCCTGCCCAAGCCCAAGGGGTTAGTGGATGTCACAGATTCTGACCCAACGCTTGGGATGAGAGGAATTCTGCGGTACCCTCAAACAGTGGGACACCAGCACTTACGATAGCATAGACCTCAAACCTCGACCCGATATTTAGTATTAACTAGTCACACAAGCTGTGGGATCAGTAAAATGGCCAGGCACAAGATGAGTGTTCGGTAATCTGGGTAATTGCCATATGAACACATAAACATGCTCCCTTCCAGCTGGGCGGTGGTGGCGCATGCCTTTAATCCCAGCACTTGGGAGGCAGAGGCAGGAGGATTTCTGTGAGTTTGAGACCAACCTGGTCTACAAGAGCTAGTTCCAGTACAGCCTCAAAAGACACAGAGAAACCCTGTCTGTAAAAACACAAAACAAAACAAAAAACATGCTCCCTCCCTTTGCCGTCAAGGAAATAATGAAATCTGAGACTCTAGGCTTTGGGAGCCCAGGCACAAGGATTCTACTTAGCTCAGGAGCTTTGAACTGTGAAACTTGGGAGTAAATGGAGTCTGAGTAGAGACAGACCACACCAGGAGATTCCTGGGAGCTGGGAGCGCTGGCTCAGACCAGTTCAGAGTGGTTTCTGGCAGTTGGCCCAGGAAGATTTTAGACTTTAGAGAAGGGGGGGTAGATATGTACAGGATTGCAATTTTATTCCCACACTTGAGAAGGTTATTGCTCTGCAGATGGTTTTAAAGAGGATTTTTTTAAATGCACTTGATAAGTGCCTGGTTTGGGGATTGGAGAAGAGAGGAGAGGGCCAAGATTGCTTGGAACTTCAGGGCAGTGAAAACCTGATTAGTTCTCTTTTTGCCACAAGGTCCTTAGAGAAGCTCTTTGGGAAAGCTGGGGCTGTGGGAAGGCTGAGAGTCAGTCCTTAAAAAGTCTTCCTCCCGTAGCTGGAGGAAAATGCCAGGGACTGACCCAAGAACCCAGAAATGTTGATTAACCACAATAATTGAGTGAGAAGGGACGCCTGATCCACGAGGCCTGCGTCCTTAAGTCTCTGAGATGACAGGTACAAGGTGCTCTTTCTGTCACCGGCTAAACTTCACCCATCACCCGCGTGCTACGCTTTCTTCTCAATTTGCAACACTCATTGTCTCAGCTGATGCTCATGATAATTTTATGAAGAACTGTCATGTTCATTTCACAGCTAGGAATCAAGGTTCAGGGAAGATGAATGTGTTCAAAGCCACTTTGTTTATGAGTGGCAGAATTGGGACTGTCTCAACCTGAATGGGCTGTCTCTTGAGCTTTTCAGTGCTTAACCAACACCTCACTCTGGATAGACGTTGACCTGTTCCATTTGAGAAGTGTCCACTTCCAGGACCTAAGCAAGGGAAGCAAACTGTTCACAGTGCATTTCTTCTGGGGAGAGCTTTGAGATAGGCATCTCTATGTCACTCACGGTCATTCTCAACAGTCACCACAGTACACAAAAATGGATTTGCACCTTTTGTTAGTTGTATTTATTAGGCTTAGCAGGAACTATGCTTTTGTAGGTTGAATTAATGGGTTTGGAAATTTGGCCTGATGGTGGTTATTACTGAATTTCTAGGTGTTGGGCCTAGGATCCTGGTTTCCAACCCTAGAGCTTGAGTTTCACTCTTAGTTGCAGTGGGAAGGAAGGGGAACCTGTATGGCTGAGGTAGGCCTGGGCTCGAGGACCTGTGTCTTGGGGCAGGCTGGGTTCCATTGGGAAGGGCCACTCTTTTTGCCTTCTCAGATTGTTTTAGGTTTATGAGTAGGAGATCCCTTGTGAAATCCTAACTGTGCTTCAAAATTTAAACTTGGGTTCTGACATTTCCAAGAAATACAAGTTTATCTTTCTCTAAATATTTTCCAGAGGATAAAGTTCTATGATGTCCTTGAATATGGCAGAGCTCTCTCTTTCTTCTAAAATGCTAGCATTATTCCAGTTTGTGAAGTCCATTGTCTTCATTCAATAAATCTTTTTAAAAAGATTTTTATATTTTAAAAAAATAATTTTTTTGAGACAGGGTTTTACTATGTAGTCCTGGATGGCCTAGAGCTCACTATGTAGACCAGGTTAGTCTCCAACTCAGAGATATACCTGCTTCTGCCTCCCAAGTACTAGAATTTGTGAGTTCAAGGCCAGCTTGTTCTACAAAGTAAGTTCCAAGACATCTAGAAAGTGTACACAGAGAAACCCTGTTTTGAAAAGACATAATAATAATAATAGCAATAATAATAAGGTGTGTACCACCATTCCTGGATTTTATCTATTTATTTATTTTTGGGTTTTTGAGACAGGGTTTCCCTGTGTAGCTTTGGAGCCTGTCCTGGAATAGCTATTGTAGACCAGGATGGTCTCAAACTTACAGAGATCCACCTGCCCCTGCCTCCCAAGTGCTGGGATTAAAGGCATATACCACCATCCCCCAGCTCTGGACTTTATTTTTAATTATGTGTATGTGTGTATCTGAGTATGGGCTCATATGTGCTCATGAGTTCAGATGTTTCTGGAAGGACAGAAGAGGGCAGATCCCCTAGAGGTGGAGATATGGGTGATTGTAGGCCACCTAACATGGGTGTGGGGAGCCAAACTCAGGTCCTCTGCAAGAGTAGTACTTGATGTTAACTACCAAGACATCTCTCTGTCTCCTAGTTTATTATTTTTAAGTTGTGCTTGTGCATGTGTGTGCATGTGTATGCGTGTGTATGGATGAGTATGTGTATATGCATATGCATGTGTGTGCGTGTATGTGCATGTGTGTGTATGCATGTGTGTGTGTGTGTGTGTGTTGCTCACTCCCTTGCACATAAGTGTAGGTGTTTGAGGAGACCAGCAGAAGCTGTCAAGATCCCCAGGACGGGGATTACTGGTTGTTCTGAGCTACCTAACATGGATGCTGGAGACTGAACTCAGGTCCTCAGAGAGCAGCAAGTGTTCACCACAAGCCATCTCTTCAGTCCTCATCTATTTATTTATTTATTTTTGTTTTTTCAGACAGGGTTTCTCTGTGTAGCTTTGTAGACCAAGCTGGTCTCAAACTCACAGAGATTTGCCTGCCTCTGCCTCCCGAGTGCTGGGATCAAAGGAATGTGCCACCACCACCCAGCTTGTCTTCAGTCTTTATTAAATATTTCTTTATGAGCATAATTGTTTTTCTTTCTTTCTTCCTTCCTTCCTTCATTCCTTCCTTCCTGCCCTCCCACCTTTTTTTTTCTGACAGTCTTACTTTATAGCCCTGGCTCCTGGCTAGCTTGGAACTCACTATAGACCCTGCTGGCTTCAAGTTCACAGAGATCTGCCTGCCTTTTCCTCTTGAGTACTGGGATTAAAGGCATGTGCCACCATGTCTGGCATTCATTAAATATTTTTAATAATTATTTATTTATTTTACTTATGTGCTTGCCTATGTGCACTGCATGTGTGCCTTGTGCCCTTAGATCAGAACAAAGCATCAGATCTCCTGGAACTGGAGTTACAAACACTTGTGAGTCATAATTATGTGAGTGCTAGGAACCGAATCTGGAAGAGAGGGCTCAGCGGTTAAGAACACTGGCTGCTCTTGCAGAAGACCTGGACTGGGTACCCAGCACCCACATGGTGACTCACAACCCCCTGTGACTCCAGTTCCAGGGGATCTGACACCCCCTTCTGACCCCTGTGGACACCAGGCACGCTCTTGGTATACCGACATACATACAGGAGAAACACTTGTGTATATAAAATCTATAAATCTTTTTAAAAAACAAAATAAAAAATGTATTTTTGTGTAAGTGTGTATGTGCATGCTGTGGTGTATGTGTGAAGCCAGCTTGTGGGGGTTGGTCCTCTTCTTACATTATGAGTTCCCAGGTAGAAATCAGGTTGGCAGGCTTGGCAGCAAGCACCTGACAGGAGAGTCCATTTCACTGGCTGTGACTATTAGTTTAATTGTAAAGTTGACACAGTCTAGACTCACCTGGGGAGGAGGCTGAATAAAGGGATTATCCAGACCAGGTTGGCCTGGGGGCAACTGCAGGGGATTGTCTTGATTGTCTTACAGATGTGGGTAGAGCCACTTTAAATGTGGTATCAGCC